ACCCCCCCCCCCCCCCCCCCCCCAAACAATGCATGTACAATTTGTTTTTGTCCACATTTGCATCAATGAATGTCTCATTTCTAAACACACATCGATACTGTTTGCATTTTGGTTCCACGATGGAGACCGAAAGGACTCGCCTACGTATTGCTGCTGATGGTAAGAAGAGCTACTGGGATTCGAGCGCTTCCGTATAAGGGCGCATAATGAAGGTACATATATGGTAACCTCCGGGGAAATAAACTAAATCGCTACCTCGTACGGTTTATCCGGGGACTGGTAAATCCACCCAAAGAGGTCCATATTCATCTAAACCCTAGCGACCCTTTTTTGTCTCGGTTCCCCTAGAGTATCAGGGACCTTTTCCCCAAATGCAACCATCCCAGAGGTGAACATACTCGATGGTTGACACCAATGAGGCTCTACGGTCCACTGAAAGTCACCCAGTTAGCTGCTAGAGGCCCTGGATGCTTTTAACCCCACTTTCAGCGTTTGTGTCTATAATTCCTAGTCGGTTGGAGAGCTTCTCATGCGAAGGCAGATCCACGGTATAGCGGCGGCGGCTCTGCCGAACCAAAGAAATTTCCTTAAATTTAAGAAAGTAAAGCAAAGAAGCGAGTTTGATTTGTAGGACATAACTTCATCAAGGAAAGTAAACCAAAAAAGCGAATAAAAGCTGAAACAAGCGCAAGGCTACTCCACTTTATATGAAAGAAAAAGCCCGATCGTTCTGGTCATTGGGGACCTTTTGTAGCCATAGCTATGCGGTATTCGACCGTCGAAGTAACTTTAGGCGTGGCGATTAGACGTTGGAGTTTCGAGCTCCCTTGGCGTAACCAACTCCCGTAGCTATACCACCGATAATAGAATAGAAGGTGATCCGATCAGGCTCGTCCCAATAAGACATTATTGTAATGATTCTGAATTGAGATGTTTTTGAAGCCTCTGCTGAATATTAAGACGAAGAAGAGTAGAAAGGCGGAATATTAAAGGAATTATGTCTCTAGTCATATACGTAGTCACAACGTATATATGGCATGCGGGAAAAAGTTACTAATTTCTAAGCTCCGATGCCTACATATGTAGTTATTACTTCTAGATTAAAGGCTAGCTAAAGGCTAACCTTGCCGATAAAACCTAGAGCTACATTCATGCAGTAAACACTGCTTCAATTGCGTCAATTTATGGAACAATACATTATTGAGATTAGCGAATTCTTGATTAAACCTTTGGTGAGAACAAAATAATAAGATAAAGATATCGAAAATCCTTTACGTCACTGTCCATCGAACTTTTAGTATATAGAAAAACATCCCCATCAGTGTGGTAGAGTGCACATGTGATATAGACCCCCTTCGACTTTGTTGAAAATATTAGAAAGATTTTCGTCCACTGCAATTGCAGGCTTTTCGGTCAAATGGGATTCTCGACATTAAGAAGGTCTTTATTTATTTACAAGTTAATCACATCATGATAGCACTAGCACGCAGTCTTATTGATATTTATTGTTGGAGCTACGAGATACTAGGGAGATGAAGAAGGAGAAAAACTCTTGCTATTCAAACTAGTAAAGGAAAGGCCTTTTATAGAGGCCATATAGGCAAACAAGCGCTCAGTCTGCCACCAAAAGAAGACATCCATTTAGGATGGGATGATCTAAACACTTACGAATATATTCACATATCTTTGCTTTCTGCCTTTTTATTAAACAAATACCGTGACTAGTCACTCCGTGCCTAGGGCACCGAAGGTAACCTTGAAATAGACAGTTAGGTCGCTTGTTCACCTAGGTAGATCGTGATATTCCGCCTAGTTTCGACCTGATCACATCTCGGGTTGCAACCGGAATCCGTCTGTTTCATTGATTTCTCATGTTGGTTGATGAATATGTAACCTAAGAAACCTATGCTCATGAGTTTCCATTTGGTCTACTCAGAGTAGTGCCTTGGAAAGCGGCATACAGGTCTCGGGACGTCACACTGTGTGACAGTTAGATTGTACTATATATGTTACAGACCATGGCTTATACCGGCATCTCGGACAATATTCAATATTGGGCGCTGCTCATCGAAACAGAAGCGCTTAAAGCCCGATCTCCATCCCGCGCCTACTTCCTCAGCCCCTTTACGACCGCTTGAACCAAAGCGTCCTTGTTCCTAAGTCCTTCAGGAAGCTTAGCCAAATCGCTCGCCTTCAACAGGCCCCTCGCCTTAGAAGCCTCTGCTAGCGCCTCCCCATTGGACAGCTTGCCCGTCTCGCCGCCGACACCCGCAATCAAACCCAGTATCGCGAACGGCGCAGATGTCGGATATTCAATGATTCCCGCCACCGTCAGCACCCTGTTGCCTGCTTCCCCGATCAGAAGCGCAATGCGAGCGATTGACCTTGCACTGCCAATCAAGGGGCCCAGGGCCTCGCCGACAAAGGGAATGACCATGAAGACGATGGTGAGGATCTCCGTGATGAGGTCCTTCTTGGCTGTGTCCTGGGCATTTTTTCCGATTTCTTTAACTCGCTTCATGCTGTCGATGGCTTCGGCGAGTCGCAGCACTGGCATGGAGTATGCGACTACTGCGTCGGTGGACAAGCTATCTTTTGGCCCGTCGTAGTAGAAGGACAGTCCGAGGTATGACGAGAAAAGCGAGTTCCTTAGAGCTGTTACATTGCCAATGGATGCCTCGATGATCTTCTTGGGGTTGCCAACGTGAATATCCTCATCGCGGCCCTTCTGAGGGTAATTGAGCCTCTGGCGAAAGAGCTTACGGCAGGGCAAGGTTTAACCGCCTAGTCGTACATCTCCAGAATTATCCGGCCGAAGTAGGATCGAGTTTAGAAGGTGTTTGAAGTTGATTGGGCCGTCAACGAATGGGAGATAGATGTCAGTGCAGCCGAACTGGTCTATATTTTGTAGTTTGAAACTGAATGCTACATATAGCGTTCTTTTTTGTCCGAACCGGGCGCCTTCTAAAACCGCAAGTCCCATCCGATCTTAGGACCGAGGTTGAGCAACTCATCCGCTACACCTCTGCACATCTTTATCTCCACGGCCACTCAAGTACAAGACGAGATCCTTGTTACGTCCCAGCTTGTTGGCCGTCTCGACAGCGGCCCACACAGCGTGGGATGTCTCTAATGTACGTATAATGCCTTCCAGCTGGATCAGCAGGCGGAAGCCCTGTAGGGCCTGTGCATCCTTGCCGAGAGGAATGTAGCCCTGTTGCCCTCCTTCCAGTTCGCCAGCCCCGGTCCGACTCCCGGGTAATCGAGTCCCGCAGAGATGGAGTGAGTGTTGGAGATCTGGCCTTGTTCATCCTGTAGGACATACGTCCGAACACCATGCAAAACTCCCATCGAGCCACCACTTAGCGTGGCTGAATGCCGCGCTGTGTCTAGGCCATCTCCACTAGCTTCCACGCCAACCAACTGGACAGACATATCGTCGGAGAAGGGATAGAACATTTCCGTTGCGTTCGAGCCACCTCCCACACAAGCGACCACGGCGTCGGGACTCTTGCCTAGGTCCCGTGGCTGGGTCTTAGTTTCCTCTCCGATCACACTCTGGAACGTGCGGACCATCGTAGGGAAGGGGTGAGGTCCAATTGCTGAGCCGATAATATAATGCGTAGTGTCCAGGCGCACAATCCACGCACGGAAGGCCTCGTTCACCGCGTCCTGGAAGGTACGCGATCCCGACTCGACGGGGATAACAGTAGCATCCAACAAACGGATCCGGAAGACATTCAACGCCTGTCGACGGACATCCTCCGCACCGTAGATGGTACATTTCATGCTGAATTTGGCGCAGACAGTAGCGGTGGCGACGCCGTGTTGGCCTGCTCCCATCTCCGCGATAATCTCCGTCTTACCGAGTCTGCGAGGAATGAGAATCTGACCCAAGGCGTTATTAATCTTGTAAGAGCCAGTGTCGTTCAAGTCCTCGAGCTTCAGCCAAATGTTCACTCCGCCTGCGTACTCGGTCAGCCGGTTGGCTAGATGCAGGCTGGATGGACGACCCATTTAGGGATACTATAATTTGAATTCGGCCCAGAAGGTCGGATCATTCGGCGCGGCTTCGAAGCCAGCATTCAATTCATCCAGACAGGTGATCAAGGCCTCCGGAGCATATTGACAGCCGAAATCGCCAAATAGTCCTGAGCCACCGGTAGTAGCCGCTGCCTCTTCCTCGACAGCTGATTTAGGTGCACTCGCCTCCGACGCTTGGGGAGCCGCAGGGCCGCAGCTACCGAGGCATCCCGAGCGACCTTTCTCTGCGTGGTCTGCAAGCAATAGTTCTCGATAACCCGTGCGGCCTGGCCAGCTGGGACATCACTTAGGGCCGCAATCACTTAACTGCCGATGACGGCGCCGTCGGCGATGGAGGTCACGCTCAGGAAATGCTCGCGAGTGCTGATACCGAAACCAACGGGCACGGAGACATTTTCCGAGAAATCCTTAACGCGCTTGATAAGAGCAGGGAGTTCCGAATTGAGAGTTCCAGTGGCACCGGTGACGCCATGCGAGAGACGAGATAGATGAAGGAGTCTGCCATTTTGCAGAGGGCCTTCATGCCATTTCAGTGGTGGATGGTGTGATCAAAGGGAGGTAAGAGAAACTGTCAATTTTGAGGAAATTAGCATTGACCCTCAGCAATTTAGGCCCTCGTCATGTACCGTGTCTTCGTACAGCCCTCGTGGAATCGAATTGCCTCTTTGCAGTCAGCCAGGAGTTTGGGCTCCCCGTAGCGCATGATCGGGTTGTAGTAGCCCATGAAGAGCACAGGTGTCTTGAGTCCATTTTGGCGGGCATCGCGGACCATATCCAACGTAGATGAGATGGTAACGCCATTTTCGAGCGCCTTCAAATTCGATTTTTGAATAGTCGGGCCATCTGCGATAGGATCGGTGAAAGGCAGACCGAGTTCGATAATATCTGTACAATGCCTAGTTGGATGAGTTTTCTCAATTGTTGCGGAGGTGACTCACCAGCCCCTCCAGCCTGCATCCCCAACAAAATGTCTCGAATTCCCTCGACATGGGGAAAGCCGGCTGTCACCTAGGTTACTAGTGCCGGACGGCCTTGACTCTGGCATTGGGCAAAGGTCTGTCGAAGATGTTCCATGGTGGGGGAAGATGGGTTGCGGGAAGAAGTACAAACCCGTGGGATGAAATAAAAGTGGACCAGATCTGCCAGATCAGCGGAGTCGGAAGAGCTCCGTAACTGACCCCTTTCATAAATGGGATTGATACAACCACTACCAATGCGATGACTGGCGGCTGAGCGTTTCGCCGCGTTTTGAGCATGTTGTTACAGACTTGAACGCATTCGTGGCGGTCGAAAACCTCCTGAGGGCAGTCTTCTTCTGCTATACGATACGGTAGACGGCGCAGATCATACGTCGCAATTCCAGAGGCAGCTGGGGAAAGTAGTAGAATGAGTGGTTGGCCATCTTGCTGTGCACTTAACTAATTATATAGTTAGGAGTATTTGACCGCTATGAGCAATCAAAATGTTTGCAGGTATTTTTAGCGTATCACAACGTATTGCAATGTTACATCTAACGTTACCAATGCTTGGATCCGTGGGGCCACTTGCTGCGGCTGCGGCCCGTGCACGGATCTTAAATGGATTTCAAGGTTCCAAGGTTCCACGCTCCCGACGTCCCGAGGTCCAGTTCAAGGTTTATTGATGGGGGAAGTTGATGGACCTGGACAGATATGTCGTTTCCCACCATTCAGATGAGTCACGATATTGAACAAGAATTGGTGCGAATTGAGAGGTCCCCGCTTTGACTTCCCCTCACGAAACGACTCAGATTGATAGGCCAGCATGGCTGATCGCTCGGAAACTCTTAAGGGTTCTAAGTCTCTGTCTATTGACAGCTGTCATATACTAGGGCGGCGCTTCCCACCTGACGAAGTTGATTCCCTACTCTTTTGGTCTAGGGCAAGTCCGTTTGCGCACTCATACCTAGCAGTCTAGCAATTGGGTCATTCACCACTATCCACTCTTTTATCTGTGCAATTACCTCATTATATACATTTAGTGATTTTTCTCTATGGGCTATTGTGGGGCTTATAAGGGGAAGATGGGCCTCATATGGAATGTCCTAGGTTATAAGTGTCGTTAAAGGGACAGTATGGGAAAAGAAAGTCCCAAGTATTAAGAACATCCTCTCGATACTTTTACGCACTCTTTGCAGACAACACTAAATAATAATGACTGCCCTTCTAGAATTTATAGTAAAGCTCGGGTTTTCCACCTTCTTACTAGACGGAATGCCGCAATTGTTATATACTTTGTAGGAAGTAGCTAAGAACATAGTTTCGGTCTATCAAGTAGTGCGAGCTAAGATTTCCTAATCTACCTAAGGGAGGACTTGTCGGGGAACTGTACTTGGAGAGAGCATTGGACATTCAGTACAAGTCAAACCTAATCGGTTGATCTTTAATACGAAATGCACTTCTTTTTGTGGGAACAATAGGTGCTCGGCGGTGCCCCCTACGTACAGGAGGGATAGGGTGCGCTCCTATAGTTGTGTTCCATGCCCAGATGACTTTATCTCTCCAGGAGTACAGTTTTAGCCCGTGCCTACCGGAGCTTAGAGTGGAACGAAAGCGGGCGGTATCGGATTTGAAGGAGTCGATATACTCGGGTTGGGATCCTTGGCGCCATCGCTTACGCTGAGATCGGGTGGAAGAACTGAACGCAATCTTGACTTGTCTTATTTCCCACCTGTAATTTTGAGTTATAAACTGGAAGAAGATATGGAACCGCAATAGTGGTGACCGAAAATGACACAGGATTTCAGACATGGCGGCAAGAAAATTCGAGGCATTTCAAACTTGCCCCATATAACCGCTATAGCGAAGGTAGGATCTAACCAATCCGCGGGTCCTCTTGATCTTGTTTTTTACCAGCGAGATCGTTCCTAGAATCATTCGGGTCTATCGAATCCTTATTGTTGTTGATCGGATTATGACAGTGTCCAGAGAGACATGAGAAAGATGCTTTGGTCATGCCTCTGATAAAATCAAGGCCACAAGGAAAATACAATATCTATGCGCGATCCGCACACGCACAAATAGGGCCCGCGGAATCCGAGAGGGTTGAATTGTCACTTGCCGTCAGTGCATCTTCGCTGGCTACCGCGGCAAATTATTATTCTCACTCTTACTTCGCATCTGAGACTACACTGCTATTGGAATGCACGGGGTCTAATGCTGGAATCGAAACGTACTCGGAAAAGGAATATCAAATGAACACTTGGCAATTATGCATTGGTGCACACAAAGAGCACGGGTAAGAAAATGAGGTTGATCACTCTACAGCTATGTTTCTCCGTACTCGACTTTGGAATAGATTGAAGCTAAGATGGGGCTAAGCCTATCTAGGAAATTGATCGGCACTCTAGTGTCAAGCCCAGTGGAGCCCATCCAAGTCAATCTAATCTTGATTGATGGGGGCATCTGGATGAGAACAGGTTGCATGTTGAGACCAGATCTGATGATTGGCCAAGCACAAACCGCCTTGGCATGGGCTCACTGGCGGGGAATTGTGTCCCACAGAGAAAACAAGGTCCGTGAGATACAGACATCCAATTCACTCAATTGATTCTCCAGTCTTTCCGTACGACTCAAGTCATAGCGTGAAGTCGACAGCGATGCTCGCGTTTCAATCGTTGTTTCTAGCTTAAATCTGCAGGATGAATCGAATAAACAGAGGTCTTTTTATTTACCTCGGGAGTCAGGCAACAGCCTGGAGGGGTACATACTTAGCGCAGGAACATGCATCATACCCAGGCCCAGGCTCAACATGCTCAAAACTACGTTCCACCGACATCATCGATCGACGAAACTTCACTCTTTTTGGCGTCCATTCATCAATAACCCCGCATCACACCATTAACCCGGGCTACGGTGGAGCTATGTCCGCAATAATATGCAGCCCAAGATTACTATAAGAAGGGCGTCGGCACAGGGTTGGGAACAGATTCTTAGGCTTACTGGATTCTAATCTCTTAGGCCACAAATTACCAAAAGCCCTTCAAAACAAAACGCAATATCCCTAACGAAGCCTCTTCTTCGGCAATCAAAGCTCAACTCCACACGATGTTGGCCCCGGCTCCCATCCAAGCCAAGGCTTCAAGCTCGGCTAGCGAACTATACCTCAGCCAAGCCCGCGCCAGCGGCAGCACTGAAGATTGCATGGCTCTGTACGACAAATGGGCAGCCTCATATGACGACGAGGTTGGAGACAGTGCTCAGAACTACGTTGCACCCGTGCTTGTCGCTCAAGCCGCCATCAAATACGGGCTCTCAAACGGTGCCACCAACAGCGTGATACTGGATGCCGGTTGCGGTACCGGACTGGTGGGGGTGGCTCTTGCAATGGCCAAGGCCAAAGCGATCGATGGCATCGACCTATCTCCCGCCATGCTTTCTGTCGCAAAGAAGACCGGCGTCTATCGAGATCTCACAGTGGCAGACATGAACCGACCGATTGACAAGACGGACGGAACATACGACCTCGTCTCCTGCGTGGGAACTTTCACTCTTGGCCATGTTGGGCCAGACCCTGCTCTGCGTGAACTTGTGCGGGTCGCTAAGCACAAGGGTGTCGTTGTCTCCACGATTCTGGAAGAGATCTGGGTGCCCGGAGGCTTCCAAGCTGAGGTTCAGAAGTTGTTGGCGGAGGGTCTGGTGAAGGTAGTCACCGATGAGCTTATAGACTATGTAAAGGGACACGGCGACAAGGCAGTGTTGCTCATTCTAGAGAAGATCGATCGCGACTGAACGAGACCCATGCGAATCACGACACAAAGCCCGAGCGACTCACAGCCCTTGCAACGCGAATTGATTGGTCTTCAACTCCTCCAATGCGACATACAAAGATGGGATCTCAACACCCCAACCCCAATGCAACACTGCGATAGGCCCCGGATGCACTCGACTTTAGCTACGTGGAAACAGCTTGTCATTTTCTTAGAACCATATTTAAATTATAAATCCTAACGACTAAATGAGACAATGTCGTGATATTTGGCGAAATTCTCTCCGGCATACGTTTATACTCCGCTTCATGGATCCGTGTTCTTTTATGCATCCAACTTCATGAACCTGCTCTTCACGCAGCAGGTATGTAGTTCATTTTGAGCTTTTTTCAATACTGTGCAACATCCAGAACATGCATGGGGCGCGGGGTAGGCATTGGCAAGGCCAAGACGGAGCAGAGAGATCCGCGGCATATGATTCGCACTCAACACCACTTGGACTCGTGAAATCCGGGGGTTGGGGATCCTTGGCATGTCTCACATTCGTCAAACTTACGTTACACATTTATACGGTCGTTTGAGGGCCGAAGCGACTTGAGAAAAGTCTAGTCGCAATATGTATTGGAACTAAGGCCAAAATGCAATTTTCATGGCCTTATTCATTTTATATACACGAAAAACCAAAGAGAAGCCAACCAACACCACGTTATGCAATGAGAGCCAAAGAGCAGCCATCCTAAATTCAAATAGATGGTATCATGCAATGTTCATAAGAGTTGCGAGCGCGCGGAGCGAGAAGTTTGACGAGGTAGTTATCGATACCAGCCGTAGTAGCCTGGTCCTGAAAGCCAGCGGAGGAAAGCCCAGTGACAGCCATGATGCAAGAAGGTCTGATGTTAAATTCCCGCTCGAATTCACGAATCCTGCTCGTTGACACGAGGCCGTGCGTCACCTGCATTGAGGTGTCCATCAGGATGAAATCGTAATGAAGGTTAGAGGATTTGTACTTCTCCAGTGCGACGAGGCCGTTGTGAGCTGAGTCGTAGCTGCAGTTTATTTTGCGCGGGAAGGTGGCCATAAATTGGTCAAAAAAGAAATGAAAATTGAAGTGAGGGGGGAAATTGAAGAAATGTTAAGCCATGTCTTCGGGACGACGGTGAAGTCCTGGAACCCAGCGATTCAGCTTTCGTTCCCGGTCCCAACCGCGTCCCTTTATCCGGTCGTCGTCCCGAAGGAAGCACCACGCATTGATCTGCCAGCGATTCGTATGGAGACATACACGTGTATGAAAGGCCACAGCGAGGGCTAAGACATTAATGAGACAGGCCTGCCAACCAGTAAAAACAATCTTGATACTGAAATGGAGGTCTTTCGAGTTGAAATCGATATATAAAACCTGGGGCAACACACGGATAGATACACAAGGTATCAAAGACATAAAAGGGCCTCTCATGGGTGCTCAAATATCCCGTCGCGCCTTCGGTGAATTCCACAAGTCAGCGAGTGAAGAGCGGCTGAAGGCGGAGGACTGACAAGGATTAATATCGTGGTGAGATTGACAACTCACAATAGAGCGGGCCAGTCATTATCTTTGACAACGCCATCAATGATGTACTCCTTCTCTTCAACATTTTCATATCGCTCACTCAGAGGCCCAGTGAAGCGCTTGGAAGTGAAGTTGAAACGGACAGCTGCGACTGCAAACAAGCCAAAGGTAACCAGCTGGAGAATGACACCTGCTTGTGCGACGTGTTTCCCCGTGTCGAGATTGTTTTTCGGTGGTTAACCTTGCTTAAATCTTAATTGGTATTCGAAGGGAAGTTTTCATGGGGCATCGATGGGTTGTGGTAGTTCGTGACTTCGTATCTGATGCTGCGAGAAGTTGAATCAGTTTTCCCCCCGAAGTCTTCGAATTTCCCGGGTCCAGCGGTCTTGTCCGGCTTTCCGCTGCTTCTGGGCCTTGTTGGCGCCTTCGGGGGCGAGGGTTTCTCTGGCGGGGGAGTGTTTTCTGGCCGGCGAGGGTCCCTTTCTCTTGCCGTCTGCCCGAAGAAAACCTCGCGAGGTGATTTATCAGCCAGTCGTATAGCGACGAACACTTATATACAAGTCGTAAGAACCGAGGCTGAGAGAGTAATTAAATAAGCTTCCTAACCAGTGAAAGGAATCTTGACATTGGTAACTTAGAGGAAAGATTAAGAGAGAACGAACAGAATGCATTAACGTAAAGGAAATTAAGATAACTTTTACAATTGAGGAAGCTACAAATAACCGGGACGTGATACAGAAAGAACGTCCCAGTGGTCGAATTAGAAATAAAGCCTTCTTTGTAGTCTTCTTAGTAGTCTTCTTAGTATCTTTTTAGTAGTGTTAGGACTAGTAGTTTTATATTGAACCCAAGCGATTTTATAAATTTATAGTGGCAGAGTGCTCTTGCTTAGGTGCACTGTAAGATGGGGTTTGAGCCCGTCTGGGGTGGTGATTGGGTCCTGGAATCAGGGACATAGTCGCATGCACGACCCGTAGTCGGGTTGGCCAGGCCACTTGGGACTAACACATTGTACATATAGCATTCTTGAAGCGATTTACACAGACACACGATTCCTTTCTTCTCGACTAGTCGGGACTGAAAATAGCGGCCAACGAACGTGGGCGTCAACAGTGGACATTCTTACCTTGGGCCAATCTCGTCCAGATGGCCAAGATAGTCCCAGAGAGCGGGATCTCCATGCCGACTTACACGACTAGACGGTGCGATGAACCGCAACAAGACGGCATCCAGATTGCAAAACCGCACGGCACAGTCAGAGATCCCACCAGCTTCCTCAGCTGTAGCACCAACATTGGAAGGACATCTACCAATGGTATATTTGGGCTGGTGGTGGGGTAGTGGCGACTTGACACATCTATAAAAGTATGCCTCGAGGCCAGCGGTATATTCAACAACGCAATTCAGAAAGCCAAAGTACTTACCGGTGGGGATGATCTGCGGTGGTGCGACACACCCGGTGGCCGCTGATCCTACAATATATGCACGGTGAAACCAAAGGGGCTCTAGCGGGCAATAGCGATCATCTTCGTGCAGCTGTATGCCGCTGACAACGGAACTTGGTAGTTTCCAAGGTTGCTCATTTTATCTTCCCGGCTGTGGTAGATCTCGTAGAGAACACTTGGCCAATTCAGTTAGGAGCAAGAACAGTTTGGGGGCGGTGATGGGAATGGTGTCGAATATAAAGGACAAATAAGTACAATATAGGGCTCTCCCCCGCAATCTTCTGACATTAGGTCTCACTAGATGGACGCCTTATAGTCTCTTTTAGTACATTTTAGTAAATTTTAGTACGTTTGAGACTGCCTTGGAATAAGACCGAACCCCCGCAGCTGGTCCAACCCGAGTTGGTACCTATAGATGTATGAATCACCCCTCTTGTGTCTACTTAACTTGTAGATCTCCCAATTTCTACTTTTCCAATATAAAACAATAAACAATCATACAATGGCCGAAAATGCAACCTGCACTGTCGAGGAGTTCACCCGCACCACATTCGACTATGTCATCTGCGGCGGCGGAACTGCAGGACTCGCTCTCGCAGTGCGCCTCAGCGAAAACCCCGCTGTAACCGTCGGCGTCATTGAGGCGGGCAAGTACCGTATTGGAGATCCGCTAGTTGATACTCCTGCGGCCTTCCCACAGATGTTCGAGAATCCGGAGTATGATTGGTGTTTGTATTCGGTGCCGCAGGTAATTTTTATTCGCTACATCCATCTGCTTTCAATTGGCTAACATATCTCATGTGGTTATAGGAAGGCAACCGTGGCTTGACTCACCATATCCCGCGGGGAAAGCTCCTCGGTGGATCCAGCGGCATTAATTATATGATGTACGTGCGGGGATCAACGCAAGATTATGACGACTGGGCGGAGCTGGTAGAGGACGATGGGTGGTCTGGGGAGCATATGCAGCAATATATGCGAAAGCACCAGGTACGATGTCATCATTTGAATTTTCCAATGTGGCTTTTTGTCAATCGAAAACTGACTAAATGAACAGACTCTTGAGCCACTTGACCCATCCATCACCGATCGCTCCACGATGCCACTCGTAGGCGAGTTCCATGGAACGAGCGGGCCCATCCGCACCGGCTTCAATGATTCAATCATGCCAGTGGAGAACGACATCATAAAAGCCTGCGAGGAAGTAGCCGGCATCACAAACAAGCCAACCGACCCATGGAGCGGCGACCACATCGGCTTCTACCACACCCTCGGCGCAGTTATTCGAACCGGCCCGAACAAGGGTAAACGCAGCTACGCTGCAAGAGGATACTACGAAGAGAATCGCGCCACTCGTCCAAACCTCAAAGTCCTCTGCGAGGCCCTCGTTAACCGCGTCGTACTAGATGATAACAAAGCCACCGGCGTAAGCCTCACACACGACGAAGTCGAGTACCAAGTCTCGGCACGGCGCGAAGTAGTCGTCAGCGGCGGGACAATCCAAAGCCCCCAGATCCTCGAGCTATCGGGAATCGGCGCCCCGGAAGTCCTAAAGGCTGCCGGCGTCGAGTGCAAGGTCGCCAACAGCGGCGTCGGCGCAAACGTCCTAGACCACGTCCTCACCCTCACCGTGATGGAGGTTCAGCCCGGCATCGTCACACTAGATACCCTGTCCCAAGTACCCGAGGCAATGGCATCTGTCGGTAAACAATATGCCGAAAACGGCAACGGGGCACTCAGCTCCGTCGCCAGCATGCAGGGTTTCTTCCCGGCGAAGTCAATCATCTCCGAGACAGAGCTGGCAGAGATCATCCAGAGCATTCGGGATATCAAACCGAATAGCGCGTTCCACGCGAAACAACTCGAACAGACTATCGCGAGCCTCGAGGACGACCATTCTGCCAATATGCAATTTGTGACCGTGCCAAGTTCCATGAACCCAGATGCCGTAGGTCATCAGAGCAATCTACTTCTACCGCGCCCGGTTGATCGGCCGGCTGGTTTGACATTCGCGCTTTGCCTGCAATACCCCGTGTCTAGAGGGTCTATCCATATTGAGAGTGCAGGTGAGTTAGAATCAAACACAAAGCCCTTCTATGTCCACTGAACTCACTATTAAATCCAGACCCAACTAAACCCCCTATTATCAACCCCAACTACGCCGGCCACCCAGCAGACGTCTCCCTTCTAGCGGCGTTCCTGCGCTGGTGCGATAAAGTCACGGAATCAGAGCATGTGAAGTCTTCATTCCTGCGGCGTGCACATCCGGAGCCCAATATCAACTTGCAGGACATGGAAGCGGCCCGAGAAGCGGTGCATGACGTCGTCGCGGGTGAGTATCATATCAGCGGGTCTGTTGCTATGGGTGATGCGTTAGATAGCAGATTGAGGGTGAAGGGCGTTGAGGGACTGCGTGTTGTGGATGCGTCGGTGTTCCCGAATAACGTTTCTGGGAATATTGCTAGTAGTGTTTATGCTGTTGCGGAGAAGGCGGCGGATTTGATTCGTGAGGATTGGGATTTTAGCGCCGCGAAGGAGACCATCGCGTAGGCCTCTTTTGGGGTGTTGTTTCAGGCGAAAATAACTTCAGGTTAGCCCTCGAGCTTTATACTTCGATGAAAAACGCACATATATATGTATTTTATATATACGTAGGGATCGATTCATACAGTAACTGCTAGTCTTAATTTGGAGAGATGAACATTGGAAAGAGACTATGTTGGCTGCGAGACATTTCCTATCTTTCTAGATGCAGTGCTAGATATATGACACACGTCAATCTTGATTAGTCCAATTTCAGCTTATAGTCCTTCCAAGTCTAACCCAAATACCTGACGGAGCCTAACTGGACTCACCTGGCGGCTCCCCTCAAATTATTTAATGATTTCACGCCAAGTCCGCAATATATCGTTGAATCATAAACCGCTCCAAATCTCCCAAGTCACTAGCTCCAACAGCGCCAAGCCCTTCCGAAGCACTAACGTGCCAAGCGCCCAAGGTATCTATGTAGCGGGTGTTAGGCGCTTGGCACGGTTAAAGATATCAAAAGTTGATCTCCCACCATCTCCAAAGTAAGATTAAACGCTTCAGTCGAGGTCGATCGTGTGAAGTACGTGATTAGGTTTCAGTATCAACAAGAAGGTGTGGGGTTGCAAGGATCTCAACGGTTCTGGGTTTATATTATTGGTCCTATATTTCCGTGCTATATTGCATATATGTATCGTCCAGTTCACCGTGATCTGAATAGATATACTAGACATAAGTATCACGAGACCGCAAATCCAATGTTTCCCACAGGCAGTATGCACAAGTCCATAGCTCAGATGTGGTGCCTACCAGACTAAAAGTGGGGCCTATTTATTCTAGACTTCCAACTCTCGGCCCTTATCCAAATCAGCTCGGAGCTCTTTATTGTCTCCTCCGTTCCGACCCATTTTTCTTGTGGCGATATCGAGGAAAGATATGACACGAGATACAATTATTTGAGTATAGATGCAATATTGGGTTGTACAATATATGTTGTACATTTTACCTATCGAGTCTACTAATTCGGAGGATATTCGCATGACATGTAAGTGCGCTAATGGCAATTCGTCGGTTAATACCGAGGTAGTTCTAGGTCTAAAGCTTGAAATGGCATGCGTGCCCCATTTCTCGGCGCATTGACATTTCCTATATCGGGCAAGGCGTGTGAAAGAGAGGTGAAACACTTGTACGGGGACATATGTACTACTTTCCCTCCCCCCTTCTAAAATCTTCGGGCCTTTTTCGGAGGCCAACGTTGTATGCAAGTGTCGATGAAGAGCAGAACAGTTTCCGTCGGATTTCCAGGCATTTTCTGTCGATGGAGATTTTAGCCACGCCTTACACACGAATAATATAAACCAGGGCTGAATAAGATCCAAGCTAGCCTTGGAAGAAAACACGCTAGTCACCTGACCCTCTCATCAAATCGTGGGAGCACGTGCGACAGAGCTGTCTCCCGCTAGTCCCAGGACGGCAGAACGTTAGAGGGGGGCGACATCTTGACTTTTGAAGCTTCTCGCTTCTTCAAATTGCATTTTCCTTCGCCAATTTCTTTGAACTGGGTTTGGATTTTTCTTCCGATACTTGTCTTCTTACCCCCTTCCAATCTCCAATCTCCAACCTCCAACTTCACCTCTTCACATCCGACAATGTCTAGCCAACCTCTCCTCCAAACCGCTCCGGGTGAGTTCCGACACCTCCAATCTCAGCAACTCAACAGCTCAGCACAAGAGACAATTCCATCTGGATTTCCTCCCCTCTCTACGGCGATGGTTGGCGCGCGATAGTTTTCTTTCTTTTAAGCTGTGGATGTCGACTAACACCGTGGTGACATCCACACCCCAAGAGAAACAGTGATCGCACTTCCCATCCCGGCCCACACCACAACCATCATCCAATCCTCCAATCTCCACCCCTAACCAGCTAACATCCACCAGGCAAGCGAATCGCCCTCCCAACCCGAGTCGAGCCCAAAGTCTTCTTCGCAAACGAGCGCACCTTCCTCTCATGGCTGAACTTTACCGTCATCCTGGGCGGCTTAGCCGTCGGCCTCCTCAACTTCGGCGATCGCATCGGTCGCATCTCCGCAGCCCTCTTCACCGTCATCGCCATGGGCGCAATGATTTATGCCTTGGTGACATTCCACTGGCGCGCACAGAGTATCCGTCGGCGCGGACAGAGTGGTATCGATGACCGATTCGGTCCTACGATCCTCGCCATTGCCCTGCTCGCCGCTGTCGTTGTTAACTTCATCTTGCGGATTAAGGACGGGCAGATGAACTAGGATGAGCCTGGAGTGCATATGATCGCTTTTTGTCTTGGATGGCGATGTTGAATTGGAGAATTGATTCCCATTTGGCCGTCTGAATATTATACCATTGATTACGTTGGTCCATTCTTGTTCGGTTCACTGTTATTTTGGCAGCTGTGTCTGTTTTATGTATTCACTTGGCGTATATTGGTCTTCTTTATGCTTATTGGGCCAGACTGCCTTTTTTACATTCGTGCGGTCGAGTCGAGCGTCTGTCTTAGTTGCAACTGGCGTTTTTGCGGATTGTGCTTGTCTAACAAGAAAAAAAGAAAGAATGGACGATTGAACTCGAATTGAATCTCATTACGTCATCTGTCTATACGCACTCCCTCAATCTCACGGGCAATTATCATTACCAACCTCCACGTGAACATATATCGTGGATAAACTCCACAATTTGGTGGAACCTTTGCCAGCAAGCGTAACATCAACACTGGAGCACTTTGCCGTCCAAAGAGTACTACCCTAAGCAAACTACTGCCAAACCCTCAGAGCGCAAGCACATTGATTGTTATCACCAGCCTTCCGAGGCAAACAACTCACACCTTACTGGAGCTTCGCAAGTCATTTGGGCGAGACAGTTATGAGAAATTCGGCCGGCCATTCTCAAAACACTGAAATTGTGTTTTGCCTTCCAAGATCGCCAAGCGAATTTTGCAGTGAAAAACAACCATTCAATTCCTTCCGTAGGCAGAGGCCTCCGTCATGGATAGCTACTATCTTCCGCTTCAGTAGGAAGGTATATGCCGCCATTCTCACTTTCGCGTCTCGAAATTCGACAACGGTAAGTCCACCAAAGTGCAAAATATGTCGAGCGATGCAAGACGTAAGCCGTAAGGTTTCATATTCTGGTGAGGCCATGAGCCTGTGTGATTCGGAGTCGAGATAACCGACAGAAGATGTCTCAGAAAATTACAACGCTGTGATAGGAAGTAAGGCTCTTTGCAGCTACGGTCCGAATCCCAACCTCACTAATTCTCAGTCTCGTCCATGGCAGAAGATGGAAAGATTCTTCACCAATACCAATATAATCAGAAATGATACCTCGACAATTCCAAGTGTTTCAACTTTCGAGAGCTCAATATCTGGCTGAGCAAGTTCCTTGTCTTCAAGGCGGCTACCTGCAAATTCCACATTCACCATTTTTCTCCGCTAGGTGCTCCGTGTCGAATGAGGGTGGTTGCTCACAGGCCTTTCTTGGCTTTTCTGCTTTGCAATCATCGGACTTGGGAATTTGTTGCTCAACGTTGACCGATACTCTTGGCAATATGCTCTGCTTTGTAGGTATGCTTTTGACGAGAAGAGAGAACTGGATGTTCAGACATAAACGATCCCGACTTTGATGTCTTCAGCGGCTCGTATTGCCGTAGGAGTATGAGCAATTGGATATCAGTTGACCTTAACCAAAGTCAGTACCATATTGTCAATGTCAATCCTTTCGCAAATGTCCATACCTGATCGACTTGATATCCTAAGTAAAACTTACAGACACTTGTAATGCATACAACCCTGTTGGTGACCCGGGATGGGCTGTCTTCCTGATTCGTTTCAGCACGCGGTATAAGAATCTTGTACCTTATCGCAAGAAAAAAAAAGCTCCAGGAACCAGCGCAGAGCAGCCGGTGTCGCTTCGTTATCATATTTGAGCTTGCCAATGGGACACGACAATATGTTATTGCAACCGGACAGCTTGGCGAGTAGTGCGACGGCTCATCAAAATTGTTGAGAAACCCCGAGTGGGTGTTGGCGATGTAGACGTAAAGGGCATCGGCCGCTACTCCAGAAAGAGCTAGGACCTGGACCTTTTCAGGTTTAATAAAATAGGGCACCAATCCGAGATTATGCAGAACATACCTTGAAAGAATTCGCTGTGTTCCAAGCCATTTGCTCTGTACTTAGAGAGGACGAGCGAGCCGCTCTCGATTTGCATCACTCAACGTGGTATCTGCATCCATATGACTTGTATGATTTTTTGTTATTATTTTCGCACCTTATTCTTGCGATCCTTCCTGCTGCTGTCGCCGCCGCCGTTGCTACTGGGCTAAAGCGATCAATATCGTCACGATGTATGGGTCTTCGGCGGGATTTTGGGGTTTAGGAGAATCAAGCCTTTTCTAGGTGCTTGGCTGTGCTAGCTTAGTTGCAGTGCGGATTGCGTGATTGTATCGCCCTCTCTCTGGCTTCGTCCGCGCTGCACCATCTGCCGCTCTACTCCCATCGTTTTGGAAACCAAGATGTTGCGATGCTGGTTGTGCTTATTGTTTCCCCTTCCTCCTCCCATTCTGGAGGCGGAACTGGCACGTCAAAAGTCGCAGTTGGTCCGAGGTCCATGCTATCGGCGGCACATACAAGCGTACCCCACAATGATCACGGATAAGCCTGAATTGAATCTGGTTGGGGTTGCCTCCTAGCTGTCGTTTGTGGGTATGTGGCAAACAGAGACTGGGTTTGGGAGGAACGAGGTCGCTGGGCTGGGTGACTTGCAATATTGTTTGGGGCCTTTCGCTTGAATCCAATTGTTGAAGAAGGCAAATTTGACATTTTGTTGAGATAATTCCCCGGGAATGCGCGACCGTTCAGTTCGGTGGTAGTGTCTGCTGTTGAGCCGCCCGACTAGGTTTATACCGTGGCTTGATAGAGTGCGTTGGTCAATATATTCGTTTTGGGAGTGTTGATTGGTCAGAGATCGAGGAGGCTGTTGTTAGTATAGTTGTACGGCATGGCGCTAATAAGTGTTGGTGTTGGGAGGGTATCTAGTCTCGGAAGGATGGTGCTCGTTAGGGTGCTTATCAGCTTCTATGGAGAGGAGAGGGAGTTGACGATAAGCATATCTCCTTTGGGGTTAGCAAGAACAGGGGATTGGATACTGTTTTGATTGGAATGTTACTTTGTAAACTTTGGGGGTAATGTTCTTGTTCAAGGTACTTCATATGCCTTTGTACATGCATATGCAGACATTATCTAGCTAACCTAGGTCCACGGGTCCACGGGTACATTGATGGATTACAACATGAACAGCCGAAATTTCAACCCGTGCATAGTCCAAGCGATGCGCAGGGTCCGAAGTCTGATCGCATCCCCATAATGCGGAGTGCAGGAGTGGGAAATGTGGGAGATTCGAATATCCCTGGTAGCATAAGATGTCAGATTTTGTACTCCGTATTCTGTGAGGTATGTTGAGAATGAGAGAGGTGGAGGTGTATTTGGTTGCACCTTTGGCTGCGTTAGGAAGCCGATACGGTATATAACAAAATATAACATAATAGTTGACCAAGTATGCAGCCTCTGTCATTTCAAGATCGACGATGTACAGCTTGGTACTCAGTGCGCTGGGTTACGCGTAAAGCATGGCAGACTCTACTTTGTATGATAGTCATAATGATGATAGTCAGGGATAAGCGGAGCAAGTATACCTCGGCACATGAAGTGAGAGGGTACGAGTGGATGGCGATTGAAAAGATGGGGAAGAGACGGGCATGCCAGTTAGGGTTTCTGTGACCAGAGTTCTGACTTGGGCTCGGAGTTCCCAATTCCCAAATTGACGGGTTGTGATCAGAGTTTGTGTGGAAAGTCCGATCTTCGATATATCTTGAAATGGCTAGAGTATACTCCGTACTCCAGATGGAGTAATAATTTACGCTATAAATAGGGGTAATATAAAGAGTGGCTCCGATATATAGTTCCCTAAGAACCTGGGGAAGCCGAATTGCCCCTGTTCTCTCCTGTTCTCTCCTGGTTCGACAATGTTCCACAACTTTCCATTTGCTTTCTCAGCCACATACCTGTATGGAAGGAATATGATTTGTACTTTCGTGTTTCGCACATGCTGAGGCGCAGTCAGAACCTGTTTATACCCGGTTTGCCCCCTTGCGAATTTTGTAGATCTGATTTGTTGACCTCACAGATCGTAGATCCAACTTAGGTAGAAACAGGGCAAGGCCCAGACCGTTATCGGCTTGGCAATTCAAAGTTGGGTATATTGGGTAGCCGTAGACATCCGAATGTGAATAGATAGCTGAATCCATACATATGTAGGCAACTAGGTAGACGTGAATAGATAATGTATCGACGTTATAATGGAATAGATATAATATCTCCGTATACATAGAACATATACTCCGTACTCCGTAGATAAATAAATAATGTAAATGTATGACGTGTCGCAGATATTTGAGACTGATCCAATAATATCCAAAGGTACATGATCTGCCCATATAATTAGTATGGGAACAACAAGTATCACATCATAACTCCACTCCCCTTTCCTCTTCTTTCCCAGGCACCTTCCCCCATTTCCCATTATTCTTTGTCTCCCTCTCTCTCAATCCCCCTTTCTCCCCCCTTTCTTCTTTTTCCTATTGAACCTTTTCCATTATTCTTTCCCATTCTCCTTTCCCCTTCTCTTCCTGTATTCTCCTCCATCTTATTAATAGATTCTTTGCTGCCTTCCGTAATCAACCTCCGGTCGCGCAACGTCCATTCCTTTTTCCGTAATAAACTTGGAACGCATGGACCATCTGCCACCTAACCCAAAACCATCTCTATGCACTCACATGGCATGTTTCGCCTGCTTCCCTGGCCCTCTACTATAGGAGGGAATAAGGTGATGGAGGATGTCAAAATGCTGGCTCCAAACTGCAAGGGTATCAACACTCTGTCGCTGCCCCAGCTCAAGCGCAAACGTTCAGATTCCGACTCCGACGCGACCGATGCGCCCGCCTCGACGAAAGTCTGCGCGGATTCCGTTTCTACGCGCCCAACCCCGACCGTGATCGCTGACTCGATCGCTCTCACCCCCTCTACTCCAACTACCTCGTCAAACTCACCGGTCGCGTCCGCGCGCCCGCCGGCGCAGGACGCCGTCGTCGCCAGACCTAGTGTGACCCGACTTCGGGAAACTATCACCGCCCAGCTGAGCTTAGAAGTGTTACTCAAGCACAATGAACTTCGTCTTATCGACCAGGAAATCGCCAAGTGTCAAGTCGCTCTGGAACAGCTGCGACGCTGTGGCGAAATCCCCTATCCCGGATCCCGTGTCACGGGTATCTCGCCGGATGTGAGCTCGGGAATGGGCGCGTCAGTGCTGGCACCTGGAAATGGTCCGGCGCCGATGTCGCCTGCTCCATGGGGAGTGACCGAAGGCCCGTATGCTCGCCACTACGCCCGGTGGTTGCTTCCCGACCCCCGCTTTGACGGTGGTGAAGTGGACTCTGGGATGCTGCCAAATTCGCTGGTTGAGGGTCGGTCGACGCGTGGGAATCCCGGTGAGATGGGCATGCTGGCGGGCAAAACGCGTCCCCAGCGAGGCTCAACTGCCACCAAGCATACAGCACTGTCGTCTGGTTACCCTGTGGTCAAGGAGAAGTCCGGGCCGATGCTCATCCGGCGCAAGTCGGATGGTGTTCTGGTCAAGCTGGTCTGCCTGGACTGCCGGCGCGACAACTTCTCCAGCACTCAGGGATTCATTAACCACTGTCGGATCGCCCACAACCGCAACTTTGCCAGCCACGACGCTGCTGCCATGGCGTGTGGTCAATCTGTTCAGGTCGACGACGCCGGGACTGTGGTTGGTGGTTCTGCTGAGCCCACTGCTAATCCAACAGCCCCAGGCTACGTGCATCCTCTGATCCGCTCTACCCACGTTGCTACGACGCCTTGGAAATCTCTTCGCACGCCGGCTAAGGACTTTGTCACCCCCCGCACACCGGCTGCGGCTATCACCTCTGCTGTTGCCACTCCTCCCTCCACTGCTGAACCAACCAACCGACGACGGTCAGAGCCCATCCGGCAGCCTCCAAACCCACAGTTCTTGGCTTCTCCTGCAACTCCTCATCTGTCCGCTCTCATGAAATCACGTGGTGCTGGTATAGACATGGACAAGTTGGTGGAAGAGTCCCGAAAGCCTGTCGATCTTGGTGCTCTTTTCGACGATGACTCGGAAACAGATGACTCGCGACCATCGGCGGGAGCCAGCCATACCTCCCTTGGTGCTCGCGCCGGTCGCCAGCCGATGCGTATGCCTGCTGGTCAGACCGCTGGAGAGTCTGAGAGCCGAAAGGCCCTCGACCGCGCACACAGCCCGCCCGCCGAGCAAGCGACCCCGTCGCGCCCACAGTCCTTTTTGGACCTTTCTCTCGCTGGCCAGTCCCAATCAGCGCAGTCGCGGGAGTCGGACAACCTGGATCATCAGACGCTCAGCCCTCATGCCATCGAATCCAACCAAGCCCCTAGTTTGGTTAGTGATGATGAAGATGATTATGAGGCAGCCTCCGACTCCGACAGCCCTGCATCATCCGAAGCAGATGAGCAGGAGCAGGAGTTCCGCCACATCCACGTTGAGGACGACGAGCGTGCTGCTGCCCCGTCAGCTGCCGCTGAAGCCAAGCCGGGACCTTCCCTCGCGAGTTCTGCGCCGCGATCCGCGCCACCTCTGTCCCAGCCATTGAAGCGCAGTCGCTCCAAGAAGATCTCATCTATCGTCCCGTTCAGTGACAACAATGATCAGCATGTGGGCTATCTCCATTCTGCCCCCGCGGACAATGGTGCCAAGGCCAAGCGTGCTGCCAAGCGCAAGCCCAATCCGTCCAAGCGGTAATATCGCAAATCAATATTCGTTATATGGCAAAACCTAATAAAAAAAATCCGGGGTACAACACCCTGCTACCATTTCACGCGCCTCTATCCGGTCTGTACTGCGACTGTTTACCCAGTGCCCTTCCCGTTCCGACCTCTCATCTCCTCTCTTCCCCGGTTCTCCCTTCAACGGTAGACATGGCGTCTCCTCCCCCTTCCTACTTCTTTCTCCACCCTTCTCCATTACTTCTACTTCCTACCCTTCTCCGTCATGTCGAAGCACAATTCACTGGAAAAACCGGCCATCTTGATGATCGCCCGTGATGCATGGATTGCATGATGATCTGACGACTTTCTTCTGTTTCCCCCTCACCCCATTCTTATTCTTGTGATGCATGCGTCTCTCCTGTATCTGATACCTGCTTTTAATCAAGACTTTGACGGCCGTGACTTTGTACATAGCGATGAGATTGAAAAGAAAAATGCGACTGGTTTGGCATAGATGTGGTTCTGAATACCTAGACTTGAATGTGTACTCCGTAGTAAACATTACTACTGTAGCGTAGAGGCAGACCTTGTGTCTAACGGTGTACTCGGTGCTAAGTACATGTAATTATCTGAAACTTTCTAAAGTAGTCATGCAAGGCATCCCGGAGGTCCATACTACTTTGTAGTATGGAATGAGTACATACTCCACACCGATCTGAAACTAGATCTGCACTATTCTATCCTTAAATTGTCTCCACTAGACCCCTGCCGCGATGAGGCTCAACCAAGTTATGTAAGTACAAGTAGTTTAACAGTAACTTATTAGGCACCAGCCCCTATCTCCCAATCCGGTTGCATGTTGATTCTTGTTAAGCAAGTAGCCAAAACATCAGGTGACTGCTGCGATTGGTTGAGTGTCATAAGACCTGTGACCCTGGTACAGGGTGTAAGTGTAGTATTCACCTTTTACTGCTTTTGCTTTTCCCGCTTCTCCTTCTCCTTACCATCAGCCACGAATTGAAAGAAGCAACTACTCTACTCTGCGCCGCTACCTTTCCCTTCCTCTCACTTAGTATGGACGATATACTTCCCTTCGCCGATGATCACAGAGGACCGCTACAGATGATCCAATCTACGATAGAAGCGGGTATCTCACGCGACTACGAGATGGTTGACATGCCAATTGACAGTCATGGTGAGCCGGAAGAAGACAACGACAGCCAGGGCGCGGTGAACGAGCACAAGCTCTCGCAGCAGGTTCGGCCTTCTTTGATACTGGCCTTGAGGGCAAGGATAACGAACCCATCCGCAATATCTTCTGCACAGAGCTCCCTGTGGACTCTTCCGGCGAGTCTGTCAAAGGAGCAACTGCCAAAGAAGATCCTTCCAACCGGCCAACGCCAGCATCAACACCAACACCAACCAACCCGGCCAACCCAATCTACCGCAACCTAACCTCACCACCACCACCCATACCACTCGACGACGCAACCAAATCCCGCATCAACAAAAGGTTACAGGCAGTAACAACAGAGACCCCCACAATCCGGATAATGTTCGACATCCTGCCAGGTTTAGTCGACTGGTCGAACCCCATTACCTCCATAACTACGACGATAAACCCCTTCCTCTTGCACTAGACAATGTAAAACAAAGTAAACTTCCTAGCAGTGGAAATGCAGCACCGGCACGCGTACGCAGCAATTGAGATCAACAATCACAGATACGATTTCAAGACCGCCCATAAGCAGTCCTTCGTCTTTTCGGTTTATGTGCTCAAGTTGAGAAGGAGTCTTAGGTGGAGGCTTTATAGAGCACCTGCTGAGGATGTGAGGGTTTATGAATGAGGTCAAGATGGTGCATATTTGCATAGGGAGGTGGTGACGCCGTATTTGGTTTTAGGGTTGGTGGGAGAGAGCCGGCTTTTGGGGAGTCGAGGAAGTATTAGGGATAAAATGTATCTTCGGTTATTGATGGTTGTTTACTGGGTTATGTACAGTCCTTGGTCTCATCTGATAATTTGATATCTGTGTTTTATCTACCATCCTCCGACATATTGCCCACAACAGGGGTCCCACAGCCGGGGATATCAATACAGATATCTCGCACTTTGTTCACATAACTTCATGCTTTATCCTCTTACTACGCCTCGTACCAAGCTCACTAGAATCCTTCTTTGATTCCTTTGGTAGCTGGTCATTTGCCGACTCCATATCCTTCTCCATATTTAAACCAGCCTCGGGTAATTGACTCGCAAAGTAATCCGAAACAGCGATATTGCGGAGCACATAAGCAACCCTCTCAATATCGATAAATGAGACAGGTCTGTCCCCAGACTTCTCTCCGGCGCTATTGTTCAGCCGTGCGCGCAGCTCCTGTGAAGCATTCCAGAGTTCTCGATACTCATTCATGTTGTACTTGACAATCAACTCCCCATTGGGCTTCTTATGTTTAGAAGGCTTCTGCTCCTTGATATTGTTACCCTCTGGGAAATCCGTCAAACATAGCCAAAGGTACACATTGTCGCTGTAAAACGGGACTTGTTTCTCAGTGTCGCCGAAGACCGTGGCGATAGACAAAATCAAAGATGCAGTAGCTGGACCGACGCCACGGATAGGCGCAGTAAGGGCATCCAGACTTGCTTTAGGGAACGCATCATTCGGTGCAACCACAGGATCCACGTCTGGGAGGGCGGCGAAAGCTGTGGATGTAGACTTGGTGATCGTCGCGACTGGGTTGCTTGTCACCATTCCCATCAGCATAGGACGGGAGACTCCATGTTTCCTAGAAGTACGTCAGACAAAATGGGTACTTATAACATGGATACAGCAAATTGTTACTTACGTCTTCCATTCCATGATATCAATCAACTCCTCCTTCAGCAAGTGCGCCCCCTCCGCGCTTCCTTTCTGGCCACTCCCATTCGCCCGATCCACAATGATCTTCGGCAGAACTTCATACCGCCACTGGTCAAGCTGGAGGAACTTATCCGTCTCTTCCAGAATATGCTTCTCCTCGGACAGATTCAGCTCCGCCTTTGTGGTTGTCGCTGCGCCGGTCTTCATCTCCGCCTTCCGCTTTGGTCCCTTCGCCGCCTTCGAGTGCAGCTTCAGCATCAGCTTGCTGCGGTGCACTCGCTCTACCGTTAGAGGGTAGTGGGATAGCAGGTTGCGGAAGGTCTCGAGGGTGATATGGCGCGGATGGAATGATACACGGCTTTTGTTGTGATCCTCTCCTTGACCTTTTTCAGACTGGACATGTAGTGTCCTTGTGTTTGCTTCCTTGGCCATAGCAGGGGATTGCTGAGGGAAGACACGTTGGAAGAGTATGGATGTTCAAGCTTCCAAGGTTCCAAGGTTGGGTGGAGATCATATAAGCTGTTATCTCGAGCTCGGGAACTGATAAGCTGTTGTGACGCGACCCGACGCGAGTGTTATGAGTTGTTCACGGGTATTTTACTTCCTGTTTTGTAATTTCTACATTGTACATACTAACTATAAGACATAGATTACAATGGTGTAATGCGAGATGAGATTGCAGGATGACTGAATAAGTTAGGTTTGACACTCGAGGACAAGGAAGCAATGAATCATGCGATAGAATATTTCCAAGCTCCCGGGGGACACCTCAGAGGCCAAGAGTCAGACAAAGCAACGTTGGGCATAACTCACGTGAAGATATGCCAATCGCATGCTCACGTGAGCGGATTTCCCCTATGTAGGCGGTCAAGTATCCTAGGTTGCGTCTTCCATATATTTTGCCGTCGTGGCATCACTATAGCATAGCCATTGGTTTCTACTGCAGTGATACACAGGCTCTTCACGCAATCGGCCAGGCCCTTCAAGAGCTCACGTCTTCCCAAAATTTTCAGACCGGGCTTCAGCAGGTGATTACACAAAAACTGGAACACGGTCAATGATTTCTTTGAGTACACAAGGGGACGATTTGTATTAAATGAAGAACATGAACTGTCAATACGTCGGGTGAAATGTGATATGAATGAGCTTGCAAGGATTGCCGCTGATTCTGTTGGCTCAAGAGAATGTGTTCATATCAAAAAGTTCCCTGATGGTATGTTTGACAAAACATTCCTGTTCATGATGGAAAATGGCGCTTGAGTGGTGGGTAAGGTGCTAAACTCCAACGCCGGACAGACTTATCTCACGACAGCAAGTGAGGTGGCCACAATGGATTTTGTAAGCCGCCCTTGATTCTATGTCTATTTGCTCCTTGGTAACCACAAAAATCCATAAGGTTCGTAATATCTTAGGTACTCCTGTTCCACGTGTTCTAGCCTAGAGTTCGAAGGCAGGCGAGAACGCTATTGGTGCAAAATATATCATTATAGAAAATATTATAGGTGTCTAGCTAAGTCATGCCTAACATAAAAGGCATCGAAGATAGATTTAAAATTGTGAAAGCAATCTTAGGATACAAAATCTTGGTCATCTACTTCCTTTACCAAAATATAGGAGCCTTTACTATTTATGCGACATAGACCATTATAAAGAATGTGTTTTAATAAAGAGCGACGGCACACTGGTCAAAAAGCCTCGTTTTACTATTAGGCCATCGATAGGTCGAGATCAAGTTGATTATAGAACGGCATCGATTTATTTTGACCCGGACCATATAAGTGTTATTTTAGACTGATTTACATTTTCTTTTCTCACATACTATTCTATTGTTTCTAGGGGATACCCTTTAGTATCGGCGTGTAGTTAGGTTCCGAGAGATTGCTAGCGTATAGAGCATTATAGAACTTCCCCGATCCCCTCTGAGTCTTTATAGACCCGGTATATTTTAGCTGACTCAGGCTAAAAAAATAGCTGCTTTATATAGTTACCTTAAGCTGTTGCCATACCTTTTACCGACTGACAAATCGATTATGGCGTCTTTCTTGTGGTATAGCGATCTTCACATAGAGAATATCTTCGTCAATCCGGAACGGTATATAGAAGTTTTGGGCCTTATAGATTAGCAATCAACTAAAGTATTGCCTCTATTTGAATATGCCCGCTAGCCGTATTTCCTGGATCATGATGGACCTTCTGTCGAAGGCCAGAAACCGCTGACCTTCCCCGAGAACTTCAGCGAACTTTCGTCAGTAGAGAAACTCGAAGCGAGACATCTCTATATGAGTATGTCTCTCTCGGCGCTGTACAGAACACTCACATATCGCGACAATCCGGTACTATACAAAGCTATGGATTTTCGGCAGACAAAATCTTTCGAAATGATGTTACTTGCGCAGAAACTTTTAATGGATGGGAGGCATTATACCAGGCCAGTGTTCTAGATCTGGGCAAAGAATGGCCAGATATACCAGGCGTCCAAGCATTCGGAAATCCTCCGTTTCCAGTGCAGCTCTCCGCTAGTGAGGTTAGATCACTTGAAAGGGACGTTACTGGCGCCATTCGAGGGATGTTGTTGTTGGTGGATATCAAAAATTCGCTCGGTGAGCTATGGCCCGGCGAGTTATGGCCTGAAAAGGGAGTCGCGAGACATGACCAATATGATGATAAAAAAATTCTCCTGAATCAAGCTAAGGCCAACATATATGAGCGGCTGAAATCTTCTGAAGGAGAGCAAGCATGAGAATACGCAGAGCCTCTTGGCAGTTAAGTCGAAATATTGAGTATTTTCTTGCCTTAAGCGGTGACAAGACCTCTTGGGAGCTCCGTCTCCAACGATCTGGGGAAATAAATAGTCTCCAAAGATACCGCTTAGGTCAATACTTCAGCCAACTCACAAAAAGAAATAGTGGGCCTCCTTTTATCTCGCATAGACTTCTCTTTATAGAGGAAGACCTTCGAGAAGTTGTTCAAGAAGAGATATCTATCAAAGAGGGACTGGATGTCTTGAACAAGAGTGGTGAAGAGAAAGAGAGACTTGATGTCTTGTATACATATGTACCAAATGCTGGCTCTTAGAGCAACAGTGGTGGCACTATCATTCCTGTCCAGAAGATAGGTATTAACGAAGAGAGTTTGAGCTATGGCGGCCCTATCCTAAATGGTATATGCACCGCGTGCTTGTTGAAGATTGTGCTCAGCCGATAAGGATGCTGTACTCGTGGATGTGGCTATTGCCTTAACCGTAAGATTGATCTCACGCGTGCGCTTAGAGTTGGACATTATACTTTTGATGTGGATATTGTCGGAGAGCTTGAGGCTCTGAAGCAGAGAAGATATTGTTCAAGAAAAGTATCGCAAATGGGCAATCTTCGTAATCACCGCATTATGCAAATCGCAATATGGCCCGGGGGTGCCCGATTAAGCTCTTACATCACATTGTAGGGTCATATCTTCCCTATGAACAATTGTAGTTTTGTGACTTCCCCACAAGCCATTGCCTCCCCTGTAGTTTACTTGCCCATATTCACATCATTCTGCAAGCATACATATACATCAACAAAATGTCTTTTTTAACCATTGTTTTGTTTTCTTTTTGATGGCGCCATGGCCTGCAAGTTTGATCTCTTTTCAGACATCTTTTTTGGCCTCTTTCTGACACGTTTTTCAATCCCAGTGCCCCTCGGCCACCGTAATGAGGAGGCCGTCGAACTCCTTCGCCTGGTGGCCAAAATTGCCCTCGAAGTGGGCGGCGTTATGTTGCTATATCTCGTTCTAAAGAGGGTAGTAGGCCTTTTCATTTGGTGGATCCGGCAGGAGATCCTACGGTATGTCACTTGGCGATGTTGGATCTGTAGCAACAAGGTGCTGACCGTTGATTCTGTGGTATAGGCGGCATGACCCCGAAGGCACTGTCAATCCCGGGAACGCAGCCTGAGCCGAGAGGTGTGCTGTCGTGAGGGGTATGGGAGAAAGAGGAGGGGGCCAGGCCCCCGGTATAATTACGTATAATTATAGTTATGATACGCATGTGGGTGTGGACGGAGGGCTGGCCTCCGATTGTATAGAGCCAGCCCGGCCATATGTACATATAAACAGCGGCCCAAAACTCCCATCATTATCAGAAACATCCACATCAGTAGATCCATCGCCGATGTAGTCATTTAAACTCAACAATCAAGGTGATTTCGCAGCGACTCAAGGAGTGCTTAATCTCGTATAACCAGCAATTAGCTGCTTTGGATGAGACAGACAGAAGGAGAGGTCTAGATACCCCTTACACATAGTGAGATGGCAGTGAGAGGGAACTGAAAGATAGGGAGTCACGTCAAGCTTCATGATGAAACTGCGAATTGAGGTTGGATAGTTGCAGATGCTACAATCTGGAAGCCATGGGCATAATGGTGAGTATGAACACACCCCACGAGCATGAAAGTGAAAGCATGACGAACGAAGCGCCCCTTGTCTCCTCCCCCTTCATATGATCTACTTCCCTCGCCGGCCATGAAGTGGAAACCTAGTTGCTAGAGGGACAGGATATCGAGGGACTCTACCAAAGCTGGTTCATGCGGCATCATGGCACCGAAGCCACGTGAAGTTGCCGATGTCTTTATTGCCAACGAGGGACGGAATTTGCTAGTACAAGAAGGTGCATGCGTCGAGATGAGAAGCGAGAGGTGCGCTAAAGGCGAGATGTTCGAGGGTGTCTGTCGTAAGGGAGGGGATTGCCGAGTGTATGCGTTGAAAGGAGAGGCATGAAGGTATGTGTCGAGAGACATGGAGGTATGCGCTGAACGAGAGGCATGAGGACATACGTAGAATGAAAGCCATTCGGGCCCAGTGATGGTAAATGGCATGAAGTCAGGTGGAGCGGTATGAGCTGGAAAGGAAGGTGACTCGAGAGGCTCTCGGCGAAACTCCATATTATAGTGAATGTGATAGAAAGCGGCTGCAAGCCGGAGTGGTTCAATGGAGCTGAATTGGATGAACGGAACCAGGAAACCCTGGAAAATTGAATGAAAGCGCGGAACGTAGAGGCTGAATGAGACCTGGGTGGTTGAGAAAAAAAATAAGGATGATGAGAATGGGCTGAATGCAGGATTGAGTTGATAAATACAGATGAAAAGTGATGGAAAGAATGAAAAGGGAGAAATTTTCACTGACAGTGGGAGTCCACTAGGCGGAGAAGAAAACACGTTGAGTAGGAGAGAAAGTCGAAGGAAAGCTAATAAGCAGTCATAGCCTGTCAGTTAAGGCCTATGAAAAGTGTATCGTAGTGAAGAGTTGCAGATGTTAGGATTCGATCTCCTCAATGAGAAGCTGCCAGGTTCAAGCTTACGTGGAAGGTATCGATATCTTACCTAGGTAGTCTTGAAGCCCACGTATGTACTTAAAAGGCACTTACTCCTTTCAAAATTGAACCTTCTGAGCACTTTGATCTTAGCATCTTGGGCGAGTTCGGTGAGGTATTATACGCATGACACTTAGGGATATTCCTCCACATTTAGAGTGCACTTCCTATAGTAATTAGACCACGGAGGGACTGTGGAGTAGTAAAATGCCTCATAATGCAAATCGGCAGAAAAATATAAATTAGCTAAAGATAAGGGATACATAGATACTTGGGCCAAGAAAGGATATCCAGAAAGGATATAAAGTCATAAAGAGGTCTACAGGGTGGGAGTCGTCGAAATGCATTTGCTGCTAGAGTTGAAGAATCCAAGTTACCAGACTGACATCCATCTTCCAAGTATAAGCTCCGTTATATCATCTCTCAAGTGGTATATAACCAAATGAATCAGATTTCTAAAATCCTACGTCAACTCACTCAAAGTTCCCCTATAGTCTACAAGCCGACCTAGGACACGGAATTTTACCATTACATCATTCTCCAGGTATACGTATTCATCCGCAAATATCTTTTGTACCCCTTTTCTTATTTTCCTTTTTGACCAGCGTTCTGGCCTGTGGTCTAATCTCCTAGACTATATCCAGCGGTAATAGTATTTCCTAGAATGTCGTTTCAGCACGTAACACGTAGTGCCTCACAAATCCTCAACAACCGAAAGCTCAGTCCTTCTAGTGCATCCCAGCCTGTGACTATATCCCAATCAGGCGAGGGTATAGTGATCAGGAAGTGGGTTTTGCTTATCCCAGAATGTAACTTTAACGTCACAGTTCTTGTACACCGCATAACAGGACGTCCCATCTCCAAACGATGTCGGCAGCCTAACCCAGTAGGTGCCATCATATGCACCAAGGTCAAAGTTATACGTCAGATCGACAAATTGGGAGTTACTTCGAGCCGGAAATATTAGCAAGTTATGTCTTTGAGAGAAAACATGAGAAGCTAAGTAAGCATTGACTTACCCAGAGACAGATTGACTCTCTGTCTGAAATTTGGCATTCATTGTGCCACCGTGAAATCCATCCGCAAAAAAGGTTGAACCAACAGTTGTAGGCAATTTATGGTCGAAACTATGGGAGTTTCGGCCGCAATCGTCACTGGCAATGAGGTTGCACTGGACTGCTGCGTTGGTTAAGCCAGCCAAGCCGAACACAGACAGCAGGAGTTTGACGGAAATCGAAGTCATTCTTAGAAGATTTGGTGGTTTGGACTCGGAAGAAAGAGACAAGTGCGGGATATTCGAAATGAAAGCAAGGACATAGAGAATTACCTACGACTGTAGGCTATTTATGTCGAAAACATCTCCATGTGCATGAATACCAATGACCACATTGAAGCAAATGAACTAATTTAGAGTTCTCGAAGTTACGAGGCTTGCGGGGATGGAGAAATTAGGGTTTCATTGCGCCCCCCGGAGCCCCGGACTTCCAAGGTTTGGTTAAGCTTTTTCTTAATCCTGCAGCTTAATCCAGCACCAGCACCAGCACCAGCACCTTCTGAACCCAGCACAACATTCTTAATCCAGCATATAAGCCCTAGAGAGAAAGATGAATTCAAACCTCGGGATACCCTCATCCTCACTTCACGTTTTGCTTGCCATTGACGTGGTGCGGTGGTGGAGCATTTACAGAATCAAGGCGGATTCTCGGGAGAACTCAAAGTCAATTGTTATCAAGGTTTAATTAGGCAACTGTAGCATCCAGGAACCAATGGAAGTCATTAAATATCCTTAAAGGAATGTCTTCTTTGGGAACTTGGGCGCTTTTAAGTTCAGTTTGTTTCATATTACTTTCTAAGTCGTGAGAGTGAGCAGGGCATTGAGTACATGTACGTAATGAGACAATTTCTACTTAGGTTCACCCTGCTTACCGTCATATGTCTTAGCTTAAGGTTGGGCAAATGCGTGCGGGATTTGTAACTTCTTGATTACGCCCAATTTTGACCCAGATGGGCCTTGAAATGAGGATGCACGTGGTTCCTTGAGCTTGATCGGTTAGCTTGATGTTGATCAATAACGCTATTATACTGTCTCACTTGAGGCTGCGCCCCATTTCCGCCAAGGCGTCGGGTCCCGGTTCGGTTAAAAAGGGTCCTGTCCAAGTCTACTGACTACAAGTTAACGCTTTGGCCGGATACTCTCTGGACGATCCCCACGAGGTCTTTAATGCAACCTAAGTGAGACATAGTTTACCCTGTCTCAAACTAAGTTTCGCAAAGGAATCAAAAAAGAAATGGGTGAGGAACTTGGTTCTTGTTGGTGAGCGTCACTGGAGTGGTTATGATCTGTACGTCCGCAGCGAGAAAACTGACTGGTTTTCGTATCCTCTTTAGGGTTAATTTTCTGTAGATCCTATTCCACAAACCGTATATATAGCAGTCGAGTCGAAGCCCATAGACTACTTTCCCACCAGATATTATTCCATTTCTCTAAGCTCAACCGACAGACCTTCAAAATGCTTCATCTCCTGTTTTTGTGTCTAGCCATCGGCCAGACATATGGCCTTTCCGTGGCGGAAGGTTCCACGGTGATAGAACCTCTGTTTGTGAAAACGCAAGGTTCAGATGGCCAAGACGTTTTCGAGCCCTACGAGCATTTCAACCATACCCAATGGAAACCTGACAGTACTTTCTATGAAGGCGTTCCAATGGTTCAGAAGCAAACAGTTGTCAATGGGGAGACTCTCACTTACCAAGATTTCAACATCTCTGCACTCACCTTGGAGCAGTTTAAGATGTACATCATGTCTACCCCTGACTTTCGTGATAGCCATGGAAACATCGTCTCCTCCGATGAGGATGTTCAGAAGTACAGGTAGTATCACTCGGCCTTCCCAAATATGTGGCGTTTTCTTACTATTATAAAGGGAGTCCATGATAGCTGCGGAAAAGGATGGAGATACCAGCATTTCTATGCCCCTCAACCTCATCAAAAGAGACTTTGCCCCTGCTACGGACTGTGCCGAGGATCACATGTTCTGCACGGACAAGTGCGTTAAGTATGTGCAGCGAGGCGTGCTACAATCCACGAACCCAAACGTATATGGGAGTTACCACTACGATTCAGACAGTCTCTGCGGTACGGGGAGTATAAGTAAGACCGTCTCAGTCACTCACGTTTCAGGAGTCACTATTGGTGGTAGCGGCCAGATCCCGTCGGTGAGTTTTCAGCTATTCAAACCATTATAAGTTTGAGGTTACTAAAACTTGCCTACAGTTTGGGAAGGGTTGGACAAAGGCTATATCGACTTTTTTCAATACTTTTGGAATTAGTGTCGGAAATACCCCAGATTCGTATGCCATCCCTACTGAGTAATATCCCTTGCTTCTCCAGGGCAGCCCAACTAACAAATGGATATTAGTGTTACAACTGCAATTGGTTACTCTGGTACCTGTGGACCTCATAATGTCTGTTTCCTCTGGAACAGGCCGCATTTCACAGTAAACAAAGGAGTCATTGTTGTAAGTGGGAGAGACAGTTTAAAGAAATCCCCATTAACGATAGTATAATGTTAACTAGTTGGAAACAGACTCAGTTTATCGACAAGTGGACGGGGAAAACTTGCCAGAATCCAGAATCAACCCCTTTCGAGGCCCATATAATGCACGAAGAGTCCGATGCTGGTGGTGCCGGTAAGTTTTTACCCACGTCTTTATTCCACTATGAAGTACAAAAGAGGAATGCTGACTTGCCAAAGCTTCTCACGGACTTTGTTATTCGATGGGGGCCCATGGATGCCCTAATCCTATCTCGAGTTCATCTACGCTCTCCCCTTGCCCTAACGGCTTTTGAGGCACCGTATGAGACTACGGAGAAGACTCTTGCCATTTAGGTAGATGTCTTGTTTAGTAAGCTCACACGAATTATCTACATATGTAGTCTCATCAACTCTAACCATAATATTTAGATTCATTGGACGCAAATCTTCAACGCTCATGAGGATCGCATGAAGAACTCCGTATAGCTGTTCCCTTTCGAAAGGTTGTTCCAGAGTGGAAAGTATGAGGGGAAATACATGCAATAGAAACGTTTGTTTTTTGAGCAAGTTTATTCTGGCAATTTTCCCTTGGAGGATCGGAGTAGAAGGACTATGCAGAAGAACACAGATATATTTTTATCGAGACTCCTTTGACTTTAGTTTAATGTGACAGGCAAAAATGGACCTGATTTATATGGCGAATTAGAATGGATGTGGACATAACTCTTACCATGTAACCCACCGGGGTCACAGGACGTGTCCCTCGTTTCCAACAGCGCAAATCCCGTTATTTCTCTATCTGAGATGAGTTACCTATCTTCCTATTGCAAGATATATGTGTGCCTAGGTACGCTTTTGCTATCTATCTGCGAGGGTACGTACCTAGGTGGTATTGTGGTGTTTGCGTTGCGCCCATCTTTTGAAACACGCCATCATTAAAAAGAAAGGGAGAAAACAGCACACGCGGAACTTCATTGACCCGGAGAAGCAAAGATATAGATAGGTACAAGTATATGCCAACTCCGTAGCGGCCAAGTCTACCGCAAAGTAAAAGAAAGAACCAAAAACGTTCTGCTGGCCAACCAGCTTCCACTCCCCTTCCCCTTTCTCTTCATAATGAACACGATACACTTTGTACACATCGCTCTATCTCTTCATCTGCACCTTTGCAGACGCTTCCTCTTTTCTTATCTGCCATGCCCGAATGGAGAAAGCAAGTAGAATCTGCCCAAGTGAGTCGACGTGGTTATCCTTTCCAGTATCGAACGGTCCATATTCATGCATGGTCAGAAAATTAGACGCAGTCGACGGTTTCTTGCCCAAAGGAGCCGATTGCTTCGGGATCGAAGCCTTGTCACAAATATAGTGCACATAACTATAATTGAACTCTGCGAAGGTGAGATAAATACTCTCACGGCCCTGGGAGACGAGTAGGCGACTATTCAATCGAAGCATATATTGTCAGCAAATCCCTCTCCTTTATTTTCCCGAGAGAAGCTCTACGGATTGAAAGAACTCACCTGAATTTCCGATCTGGAGTAAGCTGAGAGAGTGGCGGGGGGTGCTGGCAAATCCACGCAGCTATCTGAGCGCCCTCCTGCATTAGGAGGGTCGCTAGAGGGGTCTTTGGGGTGAATACAGGGCTTGACTTCGACGATGGCCATTATTGGATTGCTTTCATCACGCTGATAGCGAAGAAATCCATCCACTCGCGCCTCGTACACCTTTTGCCTCTCTTTATTCTTCACAATCAAGGCGCGGCGTTCGGGCGTCCAGTCTGCCCCGATGCCACACGTATTGACCAGCAGTGCTTGAAGGTAAAGAAGTAGTGCCATGTTGACAATTTGTTCGTCACTGATGCTCTTGAGTTCATGAGCAAGATCCATGCTGGGCGGAGATAAGTCTGACATGTATAACTCATCGTCTGGACTTTTTTCGTCATCAATGGAAGCTTGCCAAGGTCGGATTCAGCATCGGAGAACGGGCTGGAATCATAGGGTGCCTTCGCAGTTTTTTTGGAACGTGTTGGTGTAATAGGAGCCTGCGCATGGCTTCTAGTTTTTCTTGGCGAAAACTCAAGCTTCGGAATAAACTTACCGTGTCCGTCGATGACTCTAGAATTGAGCTGGTATAGACGAACCAGCGAGATAGTTCTAAGAGACGAGAAACCTTTTTCCTGGTGCCATGCCAGATTGTTGGAGAAAGTTAATTTAAATTGCTCCTAGCCAAACACACTTTTTAGGTGGTTCTGAGCGACATCAATCTGCTCCTTTGAATCTCCCACCGGTGATACTCGGACGAGCTTGATAGTTTGACGGCTGGGTTTTTCACCTATAAAATCCGGAGAAGGAGGAATTGTCGTAAACTGATCTTTGAACCGGACTCTGCAGAATTGAACGAATGAATTTTGTCGGTTGTCTTAAGTTTCGCGATCTAAGTCTGATTGAACTTGATTACCGTTCTGTGCTGGATGACAGGAGAGCCAGTCGGAGATACAAAAAATGGAACTGAAGTTGTTACAGTCTTTGAGCATGAGGAATAGCGCGTCGTGGGACACGGGACATTGGCGAAGAATTTGGCGAGATTTTATTTTTCTTTCACGATTACGCAATTTCAGGGCAAGGGTTTCTTACTTTGGTTATTTCCCGGTTCTGGCGTTAGTAGATAATGCTACTTGATGGAGTCACTTCCTTGGACGATCTTTATATGGTATATGGGTATACATACAGTAACATCAGAGACACTAGAGCCCTACGCCAACACGAGAATTAAAAAAGAACCCCAGTACAAGCCCCAGAAAACCCAACCAGCGCCCCGCCCTCAAACCAGAAGCAGCTCCTTCTTCTGGACAGGCGATCAAATTAGCCTGCAGCTCACTATACGACTTTACCGGATGTCCCGCCTTGAAATCATTCACAACCTCGTGGTCAGAAATATCCGTTCCATCATTAATATCAGTGCTTCTCGTAGCTGCGGCTCTACTAGAGCTTATGGTAGATGCAGTTGTTGATATTGGTGCATGTGCTTTGGCATTAGCGCAATTCTATTGGCGAGTCGTCTCGGCGGCTTTTTTGGATGGGCTTTTAGACAATTGGTATAGCAGCTGGGGGTTATTAGTATCAACATGTTATTTGGGATGTTGGATGCGATTGACTAGGTGTTAGACGAGACTTACTCCACCACATTCATACTACTAGTACGTCGGCAGTTCCAATCGTCGTGTGCGCAGTTCCCCAGGTTAGATTGCATTGATTGGATGCATTGCTGTAGGATGCTTCTTGGGTTAAATAGGTAGCATTTGGGCTCGGCTTGAAATAAGTACAACTGCGCACGCACGTGTATGTGGATCGACTTGACCTACTTCTCTGAGCCACATGCAGTTGTTGATGCGTCCGCTACAGGCGAGACTAGCGGCTGCTAGGAGGAATGGAAGTGTCGAGTTCAAGTAATGCATTTCGAGGAGAAATTTTATATTAAGATATGGTCACCTAGTTGGGAAGCCTTGCTACTTCGTGGGTTAGCATAATAGAAGCGAAGAGACATTTACCGGATGGATGTGAATACAGATATAAACAAAATGAAGTCCACAGCCACATTTCTATCAAAGACAAACCATTCCATTCCTACAATCTTCATCTCTGGCGAAACTTTATCGAAAGTCACATGAGATCCCATGTGGAAATATAGTCCCCAGATCAGCTACCAATATAGAAAGCCTTCTTGATCATGTCTATCTACACCATAGTGCTATAATCGAAGCATTGAAGATCAGCCGTGTTGATCCAAGAGACGGTTGGTCAATGCGTTGCTGTCTAGGGGAGAAGGTTACAAAACAGCCTATTAAAGTGCTAAGCCGGAAACGGCAAAACTAACCACATACAGTAATTATGCTGTTTAGGTATAACTAAAATATAACATCGTCTATACATAATCAATAATTCATTGCAGTAGTCTTACTCAAAATATAAACCATAAGGCTTACTCTTTTGAGTAAATCCAAGTGATCCTATTTACATCAAATATACTTGAGTACAGCCCTTACAGACCCTTGGCCTGCTTGGCCTCGGCCAGAGCCTCCTTGAGCGCCGCCAGGGCCTTGTCGACATCACCACGCTTGGGATCAGTAACAGTGACACCCATGTGGCCGAAACGGATGTACTTAGTAGCAATCTCCTTGTGCAGGCCAGCTGCAAAGATGACACCACGCTTAAGCAGACCAGGCAGGACATCAGCCGGGACCAGACCCTCAGGCAGGTACATGGCAGTCATGCCGTGAGCCTGGCATTCAGGGCGAGAAGCGAGCTGCTTGAGACCAAGCTCGGCAGCAGCAGTCTTTACCTTATCTGAGACCTCGGTGTGGATAGCGAAGCGGCCGGGGACATCAGCGGTGATCTGGGTGAGGGTGGTGTGCAGGGCGTGGACAAGCTGTGTGGGAGGTGTGGCGAAGTAAGAGGGCTTGTTGTTCTCGTAGTTCTGCATGATGGGAAGCCAGTTGGCGATGGAGGCGTAGTAAGCGCCAGGCGGGGTCTTGCGCGACTGGGCAGCCTGGATGGCGCGGCCGGATGTCATGACGATGCTGAGACCGGGCGGGCAGCCGATGGCCTTCTGCGAAGCCGTGACGACGGCATCGAGGTCCCACTCGTCGAAGGCGATCTCCTCCGAGCCCACGCTGCACACGCCGTCCACGACCACGAGGGTGTCTGGGCTGACGCGGCGCACCAATTGGGCCACGCCCTTGACGTCCGAGAGCACGCCGGTCGATGTGTCAACGTGTGTGAGGGTGATGAGCTTGTATGGCTTCTCCTTCAAGGCATGCTCCACTTCCTCGAGCGGGGTGCGGTCGCCGATAGGTGCCTTGAGGTGCGTCACCTTGGCACCGTATGTCTCGAGGCACTGGCCGAAGGAGTCACCGAAGTAGCCGGTGTTGAGGACGAGGGCGTTCTCGCCGCGCTCGATCAGGTTGGCGGAGACGAGATCCCAGCCCAGTGTACCGCTTCCGGAGATGATGAAGGGCTGCGCGGTGGGGTTGGTGGATTGGAAGAGCTTGCGAACGAGAGTTAGGGTCTCGCCGAAGACCTTGACGAAGCCGGGAGCGACGTGGCTCTCACTAGGGGAGTTAGTCGGTTGTTTATTGCAGCATAATGTATTGTGGCATGGACAACTCACGCATAGTGGGACATGGACTGGAGGACGGCATCGTCGAATTCGATGGGTCCTGGGATCAGGAGGGTGTTGTGCGGGGCTTGAGCAGACATAGTGGGATTTGATTCTGGGAGAGGGGAAGGAGGAATGGAGCGATCGATGGGTTTATATTCGACGTCGTCAGAGAAGAGCGAATCTCTCTCGGTCGAGAAGGGAGTATTGAGGTCAGGCAACGGGAGGCGCTGGTCCAGGTGTCTGGAAATCAGGCTCAGGCGCTCCTTAGTCGATTTGGACGCCATCCGATCGCGGCGAGCCGCGGGGTACTTTTCGCGTGGAAGGGGATTGGAGCAGTTCCCGAGGGTAACTTTGGTGTGTTCGGGGATCGCCGCCGAGTGGATTGGCCGAGATACCGATTGGAATTCGATGATTTGTTTGTTCGGATGATGGAACCGAGAGCATGTGAGAGTGAGACTTGATGGGTTATTTAAGGGTTATTTATGAATTGAGTCGCGCTCTCTTCTCCGAAGGAGTTTGTTTTCCTTTGCGGGTTTGACGTCGGAGAAGGGAAGGGCGGGCGGATCCTACCGATTGACTCCCCAACAGTCCACGTCCTACGCTGTACGTGTTGTTCTATAAAGAATTAGTGGATATCAAGCAAATATCTGGGGTGTTCTACGGGATTTTATCTCATTTGATACATTCTATTAGCAATTGAAGAGGGTTGGTTGTATATCTATGTTGTACTGTTACTACACAGACATATGTATGTTGGAGAGGAGTATCTCAATACCACATAGACATGCTCTCTGCGCCAAATGTGTATATAATAACACATCTATATTGTATACAAATGTCAATGCCGATGCCTGCCCGGCAATTGCTACTTCATTCGACCCTCGAACCCCATTGTAGTATGCTCCCTTGACCTCCGGTGACCTCCGCAAGAGTTAGGAAACCTTCGACGAAATACGGGGTAGATATGGATTGGACTCATCAAACCGAAAAGCATTCGGACGAGACATTCGGCCTGATGAGCCAATGCGAAACACAACGGAGATCGGGATGGCTTTATAGCACAGATAGCGCTAGCCGCAATTGGGTATAGAATAGGGCTTAGGGCATAGCTTAGTTGCTCTTCCCCGCGAAGCTCCCTCAGGCTGAAGCCAACAGGCGTTGTTTCTTTCTGGCTTGCTCCGATTTCCGATCACCGTGGATGGACCATTGACCTCCATTTACCCCACACGCACCATCCAGGATGACGGCCCGTTTGGTTTTGGTCATTGGTGATCTGTTCATCCCTGACCGAGCTCCTGTAAGCTGTCCTCAGCTCAGCTTCACTATCTCCGCTAACACATAGTCTAGGATCTTCCAGCCAAGGTCCGTCTTTCTTCTGCGCCTTAATTTATTCCAGCTTGCTCATGATGTCCGTCGATTCTAGTTCCGCAAGCTCCTGACCCCCGGCAAGATCGGCCAGACCCTTTGTCTGGGCAACTTGACTGATCGCGAGACCTATGATTTCCTCCGCGAGGTAGCCCCGGACCTGCAGATGGTCAAGGGCGATTACGATGTCGACTCTCCCAATCTCCCCCTCTCTAGGATCGTAAATCATGGCAGTATACGGATTGGTTTCACCCATGGCCACACCATCGTGCCACCCGCAGACGCCGACGCACTGCTCATCGCGGCCCGCCAAATGGATGTCGATGTCCTGCTGTGGGGCGGTACCCACCGCTTTGAGGCATTCGAGATGGAGGGTCGGTTCTTTATCAACCCGGGAAGCGCAACGGGTGCTATGAGCTCAGGCTTCTGGCCAGACGGCGAGGAGCCTACACCGAGTTTCTGCCTGATGGATGTGAGTTGCCGTGACAGATTGGAGGATTGTGTACCTGCTGACCCTGAACAGATCCAAGGTGATGTCCTTGTGTTGTATGTCTATCAGCTGAAGACCGATGCCAATGGGGTGGAAAATGTGGCTGTTGAGAAGGTCTCCTTCCGCAAGAACCATCCCCCGGCTTCGTGATGCTGTCCTTATGCTTACCGCCCTTCCTTCTTTCCCCCCTGTAAATAATAGCCCTGGCGTTTGCCTGATCATTGTTCTTCTCCTTCCTCCGCCTTGTTGCAGATCCCCTGCCCTTTTTCAATTTGATACGTGATACCTTGAATCGAGTCGTTTCCTCAACATCGTCTAGGATGTTGCTATCTATGCCTACTGGCTAAATTGGTTGATCTGATTTCCTTGATTTGCCTTCAAACTTGATTTACCCGATAGAATTGGATTTATCCCTTGTTTTGTGGTCGTCTTGTGTCTTGCTTGCGCCTCTCTGTCTGACTTGGGCTTTGTATTTATACAGCCACATTGGAACGTTCATATACGGTAGCCAGAAGCAAATTATGTTAATTCCAATTCAAGATATTTTGTATTTGTATGAACTGATTGGCTCCTACATGCATGTCGTAGTGCATGGGATCTGTAATACTACGGCACGGCCATGCAGCAGGTACATAGTTAGATTTTACTTTTCAATATTCTGAATTCTACACACCCTTGAACTAGCCCAAGAAAATAACTGAGAGTCCTAATGTATAATATAAGTCTGGTTTGATTGATCTGATACTGAGATGAATATCCATAACTGTACTCATACAATATATACTTATATCTTTCCATATGTACTATGTCGTGGTGAAGAGAAAGCAGATTATCGAAAGATTGTGCCGATGCACATTTTGGATGCACATTCATACATAAGATATTTAAATTTTAGGGTCTATAAGGTGACAGTTTGTGAAACAAACCCCATCCTACGCAGGTGAGGCTGGAAAGATGTCATACACCGCCCGGCAGTATACTGCAGCCGGAAAAGACGCTATTCCCGAAATAGACAGCCTCTCATTGCCAAATCCCAGAACTTCAATTCTCTACCGCCTAGAGATCTTGAACAGAGGTCCTGTTAACTCGTACAAACCATCCGGCAGTTCCCACTTTCAAGAACCTCAATCCCTTCGTTTTCATATACCAATTTTGACGCGCAAAGACCAAACCGACCTTCGGAGAGCTCTGATTTGCTCCCCTCATCGGTATCCCCGGCGCTTTCACCGACCCTTCGAATAACCCCAACCCGACACTTTTTCGTTCTTTTTTTGCCGACAAGATGGCTGCTGAAGGCCAGGAGATTCCAGAGGAGATTAAGGGGGAGAAGCTTCCAGCCCAGGAAGATGGTGTAGATGACGAGGTAGGTGTGATCGGGGTTGCTCCGCTGCTGAAAGCAATTCCACTCTTTGTTAGAGATCTTTGAGTCATTTCTTTCATACCCGTGTCGCATATATTTCCTCATATACAAGGCATAACCCGCTGACATGATCGATCCATATAGGAAGAGATTGAGGCCATGAAGCGACGAGTGGCCGAGATGGAATCCGAGGCCGCCAAGCTGCGCGAGATGCAAGCCGACCTCGACCAGCAAAGCGAGAGCCTCCAAGAGAACAAGGAAGATATCGATGCGCGTAGCATTTTCGTCGGCAATGTCGACTACGGCGCTTCGCCGGAGGAGATCCAGGCTCATTTCCAGAGCTGTGGTTCTATCAATCGAGTTACCATCTTGCTGGACAAGTTCACCGGCCAGCCAAAAGGGTGAGATCTGAATAGAAGAAAATATCCAAGATGGATATGTGCTGACAACGCGCTGCAGTTACGCCTACGTTGAATTTGCGGAACCCAGCTTGGTCGCCCAGGCTTTGGTGTTAAACGAGAGTGTTTTCCGCGGTCGCAACTTGAAGGTCAGTTTGTAATTGCTGGTACTATTCTCTCTACACTCGCTGATGTCGAAATAACAGGTCGTTCCCAAGCGTACCAACCTGCCTGGTATGCACCGTGGCCGGGGTGGCTTTGGCCGCGGTCGTGGCCGTGGCCGTGGCTTCCCCCGTGGTGGATATCGTGGTGGTGCTGCTTACCGGGGCCGAGGACGTGGTTTCTCGCCTTACTGAGTGTGTTGTTTGAGGTTGCTTCTGGAAATCCCGGGTCTGGTGTCCGATTTCAGGACCGTCTTAACTGATCCTCTCCTCAATTTCTCTAAGTGTGGGTTTGGAGTTGTGGGAACTGTGCTGTACAATAATTTCCGGGAGAATTAGCAAAGAAACAATAAGAGATAAGATTTGGCTATTGTTGGCTTTGTATTTAATGTACTAGTAGTTAGATATAGAGGTTTATGGATTATTTATGGTAAAGAGTACATATTATGGTAGTAACTGGGATATGCAAAGAGCATAGAATACAGATACGTCAATAGTATTAATGTATGAATATGGTTGCCTGGGATAGCTGTGATAGCTGTGATATTTCCCTTATTACCATCCTATTAATATCAAATTGCCACTCTTCCCGCCCGCACCCGCTGAATTTACTTCATTACGTATACTTAGGAATCTTGAAAAGAATATTAATACTCTCTATGGCTGTAGAATATTCTACCATGTAGTAAAATCAAATGAAATGTGAATTCAAAATAAATCTCCCGTGCTCAGCCCCATGAAGTACTGACCGTGTATCTCGTACATAGTGAATACGTAGTCCGAGTACCTGCACCATACAACCCCGGGCGCACCTAACGCCTAACCCTTCCCTTTCTCTTCCTTCTCCTCTCTCAACGCTACAACCATCACCAGACCTGCAAATCACCAACCTATCCACTCTTTCCAGGCTTTGACCCTGGGCGAACTCGGTTTGGTCCTTCTCCCCCTCGTGAATGTGCGCGCCCGCGCTGTTCTTTGGGCGTGATTGATCGGCGCTTGTAAAGCATCATGGCGTCAAATCTCCCAGCGTAAGTTCGATTCCTCTCTGGCACTGTTCCGATTTGGGATCTTCAGATCATCGCTGACTTGAATTGTAGCCAGCCGAATCTCCGGGTCACGAGTAAGACTGTCATTCCATCGAATCGTCGTGGGACTCTGCGGGGTTCCGCATCCGTTCAAGACTAACATCTCTGGCTTATAGTTATCGCGGCTGACGGCTTGTACAAACGCGATGTCTTCCGTACGTTGTCTCCTTCAGATCGGTTGATCGAGTGCTGCGGGGTTGAACTGACCACCTCTTTCTAGGATTCCCCGATCCATTCGCCGTGGCTACTGTTGGAGGAGAGCAAACACATACAACTTCCGTGATCAAGAAGACTCTGAATCCCTATTGGAATGAGCCATTCGATTTGTACGTGATACCACCCGCTGTCGGGGAAAACGGCGAACCTTGTTAACCTCGAATCTTTACAGGAGAGTCAACGAGGACAGCATTCTTGCGATTCAAATCTTCGACCAGAAGAAATTCAAGAAGAAGGACCAGGGTTTCCTCGGAGTCATCAATGTCCGCATCGGCGATGTCATTGACTTGTCGATGGGTGGTGATGGTACGTCCGAAGAACGCCGATCGCGAGTCATAGAAACGTGGACTGACCTGACGGCCATGTGCCCCTCACAGAAATGCTTACTCGGGATCTGAAAAAATCGAATGATAACCTCGTGGTCCATGGAAAATTGATCATCAACCTATCGTCAAACCTTACCACCCCACATCCGAACCAGAATGGACTCCAGCGTCAACAGGCCCAGACATCGACTTCAAGCGGCCTTGTGCCCCAGGTCGCAGCACCGACACCCCAGTCACAGGCTGGCCCAAGCAATATCGATACGTCCCCTGCCGCAGCATCAAGTTCATCATTGACCCAGCGCACTCCGACGACCGCTCCCCCGGCCGGCGCTCCTCCGCCGTTGAATGGTGCCCCAACCAATCCCCCTGGACCCGGCGCCCCCTCCCGTGCCAATCTCAGCTCTTTTGAGGACAGTCAGGGTCGACTCCCTGCCGGTTACGAACGGCGTGAAGACAATTTGGGACGGACATATTATGTGGACCATAATACGCGCACCACAACATGGTCACGACCATCCGCCAACTACAACGAGCACGCCCAGCGTTCGCAGCGCGAAGCCAACATGCAGCTTGAACGTCGGGCCCACCAGAGCCGAATGCTTCCGGAAGATCGAACTGGCGCCAATTCACCCAACCTGCCGGATGCCCAGCAGATACCTACACCACCGCCGGGGCCTAACGCAGGAACTTCTCTCGCGTCTGGAGCCCCAGCCGGGTCTAACGCCGCGGCAATCTCCATGATGGCGACGGGAGCCACCACTGCAGGCACAGGGGAGCTTCCACCAGGCTGGGAACGGCGAGTGACGCCCGAGGGACGGCCCTACTTCGTGGACCACAACACGCGCACGACCACATGGGTCGATCCTCGCCGACAGCAGTATATCCGCATGTATGGCCAGGGACAGACCACAGGTGGCGCCAACAATACCACCATACAACAGCAGCCAGTATCCCAATTGGGTCCTCTCCCCAGCGGCTGGGAGATGCGTCTCACCAACACTGCTCGAGTATATTTCGTCGACCACAACACCAAGACGACTACCTGGGATGATCCGCGACTCCCGTCCTCCTTGGATCAAGGCGTGCCCCAGTATAAGCGTGACTTCCGCCGCAAGCTGATCTACTTCCGGTCCCAACCTGCGTTGCGCATCATGTCCGGACAGTGCCACGTTAAAGTCCGTCGTAATAACATTTTCGAGGATTCATATGCCGAGATTATGCGTCAGAGTGCATCCGATCTTAAGAAGCGCCTAATGATCAAGTTCGATGGCGAAGATGGTCTTGATTACGGTGGTCTTTCACGGTATGTTCTGCTCTCCTTTCTATTGGTGTTAGGCAAAAGTTGCTAACTTCTCTCAGTGAATTCTTCTTCCTCCTCTCTCACGAAATGTTCAACCCTTTCTACTGTCTCTTCGAATACTCTGCCCACGATAATTATACCTTGCAGATTAATCCCCACTCGGGTGTGAACCCCGAGCACCTCAATTACTTCAAGTTCATCGGCCGGGTGGTTGGTCTGGCTATCTTCCACCGTCGTTTCCTGGATTCCTTCTTCATCGGAGCCTTCTACAAGATGATGTTGCGCAAGAAGGTCAGTCTGCAAGATATGGAAGGCGTAGATGAGGATCTGCACCGCAACTTGGCATGGACACTGTAAGTTTGAAACATGCAATATCGTTTTGAAGAAGAATCACGCTAAAGCCATTGCAGGGATAATGACATTGACGGAATTGTGGAACTCACATTTTCGGTTGACGATGAGAAGTTTGGCGAGCGTCGCACTATTGATTTGATACCCGGTGGCCGGGATATTCCCGTCACCAACGAGAACAAGCCACAGTACATTGAGTGAGTGAAACCAGCTTAGCCTTCGCTTGATTAAAGATCGCTAATTACATCGCAGGTTGGTTACGGAATGGAAGATCATGAAGCGAGTTGAGGAGCAGTTCGACGCCTTCATGTCCGGCTTCAACGAGCTTATCCCACCCGATCTCGTCAACGTCTTCGATGAGCGCGAACTCGAGTTGCTCATTGGTGGTATCGCCGACATCGACGTCGAAGACTGGAAGAAGCACACTGACTACCGCGGCTACCAGGAGCAGGACGAGGTTATCCAGAACTTCTGGAAGATCGTCCGCACCTGGGATGCTGAGCAGAAGTCTCGTCTTCTCCAGTTCACTACTGGTACCTCACGTATTCCCGTCAACGGATTTAAGGATCTGCAAGGATCTGATGGTCCCAGACGGTTTACCATTGAGAAGTCTGGTGATCCTGCTGCGCTTCCCAAGTCGCATACTTGGTATGTATCCAATGTTGGTTCTTGTGTCTGGTGTGTCATAGCTAACCTTTCTCCCAACACAGCTTCAACCGTCTTGACCTTCCTCCTTACAAGACGCACGATGCCCTCGAGCACAAAATGTCTATCGCGGTGGAGGAAACGCTTGGCTTTGGACAGGAATAGAGTCTGTTGCTGTCGCCTCTACTCTGCCTCTACTGTACCTGGATCTCTCTCACTCTTCCCCTCTTGCAGCAGCGTGCAATGCAGGATTTATTCCCTCTCCTGTTCTGGATCCTTGGTGTTCTTTGTCACATGTAACCCACTACTCACGAAGCTCTCGTTTTCTTTTACTTACAAGCCAACCAAACCAATTTTCAATTTCTGAATTTTCTGGATCACTTGGATTAGGATAGGATCTAGAACTGGAACATTACGGGGTTAAGTCCACTCTGTTCCTCTTCTATTCCGATGTCTTTGTTCTAGTTCTCCTTGTTGGAGAGGAACCCCAGTTCCACCTTTCCTTTTCCGTCTTGTTTGCATCTCCCTCGAACTGGCTATACATACCCATCCTGGACCCTCCCACACTCGTTCTGTACCCAACATCTCGAAAACAAAACAAATCATCGGACTTTCATCGAAATCTTTCACTAGCTTTTTTCTTGTTCACACTGCTAAAACGACAAGTAGCTTCTTTCATAGCAGTGACTGATCTTTTAGGTCACCTGTTATGGCCTTGCTTTACTCCCATTCCTGTTGCTTCGTTGTGTACAGCCATCTTACGATCGATGATACACTAGTGGCGTTATGGGCATAGTTTGTAAGGTTAAAGTCGTAGCATCACTATTGTAAAGAGCATTAGAAGAGTCTGACATTGTGACCACAATATAGGCTCAATCTGTATGGATATTGAGCCAATAATCTTCTAAAAGAACACACTATCAATCCTGGTTGACCAGCATTGCCCAGTAATCATGGCACGGATTTTTGTATGGAATTGACATACAAAAGGTACATAAACACAAATTGAGCATAACTCAACCGATAAACTAGCAAAAGGAAAAGTAAAGGGGCCAAATTATAATAGGAGTCTAGTTTAGTCGATCTAATATAAAAATTAATTCTACATAGAAGCGTAAAGAGCATTTTCAAAAAGACCACGTCTAACCTTGGAAATATTGCGTTAAAAAAAAATAGAACTATTCCCTCACTTTACACACTTGAGATTCCCTACTATAGTTAACATTATATGATTAGGATATGATTTACCCTATATATATCTCTTCTGATATCCCCTAGCCTTTTTACAGGTTGAGAAAATCGAATTTGTGTTTATGTACTTTTTGTATAGCAATTCCATACAAAGGTACTTAATTTGAAAGTCCAGGATCGAGTGATGCCCACCAACACCGGGTAGGTGGTGGTGGGCCGTGCCACGATTATTGAACGATAGTTCTACCGATGTAATATCCTTCCAAGAGTATAAGAATCACCATCAGGATGTAATGAAATGTCGGATGGTATGGTGCCTACCGGCATTACTACTCTGCAGTAGCATACTGTTAGTGCAGGGTAATGTACTGCCAGGTCCCATACCATCTGTCATTTCGCCTTTTTGCTTCGCGTCCTTAGGCTACCGTCTGTTTTCCGCCGTCTACGTTCTTTTTACCATTGACATACTTTGTTGGGTGGCCTCAGGCCTCATATGGATTGGGCTGGAGTTCCGACCTACATAGGTAACCCTCCAGGGCTAGTTAGATACACAGCTTATATAATTGCTTTTGGCATTCCTAGGTACATAGGGTGAATGTGAATCCTAATCACTATACTTTGAGACGGTTGCCTCAATATTAACACACGCACCCGTACACACAGACACAAGACAGTCTTATGCCTCCGACATCATCGACAATCTCAAAGGTTCAGACCAGCAGCGACAAGGGACAATCCAACAAGCAGGGAAACTTGCACTCCAATTGATCCAGCACCGCCTTCCTCATCTCCAGAGCTAGTAGAGGGGCTCGCGGAGGCACTAGCGGAGGCACTAGCGGAGGCACTAGCGGAGGCACTACCCGTCTCGGCCGGTCCATCGCAGTGCCAGTGGTCCCCATGCGGCTCACAACCAACAGACTCGGTAGGACTGGGCATTGTGGGAGAAGCAGTGGCGGAGGTGGTGCTCACTTCGGCCTCAGAACCTGTCTCGGCCGGGCCATCGCAGTGCCAATGGTCGCCATGCGGCTCGCAACCAACAGACTCGGTAGGACTGGGCATTGTGGGAGAAGCAGTAGTGCTCACTTCGGCCTCGCTTGCTGATGTAACTGAGGCCACATCTGTTGAGGCTGGGCCGTCACAGTGCCTGTATAGTAGAAGAGTTAATAAATACTCTCCAGTAATAGACGCATACGACGGGGTAGGACGAACCAGTGGTCTCCGTGAGGCTCACAGCCAATTGAAGCAGTAGGAGATGGGCCTGGATCTTGAGTAGAGGCCGCGGACGAGACCGAAGTCATCAATGCAATGAAGAAGATAGACAATTTCATCTTGGCGAGGTGATTTGAGGCGTGTGTAGAGTATAATCACGATGGCGAATGTCCCAAAATCTGGAATCTGCCGCACAGGGTCGGCGCAGGGCTTTATACCTGCGAGTCCGCCGCCATAGTAGGGTTGGCGAGGCCAAGAAAAGAGAAAGTCTTGGTGCCCCAAAGGTTCTCAAATGGCCTTGGCAGCGGAGGGGGTGTCTCATTATATCGGGCATATCATTGGCTTTCGAGTGGATGGTCGTGTGGTGTGGATAGTAATGTTTTATTAAAAAGAGCTGTGCTCTTCTAGGATATATCTTGGCCATGTTGGACCAATGTCAGTCAGTCCCTGCCGATCCCAACTTGCCAAGAGCGTTGAGGCTTTATTACCCGAGCGGTACGATACCCTCTCTGCGTGAGTTCTCGAGCCCAGGAGAAAATCAAATCTTTTATAATATTTGCTTATTGTCGCTATCCTTTACTATTGGTCGATATTGTTGAGCTATGGTCCCAAAATCGGAAACTTCCAAGGTCCCCCGAGACGCTGACCGTACTAGCAAGTCAATGGGGGCGAAAAGATGCATCATTATTAGCTATGGGAGAAATAAATTGTCATTTGATAGTTAAATTAGGTGGTATTATATGAGATATATTGTGTTTCAACAAAGATGCAGGTCATGACTCGTAGGCCTATCCCATCTTATGTCTCCGATTCTTGAAGTCGAATTTGGATAATATTCTAGTAATAGACAGCTACTTTGCTTGAATTCTAATAAAAGTGCAGCAAAATATGGAATACATCTTGTTCCTGTTCTAGCCCTTAACAGCCTCCCAATACTGCGCCTGATATGCATTCTTATTCAACCCACGCGGATTTCGACCATATGCCACATCCAACCCTCGCACTTGCAAGCCAGGCACTGTGATATTCCCAATTGTGGGATCTGTCTCCTGGAACTCAAATCCCATGCTCTCACTTAGGGCCACAATCTCGTCCAGTGATAACTGCACAAATGGCGCGGTGCCATACAATAAAGGACCAAGATTCACCCAACGGCCACCAGGACGAAGTAGTCTGTGGATAGTTTCAAGGTACGTGACTAGATTCCGCGCGGTGTCGATAAAAAACAAGGTCACGAGTATATCGTATTGGCCTGTGTGCTCTGCGAATACCGTAGTGAAATCTCCCTCTATGAGCAAGACAGATGATGGGTGAATAACTTGGTTTGGAAACGTAACGGAGCGCTGGAGATCGTCGGTCGTGGCGTGGTGAGACCACCAGTCGATGTACGGGTGGAATGGTACACTGTTGGGGACGGAGCGACTGGAGACATAACGGTATGCCAGGTTCATGTATGTCGACCATTCATTCATAGTCACCTCAAAGCCTAATCTCGAATTAACCAATGAAAGTTTCCCAGATAGAAATTATGTACTCACCTCCAAGATTGTCAACCTCATGCGCCAGTCTTCCCAATCCTGACCCAGGCAACAGCACTCGCAAGGGTCTATCTGTAGTCCGTGGTGTCTGGGCGAGCGATTTCAAAATAGATCCAAAGGATTGCTGACGTTCTTCGTCGCCTTCGTCTGCCCAGTCACGCACAAAATGCTTCATTCCCTGGGAGACGCTAGTCTTGTCAGCGGACCGCTTCTGACTCTCGCTCTCTTTGATGAATTCGTCCAGCTCAGATTGACTGATATTGTAGAACCAAAGGCCGTGATCAACAATAGATCTGGTAACTTCGTTGTTTGTCTCGAGCAAATGTTCGATTGTGTTGAGTTTGCGTGTGTAGTGGATTGTTGATTCGAGCAACTAGTTAGGCCAGTCAGCCAAACCTGCTTAACACCCGCAAAAAGACAAGAGTGAAAGAAATTTTATACCGTTCGCTGCTGCTTGGGGACGTTTTTATAAAGATTTCTCCATCGATTTACCTCAGCTAGGTTCTTGTCTTTGTAGCTGGTATATCCATATAGCGCAGTTAACAATCGATGTCGAGGGTGGGTAGAGTCCCATTTTCCACTAGAGCGCTCAAGATTCTGCAGTAGGCGCGTGTGTTCTTCATTGTGTGTAGATAATGGCACTGCGTATTGAAATGTAGTAGCATTGTAAGCTTCAACTTCATGGGAGATGTGCTACAGGACGTTAGTACTGAATGAACAGTGTAGGACATTGACCTGACCTTCATCCACGGCGAGAGATAAATGGCAAATCCCACCCATGCCACACATGTAAATATAGAGAATACCTCGCGTAGCATGCTGTCCGAATTGGAGAATTAAAAAAAAAAAAAGCGATTGGATGGACAATATATCGCCCAAGTAAAACCCTTCTGAGTGACTGCCAAGCCATGCCAAGTCCTGCCAAGCCAGCCCTGTCCTCTCAAGGTCCTCGATGCCAAGGAACTACGGGATGGCACAACAGCTGGGATGTGTCGAGGTTCCTGCGAGACATGGCACAACAGCATGGCTGGATGTGCCGGTGGGTCCTCGGGCGATGGAATGAGAAACCACTGGCTAACTTCGCTTTAAAATTCATTATCGAGGCAACAGCATCGAACAGTGATATTGAAGCCCTTCCGGATCGGTTCAACTAGTGATTTGAAAAATCGGCAGATTTACTTGAGACTGCCGTAGCGAGGTCCAAGCGCAAATCATAGCGGTAATCGCGATATTCAAGCTGAGACGAAACGTAAATAATCGTGCTAAAACCCCAACACTAGGCTGCACCGGATAGCAAATTGTAGCAAAAGGATAATGAGGAAGTCCGTTGGTCGACAATGTACGGATAGTGGTAGCTCTCTTCCTCTCTCTCCTCCTTTTCTCTCTGTCCATCCCTTTTGATAGGAATCCACATACATTGTTTCTTCATGTCTGAATCAATATTGTAGTGAGATTCCTAGAAATATGCTGGTATTGTATGCAGTGGAGAACTATAAGAAAGAGAATAGGCTATCTATGTACGTACATATGCATACGGGAAGTCACGCGGCCTAACAGCTATCGGTCTGCACTTTAAGCTCGCTATAAACTTCCTCAAGTATTTGCCAAACTCCCTCTCCAGTCTTGGCACTGAATTTTAAAGCCTTGGACTCTTCAACAAATTTGACCCTCATGCCTGGCAAGCTCTTTCTTACACCTCTCGCGCAGGTCGTGAGCAAAACCTTGGGAATTTCCCGGGGGTAGCTGGTCCTGTTTATTTGGGACAATGTAAACTACATTTTCTTTTGATCATAATCCCGATGTAATAATGAACGGAGATAGCATCATCCAACTGCCGATCACAGTCATGAACATATAGAGCAGCTGTTGTGCTCTGGAAGTAGTGATATAGCAGCTGTGTGATCGGATCCGAACCAACTGAGTTTTGTTTTAGCCGCATTACTGGGAAATAACCAAAAGTGAGAATGGGAGGTGTACGCCGCCCAGACTCGGGATAAAATCTCTCTCTCTTTCTCTCTCTCTCCCCTCTCTCTCATATTAAACTAAGCCCATGCTGGGCCCTACATCAACCACGCTCTGCCATTCCAGCTCCTTCAAACATCGCGCAGTCCTGCCTCATACGCAATTCCCGGCTTCCTCGCCTCCAGAATCTGCAGCGTCTGCTCAAACACCTTCTTCTGTGCCCGCTGTCCGACCTCTGTATAGATCCACGCTTCCACATCCTGGTTCGCCCCATCGCTCTGAAACTCGCCGTGCGAGCTGGCGGGAGCTGACGCGCCGAGGACAAGGGTGCGGCTGCCGACCTCGGTAGTGCGATCCAAGATGCGCCTTACAAGGCGCAGCACCGTGGGAGGTTTGCCGTTGTTGCGCTCTAGGTTGGAGGTGCATAGACCAGGGTTAACGAGATTAATGATCACGCGAGTAGAGGAACCGAGGCGAGCGACAAGTTCGCGCGTGAAGAGGACTTCCATGAGCTTGGTAGCTTGGTATCTATAGTAAGAAGGCTGATATTAGTAACCCTATTTTCTTCCCCCTTACGTGTAAGTGAACAAAGAAAACTGACCTCGGTTGCTGACTAAAATTGCTCTTCTCGTTCAGCTTCGCATATAGCTCAGGGGCATTAATCTCCGGGAAGTTGGTCAATCGGTGCGCCTCGGAGCTCACAATCACTAGATGCGGGTGTGACTCCTTCTCCGCTAATGTGGCACTCGCCTCTAGCTTGGGTAACAGGGACAGTGCTAGCAAAAAGGTGTTAAGGACGTTAACCTGGATGGCTTGTTCATAGCCCTCATAGACCTTCCACTCGGGCGGGTTTATTCCTGCGTTGTTTATCAAAATATCCAAGCGTGGCAGGTCTGTCTTCACGCGATCAGCGAACGCCAACGTTAACTTGGTGCTCGAGAGATCGAGGGACCATATCTCAATGGCGTCCGGGTCGGAGCGCTGCGGGTTGTTCCGCAAAATATACTCTTTAGCCTCTTGACCCTTGGCGATGGTGCGCACGGCGAGGATCAATCTGGCGGAGTTGAGCTGGTAGAAGTGCTGTGCGGCTTCGAGGCCCAGCCCGGAGTTGGCACCGGTGACGATCACGGTTTGCTTGGCGAAGGACTGGGTTGGGAGTTTGGGGGTGACGAATAACTGCGAGTAGAAGAAAAGACGAAGTCCCTTGCCGAGTTTAGGGCTAATGGGGAAATCCTCCCGATTGGAGGAGTTGGCGGACATGTGTACGGATCAGTGAAATAAAGGGGAAATTGATAGTACAAGAAGGCCGGAAGGATTTATTACCGATCAGATGTATATATAGAGCGGTACGGATGGATGTAAAACACCCGTGGATGTCGCAATGATCAATAATTCGATCTCCCAATCAAAGAGACAATAGATCCAGATTTTAGGCTGCCGATGACCCTAGAAATGGAGGAATAATTCCACCGAATGTCACCTACTCTGCTCCTGAACCCGAGCCCGACGGAGAGCGGGATAACTCGTAGCCCGGGAGAGCAGAAACGCGCAAGGGTGACATGGTGCTTTACCCGAACAAAGAAACTTCCCATACATGCTTACCCTGCACTAATAAGCAATCGCGCGGAGCCAAAGAAAAGAACGGGGAAGAGACGGTTTCAAGCGAGGTTGGCTTTCGCACCATGAATTGCCTTGTCGAGAGCCGTCGAATTACGTCCCTTTGCGTCCACTGATATTGGGAGAGCATAGCCTCGGGGTCGGGTGTCTTCCGTCTTAGAAAATAGGAAATGTAGTATAGACGTATAGGTTCTTAAAACTACTAGGGATGTAGTTATAGATCCTCCCCGCTAGGAAAAGTTAGAACTTGGCAAGAGTCCCCGGGCGGTAGCGTTACCTCCTCGGCCGGGTAATAGTAGTATCCGCAGCTATAGTGCTCCTACCGAGAATATTCTATAGGTAAAGGAGACCCTATTGCTATCTAGATACGCAGAGATCACCTTTTACTGCTATAAGCGAGAGGATTAGAGCTTATTAAACTACCTCTAAGTAGATCCGTCGGATCTATCCCCGGTAGAACGTGTTACGAAGTAGTATATAAGGAAGGATTATTCGTTATACGATAAAGAGATATAGAGTCTTAGTCTAGTATAATGTTAATTGCGCGGCTACTATCAATACAAACAACGCGATATTTATTATCTCCGAGCATGAGGAGGAGAATCTTGCAGCTAACGACCGATTTATTAACGATAAAAAGATTCTGTCGTTGGTTTCGCGGGTGCTCGATCAGCCAGATCTAGGAACCCCAGCCAAACGGCAGCGATTTCGTTCTGTTTCATCGGAGGAGCTATGAGCAACTTTCTATGTTTAATCCGCAGGCGTGTGGCACAACTTAGTATAATGCCGACATAATAATATTCTCGTTACCTTACCTCCTACAGGTAAATCTGCTATACCTACTGGGGCCTAGGGACCGGGTGCAACTCGCGCATAAAGCTCCCTAAAATGACAAGCTGAGAATTTCAATAGACATCCAGCGGGATTTGCAGTGGACACATCAATATGTAATGCACTGTACATTCCGAGTGACCGGTGGTCTCTCACAGCTATTCAACAGCACCCTGACATTCCCAATATACCAAAGGGATAGGAGCACTGCCTAGGGATTCGGGTTCAGCTAGAGATTGCAATTTCAGATGTCATCGATCGAAACTGTTACTTGTTGCAATCTGACTCCTCATCATACCTAGGTACGCCAAGAACTAAAATTCCGAAGATTCCGGCCCCTGATTTCTCCACTCAATAATTCCGTTCGTCCCTAACATACCCCAGCAAGTATTTCCGTCAGAATAAAGATGTTGGAACCCGCCAGTTCATCTAGTGAGCGTGACAAGCGCACAAAACGAGCAAAATATGCGTCCAAAGCATGGTGGGCATTCCAAGGTTGCGATTGAAACTTCCGGTGATCAGTACTAAAGAACCATTTCAAAATGTAGTGGTCAGTGTAAGCGCCGGAAAATTAAAGTAAGTCGTGCGGGACTTGATGTTTATTAAGTGATAATGGACAGAGCTGAGCGTACATATGAACAGTGCGATGGCAATGTTCCATGCAGAGCCTGCATTTCGAAAGGACGCGATTGCCAGCAAAATGGAACCGATATGAGAGGAAGATGGCGGAAGACCGGTCATAATTTTGCAGACCAGAGGTTTGATTTAAACCAGTCCTAACCTCATGTCATCACAAAGTGTACTGACGATGATCCAGATCAGAAAGGTCAAGATTCGGAGGACCTTGGGATAAGTCCGATCTCAACACTTCAAGGCCCCTAGAATTGCACAGTAGAAGCCATCAAGAAGATGTCCCTGAAGATCAAAATGGGCACAAAGGATTGCCAGATGAGAGCATAACACCGTTCTCTGGTGAGACATCTCTAACACACAACATAACTGTTGTCGAAGGCAGACTAGAACAGATGGGCGTGAGATATACTAGACTTCGATCTGAATCGCCGAATCACTCTTTTTCCTCCCGCTTAACACCATCTCCACAATCATCGCCAAAGGGAAGCCACCGACAGCAAACAAAGAGCTACATATATCAAGCTCTAGACTCCCAGAAGATAGTACCAGATCGCGTACAATGGGACCGTGCTATGAAGACTTTTGTTGATGAAGTTCATATTCTGGTCCCCTTTTTACACTTACCTTCAGTATGGGAAGCATATGAAAGACTGTGGGGAAGCTTCCTCGTCCCCAGCGCCAGCCATTACTCTCACCATGGCGAGTGGAGATTTACCTTTGCGTGTGTTCTGTTGTGTCTTGCTAATGGTACATGCGTCGAATCTTCACGCGTAGATGGCCAACAAGGGCAGTATTCTGCCGGTTGGAGCCTGTACCGAGCGGCGAGAGACATGTTTGGAGATCTCTTAGATGTCTTCGGTGAGTGTGCTGATCAGATACTCTTGCTACAAAACATTCTGTTGATGGTAAGGTCGGGAACGGATCTCTCTACTGCGGATTCATTTTGCTAACGCAATATCATGACCTGTAGGTTACCTATCTGTTTCGACTTGATTCGCATGGACCAGCGGAAAAGCTCTTAGCCCTTTCAATATCTCATTCGCACCACATCGGACTGCAACGCCGTCAGGTGGTGGAAGCAATGAACCCTTTTGAAAGTGAAATGGCTCGTCGTCTCTGGTGGTGTATATATCTCATGGACAGAAGACTAGCGATTGAGACCGGTCGACCATTCCTCATTCAGGACTTGAACGTTGACATCGGCCTTCCTCGAAGTATGAGTGATGAGTGGCTTAGCAAACACCGACGGGCCTCTCATCCGCTGCAGCTCGAGGATCCTGGTACTGGGAAGTCTCCCACCACAGTACCGTACCTCATTGCTATGGCTAGCTACTCGAAGGTGATAGGCAAAGTCTGGGAAGCTCTATACGGTGCTTCAACGTCGGACTCAACCCCGAGTCCACTTCTCAAAGAATATTTGGAGCTCCTCATAACACAATCCCAAAGTGATCTTCAACCGGAATTTTCCTATGACCCGCAACGACCGGGAAGCTACAAAGCACGAGGATTGGCGTGGTGGCAGATCAAGCAACAATTGATGATGCGGATTGTATGTCCTTTCTTTATCCCCACAGCAAAGCCTCCTTAAAATAGCCTGAACTAACTGTCAAACAGCGATGGTCGTCACTTTACCTTCTGATCAGAAAGCCAATGCTCCAGCGTAAAGGAGCTTCATCTTTACCAGCACCAGAAGCCATAGAAAACGAAGTCATCTGTATGCGCCTAGCTCAGAGCATAATTGAAGACTTCAGCAACGTGCCAGAAGATCATCCAAAGTACACATTTCCGTTTCTGCACTATCTAACCAGTGCTACTATCATCGCTCTCGGCTTGATCATCAAACAAAGTTCTTTCAGACATACGTACGGGGAATTGACATTGGAAGCTGCGCGATCACTGAAGAAACACTGCCGCAAGACCTGGGTCTCAGGCAGAATGGCTCGGGCTGTCTGGAAGCTGAACCAAATGGCGGAGGCAATAATGAATCCAGGGTCTCGTCTAACCGAGAGCTTGGGGAACAACGATCAACAGTCATCCTTTTCACGACCCATGGTTTCATCGGACCATGTGTCCCATGAATCACCGAAGAATTGCAATAATGTGCCGCCACAGAGAGTGCAATTTACCCCACTGAGTCCGAATTGCCTTGGAGCAGATCCAACTCTGCCTGCTTCCCGTCGTCAAACACAAATTCGTCGAGCCATTGACCGAGACACGGATCTAGACCAAAGTCATTTTACGACAAACGATTTTCCTTTTGAAGAGAGACCCACACCAACGCATGCGTCCGGTTACAATCCACCAAGAAGTCACCATCATGAACTGCACTCTAGTGTTGAAGTTGGTGCACAGACAGCGGAAATGGAGCCTTGCCCTCCAGGTGATACGGACCCTAGCACGGGGATTCTCTCGAATGCATTACCTATCTTAGGAGTGGATATAATCGGCTCTGATCAAAATTCCTGGTTACCTGGGGAAATGATACATGGTGGAATAGAGTGGCTACAGGAACTATTTGTGAGCGATCTGGACTCACACATTCCATTGGCTTGGAATTGGTAGTTGGCTATGCAAGCCAATGCCTTTTCATTATGAATGGAAGATTGTTTGTTTTTGTGCATAGCGAGAGGAATTGGAACCCAAGACTCCAGAATTTTGGCCCTCGGTCATGAGCAGCCACAGCTGAAATCTTGATTATTACAAACAAGAACACTCGGCCGGTTATGCGGCCGTAGTCTTCTCAGGGAGTCTTCTCCCATAGTCTTTTTATGTCTTTTTAGTGGTCTTTTTTTGGTAGTCTCCTCAGGTAGTCATTTTTAGACGCCTGGTTATATACATATTTTCTCCCCCTTCTCAGTTTTTCGGGTAGACAGCAAAAAAGGACCAAAAAAGGCTTAATTTGTGAAAGGGACTTTTCTATGTATAACCTTTGACTGTTACCATCACACTTGGAAAGGAGCATAGGCATATCATGAGCTATCCATATCTCTCTTGGCAATCATTGGACTTCGTAATCGGATATGATGGCCGTACTTATAAAAGATAAAGGGGATCGGAATGAGTATAACCTCGATCAGCGCCAACATCGTCCCAGCCCAATTCGCTCCAAGAGTGCTGTACATTTTCTCACCTGCAAGTGGTAAAACACCCGCGAGACCATATCGCACAATAGAATTCCCTGCTAGCGCAGAGGCAGCGTAGACGGTGTAGCTCCCGGCCATGTAATTCGTTGCATAGATGAATACCAGCCCATTTCCCAATCCGAAAGGAATACCCGCCAAAATAGGAAGGATCCAGTGCACCGATGGTTGTGCGGTCCAGGAAAACCAGAACTCTCCGATCGGTATCAGTATGCTGCCAATGCAGACAGCGACCACTGCTGCCTCTGGAGCTGGCCGACTGGTAATCGGATCGTGAGGGTGCAAAGCAATGATCTTTCGGATCAATGGCTCTAGAACGACAGCGATGGCTGTGCCTGTGCCGATGCCGCAGTAACTCAGTCCTGCTAAGCCTGGGGTCCAACCTCGAGCTCCTTCGAAGACAATTGGATATGCAACAAAGCATAGAAACAGCACGGAATAAACAACCCCAACGTATAAATTCCAGAAAATGCTTTTGACGCATTCTAATCAGCGAAGTCCGTGTCAAGAATTGATATATGCCAGATTTTACTTACCAAATCGGCTCAAGAACTGCCATGCGTAAGGGTCGAATCAAATTGGTCTTCAAGACTTGCAAACCTGTCTCCTCGTGGTCGAAGCGGCACCACCATCGACGGTCTCCAGTCATTTTCTGCCTCTTTCTGGTTTTTAGTCGAAGAAGAGCAGGTGAATAAGTCTCTCTCACAAGAAACATTAGACAGAGTGAGATTCCGCTGCATATCAAGACAAGCCAATTTAGCCAGCGCCAGCCAAGGTATTGGTAGACAAAGCCACCAATGATAGGACCTGTTATACCCAAGAGAAGTTAGGAAATCGAACGAATCAAATATTACCCCGAAAGAGACACTAACCAAGGACAGGTCCATTCATGGTACCTAAGCTCCAGCAGCTCAGTGCCAGAGCACGGTGCTGATCATCCGTCACATCTGTGACACTGCCTGGCGCGCTAGCAATCATAGTTCCGCCGAAGAATCCCCCAAAAAAGCGGCTGATCAAAATGGCTTCTATGTTTTTTGCCAACGCAACAGGTAATGTTAAGAGACCAAATAAGAGAACAGAGACGAGATAAATAGGACGTCGACCATAGATTTCTGACAACGACGAAAGCACCACCGATCCTAGTGCCAAACCAAAAAGATTGGTGGTAAGACCAAGGAGTACAATTAGTTTAGATGGGATATTGAATTCCTTTTGTATGCCTTCGACACCTGAGGTGTACATGGTCGTGTATATCACTCTGAACCGAGGTTAACCAAGACATTTAAAACGACACAGTGTGAAATGAGACCAGAATCCAATAACAAGACTCACACAATAGTGGTTGAAAATGACATAGATGCCACAATAAATCCACGATACCATACCGGCCATGTCCGTGGGTTTTCAGAATCGACGGGTTCCCAAGTTACTTCATACCGTGGATCCCTAAATATAGCATCGTCACCAAAGAGTGCGAGCGCAGGAGACTGCTTAGGATCTTCCATTATGAATTGAAACAGAAATATAAACGTGATTTCCAGGCGAGAATAAATGTATTTACTAATATATGGATTGCGGGGCTCCACTTAACGGAATCTTCAAGATTCCGTGTCGGAAGCGACGACCGAGTCTTCGGAGAACGCGATCATGAAGTGGGAAGGTCATAATCGCCAGAACAATTGACGCTTATAAGGCTTGGTCGTTGTAAACAGAAAAAGGTCAGCTCCCCTAAACTACTATAAAGCATAGCGGAAGAAGGGATTCTGCTTGTCGGTAAGATCATCAAATGCAATCTTGTCTCGCTGCACCTCATCCAGCTCCAACGTCTCCCTGATCCGGTTCTCGCGCCGAAGCACCAGATACAACACAACCGCGGCGGCTATTGTGATACAGTAACTAGGTATGCTTTGTTAGAAGAGGAGTCATAAAACGAAAGGAAGACAGAAGCTTACCAAATGATCATACCGGTCCACAATTCCGGATAATGCTGTGACTTGGTGTTGCTTTTCACCAACTGGGGCCCGATGATGTTGCCGACAGTGTAAGCCACAAACACAGTTGCTGCCATGACGGTCTTCTTTGTAGCACCCGCAACGTTGCAAGCTCCAGTTGTAATGATCAAGCTAACCACTGGTCCAAAGAAGCCAGTTAGCGCATAACCAACAACTGGTGTGATGGGGTGATATCCCCATTGGGATTTCCAGATCATCACGCAACCGGCAATAACAGGCAAGCAGCAGGCAATGAGCATAGGTATGCGAACGTTGGGCACGATAGTAGAAATGTAGCCACAAAGCGGAATGAAAACGACACAGATGCCTCCGACGGGAAACTGGAATAAGATCGAATGAAGAGTGTCGTAGCCGAAGGTTGACACAATCAATGGCCCAAAGCCAGAGATGGCACCGTTGATAGTATACCTGCAGATATCATATTAGAATACATACGTTCTCCATCTGGTAGCAAAACTACCAAGGGAAGTACTCACGCCGCTGCCATCATGATAGCCACTAGGTAGATCTTGACATCGGTCAAACATTCTTTGATCTGGTCTAGCTTTATCTTCTGGCACCTCACACCGGTTTGTCCCTTCCGCAGTCTTTCCACGGCAACCATTCGTTCTTCCGGGGTCAAGAACCAAGCCGAGACTGGAGAGTTCGGCATAGTGCAACACCACAGGCCAAACAAAAAGGTAAGGGCACCAGCAAGAATATAGATATACTGCCATCTTTTCAAAGCTCCGGATGTAATCTGACCAAACCCATAATTCAGAGCGCTGCCAATGATTGTAAACCAACCAGTCCCTGAAAACCACCAAGCCTGTCTGAGAGCTTGTTCTTCTTGGGTGTAATACCCACTGACTATAGTCATAAAGCCTGTGGGGATCACACTTTCAATGAAACCTATATTTGGTCAGATGAAAGTTCGGTTAAACCGCCAAGGAAGACGAACCAAGGAAGAATCGTTGCACATAAAGTCCTTGCCAGGTTGTCACACCGGCAGTGGCGGCACAAATGACAGCCCAAACAAGAACAACCGGACCGAGGACAGTTCGAATGTTGAACCTTTGAAGAACAAATGTCATTGGGTAGAGACCCGCAAGCATTCCAAAATAAAAGATTGACGTTGCCCAACCGAGCCGGGAAGTGTCAACTGTCGGCGGAGAAGTGGAATAGTCTTTCACTGATAATTCCAAGTCGGTCGTCATACCAAAGAGGGCGGCACTGCCTAGGATTGCCTTGTCATAGTACACCATTCCATATCCTGTGTTTTGTGTCAGTCAACAATTCCCTCGGCCGTATTCCCACAACTTACCTATGAGCATTGCAGGCATTAAATACAAGTCAATCTTTCGGAGAACCCTTTTTTCGACCACTGGATCAATTTCCTGGGCTACGTCGCTTACCACTGCCAGCGCTGCATCTTTTTCAGAGGCATGAGAAGCTTCACCGGCACCGGTTATACCATGTATCTGAATCATATTGCCCTATTAAGTCCGAGCGACAGAGGACAAGAGAAGTGACGATTCCCGTAACGACAAAGGAAAAAAAAAGGTGAAGCGAAAGTTTCTTTTAAACTTCGTATTTCCCAAATGGGCATATCCAATTTCGCCTAGTACACCGCCTTGTGGCAGAATCGCATGACAGTGCTCCGTACAGCGTTTTCCTTTCATCGCAGGATCTGTGGAGTATGTACGGAGTAGAGAAGAGAGAGTTATTGAAGGGCGAAAATTCTGTTGGGGTAGCAAACAAGCAGACACCACTCGATTATTTTTTCATCCCAATGTGGCCACATAGTAGAAGAAATCAATGCCTGTCACCCTGACAGGTTCAATGGCAGCGACGATCTGCGGACTGAGGTTATTTATATTTCCCAAATAGGCAATTCTCTAGAATCGGCGGGGGTGCGAATACTGTCGTTCTTGTTAGCTGGCTCGTACCCGTATGTACCCGGCTTGGCGCAACTCCTGTGTGTTGTATATGTAACTACATGTATGGAATACCGAGCATATTGACCGATCTCGAGATCAGGTTAATGGCGAGACCCGAGGCTCATAACCTGTTGAATCTAGCTAATGGATGAGATTATGAAGCAAGAAAGTACTATTGTAGAAGTGTGTAGGACTATGAAAGGGAGGAAAGGTAGACTGTAAGAGTTTGGTACTATGGGTACATATACCTGTTAACAAGCTTCAAATGTGCATTCGAGCAAAAGGAGTCCAGGTATAATCGTTGTAAAGAGACGTTCGACACTCTCAATATTTCGCTAGCAGAACTACAAAAATAGAATAGAACTAAAAAGCAAAACATGATATTTGGTTGATACATTCTCCCAGCGGATTTGAATTACCTGAAAATCCCTTACATGCCGATATTTGTCAACGAGTTGCGCATCAGGTTGACTGGGACATGCTTTTGGCTACCTTCCATAACATCAGGCCAGTCAAAATGACCCTCCCTATGACATTAGAGGGAGTGGAAGAAAGCTTGAAGATATTGGAGAGATGTAAAATGCGTTACCGTGGCGTTCTCGGCATAAAATGAGAACGGAAAATTGCTTCGGGTTCCTGCGATCGAAGTGAGGAGTTTGGGAAAGGAATTCACGTGCTGGCAAAGGTCGTCCTACAATTTGCTATTTGATGCAGCCCACCAACACTCCGCAGCTGCTGGAAGGCTTGGCACGATCACCCCATCGCAATGAGGAATGAGGTTCAGGTATTGAGAAACGTGGAGGCTGACGAATATAATATTACGCGACCCTGCATGTACCTGATACCTTGCAGGCTAGAAAGTGGAGGCAGAAGTGCGTAGCACGGAGATTCTCGCTGACGACCTCGGGATACTATATGCATCAGCTAAAAGTTGTAGATCGGGACGTGGACTCTATTTTGTACGGATGTTGCGATATCTCGTTCTCGTTGCATGTCGGCGCTAAACATTCATTCTGGCCTACCAACTCCCTTCAAATCCCGTGTGCCCCATTCACTAGAATTAATATCAATATATATTCACCATTCAGTAGACGGGATCTGATAATTACCTTCAAAGGGACTTTGGTGACCCCCTTGCATCCTTATAACGTGCCGCGTCATAGGGCGGCGTCATAACAAGGTTAGGGCTAGGAACATGACTCTGCCAAGCATGTTTTCCCAAGCTGAAACGTATATATTGGACGGGACAGAGAAAATATAAGTGCATTCCGCGAACCTAAACGGGTGATCGCCCGATGGTCTGTAGATCAACCCAAAGACCCTTGAAAATGACATGGTGGTAAGTTCGAGGTTATAAACAACATGCGATCTCTCGTGCGTCGTAGTTTTAGCACAGCATTCAATCTTTACTTCTGGAAAGGTCTTCGGATTTAACTCGAAATCATATCAAATATGGGTATCCCGTATGTCTATGTGCTCATAATTCCACACAATGCAATTTCTAACCCTGCACAGCGTGGAAGGACCGTCCATAGGCTGGCCAGAGACTGAAGAGGCTGCGCCAAATATTCAAAGATGGGCTACTGAGGTTTGTTTTCTGTCGTCTTTGCCGTTTGGTCGTTGCTGACGCGTGTGGTAGCAATTGCTTTGCCTTTGGCGCAGACAGCGGTATCGCAGTGATAATGTCGCAACGTGGGGTGATGAGGTATGTATCAACCTAGACAGTGAGAAAGACAAATGAGCTGATCAAATGCAAAGATTGAATACAACCTAGTCGATTTGAACCCAGACGATGAGCGGGCGACATTGCTGTTAGACCAGGAGAAGGTAATTCGCCAATGGGAAGAAAGCCCGGCGAGCAAGGAAGATCCGTCAGTATATCCAAATCATGAAGGTAGTTTTATCTAACGCCCAAACAGGGTTGTTCTCCAGTGGGAATGGGCCAAGTATGTGGTCGAGACAACTCCCGCAAAGCCATACACTGGTGGCATCGAGGATCTCCTAAGCGTCGAGGAAAACATGAAGAGAAGGTAAGTAATTCTCAGTTGTCCGAGAACAAGCAACTAACCTCACCAGACGACAAGTCATCAATCGCTCTCTTTCGCCAAACCAGCACACCATGTCACTGTCCTTCTTTCCTCGTACTGGAGTGGATGGTCTATGGACAACTCCCCAAGGTCGAACCAAAACGAACCATTCCGTATGCTCTCTTCCGAGGTATAGAATCCTCATCGAGAACGTCATCAGCCGCGGACAAAGTCACAAGAAGACACATTACCCGGTCTACCAAGACGCGGAGACACCAAATACATTCGACATTTTACCCTCGGGAGAGAAAACCGGAAACCACCTATGCTTAGATGACCTCGAGGTCGGAATCGGCTGCTGCAGTCTCCAAACAACCTTCCAAGCACCAAACGAAACAGAAGCCCGATGGCTCCACGACCAGCTAATACCCCTCGCACCGATATTCCTCGCCATGACCGCCGCAGTCCCAATCTGGAAAGGATACCTGGTCGACACGGATATCCGCTGGCAGCGATTCGGTGATGTAACAGATGACCGTCGACCAGAGGAGATGGAAACCACCGTGTGTCGGATCCCCTAAGCAGAAAAGCAGAGAAGAACTAACAACTCTCCACAGCCCCCACGCTGGACCTGGAACCGCACATATATCTCTGAAGAAAAACCCCCCGGTCTCGAGAGCGTCTTACCAATCCAACCAATGAACCCAGCAATCAAGCAACGCCTGCTAGACGGCGGCATGGACGACTCCCTAGCAACGCACTTTGCCTCCATCCTCTCGCGCGACCCGCTCATCCTAACCGAAGAAGACACGCACAATCTCAACACATCAAACACAAAGCTCTTCGAACTCCTTCAGAGCTGCGTCTGGCACGCAGTCCGCTTCAAGCTTCCAACCAGTGACTCAGGACCCGGCTGGTGTGTCGAATTCCGAACAATGGAGTCCCAGCTTACGGATAAGGCGAACGCAGCGTTTGCCATCTTTGCCTACCTGCTTTCCAGAGCAATCGTCACTATGCATTTGAACTTCTATATCCCCATCGAGAAGGTGGGTGAGTCGATGGACTTTGCGAAGGAGCGGGATGCTGTTCGTGAGGGGAAGCTGTGGTTCCGGAGATCTGGGTGGTTTGCAGAAACCCACTCGGTTGGGGGAGTCAAGTCAATGTGTAAGGAGAAGGCTCATCAGCGGTTGAATGCAGAGCAGGCAAAAGGCAAGGAGGAATTTGCGCTCATGAGTGCTGATGAGATCTTCAATGGTGAGTCTGAGCCGAACGGGTTCCCTGGGCTGGTTGCCATTGTGAGGTATTACCTGAATCAGAGCAAGATGCCGTCGTCGGAGCAGGAGAAGATTGCTCCGTATTTGGAATTGATCAGTGAGAGGGCGAGTGGTGAGAATCCCACGCCGGCGACTTGGATGAGGGAGTTTGTGCGCTCGCACGAGGATTACCGACAAGATAGTTATGTTGATGAGAGGGTGTGCTATGATATGATGAAGGAAATTGTGCGGATGAATGAGGAGGGGAATGAGGGGATATAGGATGTTTATTAATATCGACTTTATAACTAGATGCCACTCTTTCTTCTAAATGGGCCTTGGAATTTCTATCAATATCACCCACCCTGGACTACATACGCCTACAGCTTTGTCTTGCGACCTCTGCTTGAATTACCTTGCACTGTAACTTTGGTTTAAATCACTCCAAATGTCTTTTCTAATTTCTACTTTCACTGGATGAAGCAGCTAGCCTCGCAAACTCCGTAGACACCATATCTGCACCAGCTCCATCCACTTCAACTTGCACTTCAACTTTCTCACTCTCATCGGTCCTGCTCCCCGCCTGCTTGATCTCGCTTTCTTCCCTTTTGGCCTTCTTTGCAATATCTATATCGCCTAGTCTATATTCGTCCGGATCCCACGCCAAAACTCTGCTCTTCATATTTTCCAGTTACCGAGCAAGAAGCTGTTTCATATCACATTTCTGCTCGGTATTCAGAAGCTCAAGTCTCTCCTTCCATGCATCGGCAGGGTTGGGGCACGTAGTCGGTCCCAAAAAATCGCCTATCGATCTTTTGCCAGTATATCGCATCAAATGCAAAGTCGTTCCTTGCAGCGTAAGCAACCCAGAAATCTCCACTCTCCCAACTCTCTCGCATCGGGGCCAGAAAGCCGCTGGCTTTATTGGAGTAGGTAAATTATTATCATTTATTCTATCACTTGTTGATCACTCCTCTCTCTCTTAGACAGGTAGAACTACATCCATCATTATCGACAGAATAAGTATGTCGTTGAGAGGGGCGTCTTGCAATATTATGCGGGAGATTGTGCGGATGAATGAAGATGTGCAATGAGGGCTATAGGATACTGATTAAACTCTACTTTACACCGAATACCAAGCTACTTATTTGGTCTGATCTGCGAAATTGCTCACAGCCCTCAGTCTCTCTCCGTACTTCCACAAGATGAAAGGAATAGGACACCCAATCACCAAAGCCAAAAACGCCAACAGGCTGTTCCCCCATCCATATCCAAGTTTCTCATACATTGCCGGGCTGAACAACGGGAATCCAAAGCCAGTGAATCCTCGCACAATATAGACAGCGCCATTGGCACTGGCAGCATAGACAGGGAACGTATCTAGCAGATACTGACTGCAACACTGGAAGATGATGGTTGCTCCCATGAGCGGGAGTGCAATACCAATATCTGGCACAATCCAATGGGTCTGGTACTCTGCACTCCAGCCGTAGATCAGCAATCCAATAGGAACCAGCAATGAAGCCGGTACCATAATCGGCAGCCGGAACTCGGGCTTCCCCACGCCTTTGTTCTTGGCTACTTGGTACCGATACACTCGGTCGGTCACAAAGGCACAGATCTGAGCCCCGACCGCGTAGCCGATGCACGGCGCAATGTAGTTGAGGCTACCGGTGCTGACCCTCATATAATAACGTTTTGTCCAAAGATCCGAGAAGCTGGAAAGAAGGAGGTAGACAATCCCATAAAGATAGCCAGAGTAGCAAGCCAGCGCTTGGATAATTGGCTGCGTGCCCAGGAAGTACAGGGACCGGGAGATGGTGCGTCGGTACAGCTGGCCAACCGTCTCATCCTTTTCAAATGGAGTCTTCCAGACACGGCTGGTGTCTTTTCCCTGCCTGTTTGCCTCTGCGATTAGAATCGCTTTCTTGCGCAGCAGCAGAACAGGTGCGTAAGTTTCTCGCGCAACAATGAAACACAGGACCAGAAACGCACCCGTGGCTAGGGAGGTGCACCAGAACGTCCAGCGCCATGTGGTATAGTCTGCGATGAACCCGCCGACGATAGGACCAAGACATGATCCTAGTACCGGACCGAGGCTGATGATAGCGACAGGCAGTCCGCGCTCTTCTTTGCGAAACACATCACCCACCATACTGGATCCAACCTGCCAGATTGTTAGGTTCGAACTCGACTAGTCTTTCAAAAATAGAATCAGAAACTCACAGCTAGTGATGCACTCGCTCCTGTTCCGCTCAGCAGTCGGAATATCAACAGCTGGGTCATGCTTGTACAGAACCCGGCCCCGAGGTTGAATGCTAGGTAGAACAGACTCCCGACCTGCAACACCGGCCATCGGCCGTAGAGTTCGCTGAATGGGCCGAGTAAGATGGGTCCCATGGAGTACATGAGCAAGAACAATGATAGTGCCAGTGGGCCTGTGATAGAAGAGGTTATGTGGAATTCATCCGCAATTGCGTTAACTGTTGGTGTTGTGATTGTCGAGGATAAGGGCATGAGGAACAACGGGATTGCGATGGTCCCCATGAGGATCCATTTTCGCGTTCCGGGCCAGTCTTGGGGGTGGTCGCCGTCAAAGTCTACCACTATTACTTTCTCGTCGGACGACATTGTGGCTTTGGCGTTATAGCGTTGGCATATAGGACGTGCTGAGTGGACTGGACTGGTATGGGTGAGATTGAATGAAGTGAATAGGGGAAATTATAGCAATGCACTGTCATCTGGATTCCTTACCCCTGCATTCTAAAAAATACATTGTTTAGCCTTATGTAGATCGCAGATCGTCATGATCGACGATGATCGGCGCAGGTGACGAGGATCTATAAGATACTCGTAAGCTCAGGGCAGGATGCTCAAGGGGTTTATGAATGATCCTCGATATATCGAGTCTGCCAGTAAGGATCTGGAATTGTGATTATCCTGGTGAAACCGAGAATGAAATGAGCAAATCCCGATGGGAAGAACCCATATAAAGCCGCAGAAAAAGGTGTCTACTCCTTGCACATCTCTTACAAATCCAAACCGAGGGTTAAATAGTATAACGGGGAGGTCATGGAGAGCTGGTATGATGCAGAATTGAAATACAAATTTGCCTAGGTGATATTGAGCAGTAAAAGTTCAAGAATGGAAATGTACTCTGACATAAGGAATTTATCTTCACTCAAATATGATCGTCCACTTTTTCCCTTGTTGACATAGGCCCGTGTAATATACAGCAGTTAAACTTACCACAGGAAACGAACTGCGGATATAGTTGCAAATCTTATAGATCCCATGCCCATAAGGCGAACCTCCTCCCAAAAGGCGCGCTGGGCCAGCCTAGACCGTGCTGAGAATCCAGCTAATCCGAACATGATCACCTTGCTTGGCTGTTCCAAGGCCTGCCGGCAGTCCGGGCCTCTGGCAGATATTTTGCTGTAACTGATAAACCTGAAGCAAGTATGAGCAGGAGTATCCAGATGGCATAGCCACCTGCCAGCTGTGTCCTCGCTCCCAGAGCGAAGAGGGTGGTGAAGAGAGCAGGGCAGAAGGCCCTCAGCGCGCTAATACCAGTCAGAGCCAGTGCATTCAGCGTGCCCAGTACCTTCGGCGAGGGTGCGACATCGTTCAGGACGAGCTGGATCGCCGTGAAGCTCATGCTGACTCCACAGCCGATCGCCAGCGAGATCGGCAAGAGAATCCAAAAGGCTTTAACGGATCCATCTGTGTCCATCCGCAGGAGTACATTGCCAAGAGGGCAGCATAGGAAGAATAATGGATAGGCAAAGGCACAGAGACGTATCACTCCATTCGACCCTATCCTCTTCTGCAATGGGGGGAACACCAGGAGGAGCCATGTAGCTTGTGCGGCACCATTTAGACCCATCATCAACGAAATTTGCAGAGGCGTAAAGCTATACCCTCCAAGGTGTACGGGAGTGAACCAAAAGACGGGAATGATGGCAGTGAAAGCAAAGGCCAGAACCATGATATGCCCGTACACATATAGGACCACACCGACTCCTGGCGCTTTGAGAAGCTGCCATGTCGATAGATCGCCGTTCCGAGTTGGCGCATCGGATGCTGCCTCCTCGCCATCACGGTCCACCACAACCGGCTCCTTCTTCAACGTCTCTTCGACGAAGCAGGCGCTAGACACGGCAGCGGTGGCTCCCACCAACGCCACCACCAAACTCGAGAGCGCGTAGGGATATTTCTCGAAGAATTGGACTGACCCAAACACACCAGGATACTGTCTTACTGGGTCAGAAAGTGCACCGCCCAGTAAAGGCCCCAGGAAAATGCCCAAGTTCCCGCTGAAGGCAAACCAGCTGAACGCCCGGGCCTGGGTAGCGGGCGTGCTGTGCTCGGCCACCATCGTGCGGATGGTGACGATAGTCCCAGCAAAGACGCCAGCAAGACACCTAAACATGATCATCTGTGGTATGGTCTTTGCCAGGCCAAAGAGGCTTGTCGCCACAGTCACGCCGAACAAGGAGAAGACCAGGACGGGCTTACGGCCAAGTCGGTCGGCTGCTCGTCCCCAGAATATCATGACGATGGCCTGCGTCAGGGAAAACATTGACTCGATCAGTCCACTGTAAAAGCCGACGTCGGAGTCCGCCAACCCCCCATTGTCCTGCACCATCTGGCTGACATAGGGGAAGATGGAGAAGAAGGCCAGGGGCTCAACTGCGCGCGCATAGCAGAGCAACAGAATCTGGACCTTGGGCAAGGGCTTTTTCTCGTCGTCATTGTCATTGTCGTCATTTTCGCCATCTGGCCCTGACGAACCGTCCAGAGTGTCTGATGTGCGCGCATCAGCATATTTGATCTTGCTGGACGCTAGGAGAGCTGTAGTCTCATCTACATGGTCGCTTTCCTCGTATACAGCGTCAGGCTGTCTGTCTGTCCTTGTGATTGCGACCATATCTGTGCTGTGACGAGTAGACGATTTGGGGTCGGATGGCGAATCCATTTGGATCCACACCGCTTTCGCGTGCTAGGCAACGGAACGCGTATACCTTAGACAATGCCTATATGGCCAGACATATAGACGTGTAAGGATTCTAGTATCCAGTGACTTGCTTTTCTGCTTATTATCCAACACAATTCCTGATATTACTGTTCGGTGTGGCTTTTCCGTGTCAGAAGAATTTAGATGGCTCACACCTCAAGATAAATTGAACAATTATATCTCAGATTCAGATTCAACGACCATCGTAGCTTGGAACTACAAAGGAAAATATTGATATAAGTCAAGGCCATGTTATCATCGTCGGGTGAGAGCCAAAGGATCTACCCTCTTTTTCTCTGTCTACTAATAGGAATTCAATAGGGCTGGCATCATCGGTCTCAGCATCGCAGTCAAACTATCCAAATACTTGAAAGTCACTGTCATCGCAAGAGAGTTACCCGGAGATGTTGGCATTGACTATGCTTCCCCATGGGCAGGGGCACACTTCCGCCCCACCCCCGCAAAAACAGAAGAGGAACGAAGAGAGCAGGCCTGGATGCGACAAGCCTACAAAGAATTCGAGGAGATCGCAAAATACCACCCGGAAGCGGGCGTGGATTTTATTCCCGCAGTCGAATATTTCGATAACGCCGACGCAACCTCGTTCCTGGCAGAAGAAAAGGGATACACCACATGGCCGGACTTCCATATTCTCGACACTGCACAATTGCCTCCTCAGCTTCAATCTATCCAGCTAGGCGTTACCTACCGCAGCTGGGTCCTGAACTCGCCGGTCTATTTGAAGTGGCTACAGAAGCGGGCAGAGGCGCAGGGGACTCGGTTCATTCGAGCTCATCTGACGGACCTGGAACAGGTTGTGTCTGCCTATCAGGAGAATACATCCCAAGATGAAAGCGATGATATTTTGGCTGTTGTTGATGCCAGCGGGAGGGGTTCAATGATCCCAAGTCTTTCCCCTCACGGGGTCAGTTCATCATCGTCTCAAACCACTGTGATAAAACGGTCAGTCATCATTGGAGTGATGGTTCCTCTACGGTCATCATACCCCGACCTCTGGGTGGTGGGACTGTCATTGGCGGGACTAAGGAGCCTAATAACTGGTATGGTTTGAGATATTCCTCGACGTTTGATTGACGCTAACACTGGCCAGGTCTGAGGATGTCGACGACGCTTCAACTGAAGCCATCCTGAAAAGGGTGAGAGATCTATGCCCCGATATGGTTGGCGGGAATGCGGATGAACTGGCTTCGACGAACGGGTTTGATCTAAAGCAAGTCTATGTTGCTCGGCGCCCAATGAGGCGTGATGGACTCCATTTTGTCTTGAAGTCATTAGTGGGCCATACTGTGAATCCTCTTCTCCTGATCTCTTGCTACGGTGCTGGGGCAAATGGGTACACAATTAGCTGGGGACTGGCGTGTGAAGTCGACAAGTTCTTTTCTCCTACTAGATAGTATGGATTCTGCTCATAATGAAGCAGATGTCTGCAAAAATATTTGGCCGCTTTAATGTTTTCAATATCCAGTTCGGTGAATGAATACATTAGGGGAGGCATATCTGGAGCTTCTCTTGCTTATTCAAGTTACTGTCATTTACACGATAATGACCGGTCACTGGCCCTACAAGTCCCCCGTTCCATTCAGATCCGTGGCAGAGAGTAATGAGTACGAAGAACGAGTGGATACTCTCTTTGCATCTCAAGCATACCCTTCAGTTGATGGTCTTGCCGGTGGCGCCGTGAGACAGGGATGTTGGAAAGATCGATATAGTGATATGGCGTCGCTCAATCGAGACCAAATTTTGTCTTTCGGTGCCATAGGAGTTTTAATTTCCACGCCGGAGAACAGCAACGGGTCAATACAGTAGCTCAGCGAAGATACGGCTTATGTCCAATAAATTATGATCACAAATGAGGACCTCAGGATTTGCCAAACTCTTAGTGAACAGAGGGTCCTTACTGGGGGTAGAAGCAACTTTTTAGATATACCATCGATATGCCCTTTGATCAATCATCACCCCTCTCCTATCCATCTTTACCAGGATGTTTCGTGAACGTACTTCGTCGGAGCTCTTACCTTGTAAATACGACGCATCTAGCCAAAAAGCATTGGACCCTTGCAAAAAGATCGATATCTTATATCGCTATACGGGAGTAGAAATGATTTTGAGATGGTATGTACAAACATTAGGGAGTCCCCCTAGAACTCCAACTCCTCTAAAACCAATGCCAATAAAACAAATATAAATATACTCACCAAGCTAAGTAGGCTAACCACCCACCATCATCCAAGCCATAGCACCAGCCCAACCAAAGACGAAAATCAAGGTCAAAATACTGGCACCGGCCTTATCCCCAGTCGTAATAGGCTTCTGCTCGTTCACATCGTCATTTTCTGAGCCCGCATTGGGGTCACTGGAGCTGTTTCCGCCAGTCTTGGAGGTGACAGGCCCAAACGTGCCGGTGTTAAAGTTGACCATATTCGCAAGGAAGACATTCGTTGCGCTGATCTCTTGCTCCATACCAGTTGTCCCGTCCCACTTGTTTTGGTACCACGTGATACCGCAGGAGTTGTTGTTGTTTCCCGTGCAGGATTTTGCCGCGGCTTCTGCGGAACTTGCGAGTTTGGGTTTGATCTGCGCTGTGGTCTCGGGGACCAAGAGCGTCGTGAATGCGAGCCATGATGAGGTGAGGCCCTTGAAGAGGATTTCGTTGAAATTGCACTTTTTGATAGGCTCGCAGGTAACGTCTTCAATGATATCCCCGTTCGGGAAGAAGGTTTTCAAGGTTTTGCTGAGGAGGCCGTCTACCGGGGCCTTCCACTTTTCGTCTCCATTTGTCTGTATGGGAGTATTAGTATCTGCAAATACAAGATTTGGGCGTCTAATGGTAAATGGCGAATACGGAAGTTCCACTCACATAGTTATACATGTAGACAGCGCCCATCAGGTATGCTCCGTAGTTGTAGGTCCACTGGTAGTTACCAGCGTCGGCGCAGTCATTTGCCATCTGCGTCGAGTCGGCAACATTCCAGGTCTTGTTGTTCACTAGCGGCGAAGAAGTAGACCAGTCCCAGATCTTCTCGGCCCATTTTGAGTACTTGTCGTCATTTGTGTAGCGGGCGAGACGTGCAGCGAGTTGGAACAGACCGCCATTTGATACGGAGTTCTTCATAGTGTATCCCGATTGATAGGGGAAGATCTGCCAACGCAGACCACCACCACAAGTTGTTGTATCCCATCGAGCAGTCTGGGTGTTAAATACACCCTGTGCCAGTGAAAGCCACGAGAATCCGCCCTGGACGTCAGGGAATTTCAGCTCGGCGGCCATCATGGCTGCGAGACCCCAGAACATTTGGTCGTCATTTCCCTAGAGATTCGGGAATAGTCAGAGAATTAGTTATCCTTCACCGTATTCTAGAATTGATACATGCTCACCAGGTAGCTACTGTAATTGCTGGGCATGTAGTCACCCTCTTCACCCGATTGCCACTGCAGTCCTTCGCTCATCAAAGCGTTATAGGTCGTGTCACCCGTAAAGTGCCAGTACTGAAGCAAGGCTAGGAAAAGAGCAGATCCTTCCCACCATTTTTCAGGGAAAGCGCCAGGAATTTGTCCAGTTTCGTTGCCGGCATACCATCCCATCATGGAGTAAGTACTCGTACTTGCGGCATCTTTGATTGATTCTGTCCGTGATCGAGAAGTCAGTTCCATGACATCCTTTATCGGAAAATAAATTCGAGTATTCATGACGTACGTTCATCGCTGAGGTCTAATTCGATCGCAGGCGTTAATGTCGAAAAGAGGAGTGATGCGATGAGGCCATTGAGGATAGACCATGTTCCGGACAAGTGCATTTCGACTTAGATAGAACATAGATTTTATCGATCTAAAATGAGAAAGGTCGCGACTCGATGTGAAAAACGGGCCAGACCTTGCTTGTCAAAGGGAGTTTCGGAGGTTAGGGATGCGGCGTAAAGATGTATGGGCAGAAGAACCCCCGACCCCAAAGTTCCTTCCATATTAAAAATAGTTTTCAGGTCCTTCTCCACTTTTCTGTGGGGTTGAGAGATAATTGCAAGCTTTTGCTGGTTGCTTTGCAAAGACCTGACCGACGATCAACCAGTAGACGATCGATCTATCATGTCGTTCGCCATCGGCTGAGCCGAATATAGGCCGACATCGTTTGTATGCGTATGCTGTACAGTTAAACAGTTCATGATTGGTATGATAAGTATTGGCAGACCAAAATAATTATATTCTTATGGGACAGGGGCGACAGACCAGCGACAGATCGGCAGATGATGTCGAATAATATAGGGACTTTCGTTTTCGGATGGGTTAGGGCTCAATTAGTTTCCCCACTCTCCACGCATATGCCAAGCCCGACGCGTGTAAGGATGGCGAGACAAGCAATTTAACGGATCCAACCAAGGAACTCAGACTTCTTGGCTTTTAGATTCAATGATTTATGCACATAACTAGTACAAGGTCATATTCATTAGTTTATATATGTTCCTAGATCTTCTTCCAGGTAAATAATTAATCTCCTAACTTGAGATGATCTTTTTCCTTTCCCAATATTCTCAAATATTTTACAATCTTTTTCAAGTCTTGAAATATTCCTCCGTTTTCAGATGACCGCATTTGGAAAATCACAACCGTGGGCCTGGGGCAGAAAGAGTGGAGCCGCCCAGGGGTCTCTGACGTCAGATGCGGGAGAGCCAGTTGACTTCTTTTGGCGATCAAAAGGGCTGTGGGCTGTTTCAACACTGAGAGAAATCAGGGGTTTTGCGCGTTGACTTTGGTTCAATGTCCAGACCATTCTTCTGTACTCCGTATAACATCCCTTATTCTAATATCTCCCGGAGGACCCAGGCAAAACAGTCGGTTGCCATAGGGGGCTTAACACAACTTACGTACATATTAGGGCGAACGCTTGGAAATATAACCACCGAATTGCTACTATCTTCGACAGACAACAACATTATTTTCAAATAATAATGATTCGCTCTCGTCAGCGAAGGCACCAGGTACAATACACAACATCCGGTGACAGCCATTCGGCCCCACATCGACGACAATAGCTGCCTCTCAATTTCACAGCTTTGCTAAAATATCGATTTTTCTCACATTACGCTTGGGGGTCATGTCTTTCCGGGCCTTGCCAGTTATCTTTAAGGCAAGGTAAACGGTGTCACTCCAGCAGCATGCCCGAGAGCGAACTATGACCAGTCGCTCAATTCGACATAATTTATAGTCCTTGCACACTTTCCATTGACAAACTTAACCGAATCATTCACCATAAATGAAACCCAGATATAAGTCCATAAAAGACACATATCCACAAATACATAACACCCATGTATGGAGGAGAAAGACCACCATTTTGCCCGTTCATGATACTCCTCTCTGCCAGCCCATATCGATCATGGCCGTACGTCGCATTGAGATGAACATCGCCTGAAATTGACCCATCTTCCATCCGAATCCAAGTCCGGATATCATCCCCAAGCGACCGTTCATCCAATAAAATCTGCCTTCCACCACGCGCCCACTCGCCATACCCTCCATATCCTGTGTGCCGGCCGTAGCACATGCTCAGACCATTCCCCGTCACATTGAGGTCAGAAAGCTTTCCATCCCATTTGAAGCACCTATCAAAATAAAAAGGATTAGCCAAGTGAGAAGTTTTTACGTTCTGCCTTCAAACCGAGAACAGAATTCTAGCGCAGTGTGATCCATACCAGTCATTATCATGATCATGGCCACTGAATGTCGCCGCCAGCCCCGTGGTGTTCAGCAGAGCATTTATAAAAGGGAAGTCTTGAGCATGGTAGCCGGAGTCGGGGTCATAGCCTTGTTGCTGGACTCGTTCTCCGTTGATTCCTGGTTCGCTGGTTGGGGTCACGCCGGATTTCTGGAATGCGCGCATAGCATAAACTGGGATATGGACGAAGGCTAGAGATGGGATTGTCTGCCCATATGTGGATGTTAAGTTTGAATTGGTTCTTAAAAACCATTCAATAACCTGCAACATGTCAGTATGTGAGACATCAACCCCAAGTCACTGGATCTAGCATGAGAAAAAGCGAGAGCCCTAGGGTTTTATCAACGCCGCGGTACTTACTGTGTCATCTACCCAATTCTGTCTCGGGGTTGATTTGCCATCACCATTCTCTGTCCAGGCATAATGGCCACCTTGACTGTCAAAAAACCACAAGATAAACACAGGGAGACTGTCCTTCGAAGCCTCATGCGGAAATATTGGCAGGTAATAATTCGTGACGCCGGCAGTGGAGTCCAGAACCATCTTCTGGGTTAAGCTGTTTCGATATTTTGTCTCTTGACGAAACATCTCTTCGGGATTAAGATTAATCTCGCTGTCATGATTCCCATAAGTTGATGCCCATGGTAAATCACGGTCGACTAGTGGGGCAACAACCCGATCAACGTAGAGACTAGAATTGGAGCTTTGTGTTGCCTCGCCAGAAATTAAATCTCCATTGAGTACCACGAGTTGCACTTCCTCTGAAGAAAGGACGCTTTTCACAACCCCCGTGGTCCTTTCGTCCGCTTCGTCATCTTTGAATATGGTTAGTAACCGGGAACAATGGTTCAAGTCTCTCATCGTACCTTCAGCGAAATGCAAGTCACTAAACACTGATATTTGGAATTTGCCATCCTCAGTAAACTGCAAGCTTTGGTCTTCGGCAAGACGTCGGTATGCGGACGGTCTGCGGACTGACATCGTCCTTATATACCCCACTATAGATTATGCACAATAGCGAAAGATCAACTGGGGAAAATGGAGAAGACTTGCGCCTCTCGACATATGTTGCCAGATTTCCCACAATTGTCTAGCAGTGTCCGAGACCTAACGAGATGTACCATAGGGATGGCTAGTCGTGAATAGTAAGATGTAACCTTGCAGAAACGGCGCCGCTTGAGCCCCGGTAGGAGAAGAGAGCCGGAATCGAATCCCGTGTGGTCCATGGCTTGGATACCAAGACCGCACCTGGATGAATAATTTGCCGATTGGCCGTTGGAACTATCCTTTGTTCACAAAACCTTCCAGCTTGGGTGCCCAGAATGATAAGAGATTAAGGGTACATTATTCGTCCCCGCCTCTTCCGTCGGCAATGTTAAAGCCCCGGAAACTGGCGCCTTAAGCGCCAAGGAGCCTAGATTCCAGTATCTGTGGTAATTATCTACTATCAACTTTTAGCATCATGCAGGCTGCTTATTGTACGTCATGGCCAAGAGGTTACTTTTACCATTGGAGTGCCAGGTGGGTCCCAGCCTGACTTTCAACTTTCGGCCATTGGCAGCTCAGGCTGGCTGGCCAATCAGACCCTTGAATTGCGACCCAGTCAGTAAGCACTCGGACAAAGCATAAATTGACAGAGCTTAAATCCGAACGTACCTAGGTAATCAGCAAGGAGAAAATGGGACGAGAGATGTCTGAGTGACAAATGATGTATCACATGGTTGAGATCAGCTAAACAGTCCCTTTCATATTGCTCCATTGAAAGAGATATCCTAGAGAAGGAAAGGTCTTATAAATCTGAGACAGCCTCAACAGAAGTCGAAAGGGAAAAAAACTGCCCCCCACGCTAGGACTTTAACTCAGCCCCCCCCACCCCCAGCGAAGCCTCTTGCGACAGCACTCATGGCACAGATCCAGCAAGATGAAGGCAGAAACCACTGAGCCATCTAGGCATATAGAATCGTATTATACAACAGATCCCCAGAACACGCTATGATAATATTTGTCTAGGAATAGAATCCAAGACAGTTTCCGCTCCCCAATAATCTTTTTCTCCGGGTCTCGCTGCCACAGCAATTCCGCCCAGGTGCCAAGAGTGTATTACCAAGCACCTTGTACATCCATGGATGACAATCTGGGCATGATGCAGCCAAGAGTGTAAGAGTGTATTATCAATCACCTTCACATAACTAGCTAACGGATTAGTTAACTACATCCATGACCACTCGGTTTCCGAGGAAAAGAGATTAACTCACTTCGCAGTGTTACGAAAAAAAACAGACCCGACGTGTCTGCCATCTCCTTTATCACAATGATTCTCATATGCTTCGGTGTTTCAGGTCGTGGTGCCGCATTCTTCAAGTGGCTAATCCTGTAGCTATTACAGCTAACATTCAACACGAGACAATGGCCGCAAATCGTGACGTGGGTTTGTCGCTTGGGGTCAACGGGTTGGAGACAGTAAAATACTACCGAAACAGCCCCGGATTTTCTGTCGTGTTCGAATTGATACAGGTGTGCTTGGGGGCCTTATGAGGTTATCAGCCACGATACACTTGCTGATGACTTCGCTATTGACCCGCAATGGGTTTGGTATTTGGCGGGTCTTGTTGCTGATCTGGTTATTAGCGTCGTTCATAATTGGTATCATGAAATTATCGCGGATTTGAAGGGCTCGGGAGATTTGATGACTGCCACGTCGCCAGCTTTTGGGGGGACACAGAGGGATCGCAATGTTCTTTACATCACTACTGGAGGGGAGACAAAGCTTTATGTTCATGACACGAGTACCAAAGTGGGGTGTGTTGTGGCGTTTTGTGAGAAGTTTTAGTTCATCTTCTTATGTGTTGTGCTAGATTGCCATTATATGGATCTTTGGTTTTACTTAAAGAAACGCCCATCGGACCAACTTCAGTTTCAAGGTTAGTACGATACTCTGCTAGGTAAAGGTACGAAAAACTTCAAAAGCTTCTCGGAATACATATTGAACTGAGGTATCAAGATTCATGAAGCGAAATCAAAGCCATATGTACGGATTTCCATTCCATTCCTAGTAACGAAACAAGATCACGAATGCCATTATGAATAACTGCGCTTGCATATCGTGTCGGTTGGTCTCCAATCCCCTCCGTTGCTCTGTGATATCTTCTTTTTTTTTTCTTATTTTCATGTTGAAAGGTTGGACATCGCTTCTAAAACACAAAACCCTTATACATCTACATGCGCATTCGTGAACTCAAATGCGAATAACGATCATGACTCGAGTTCACCGCGGCGAAGTGCCAACAAAGCCCGGACATCCGTGACATATTGTAGAGCTTCGAGCATGGGAATCAAGTGGAGCAGACCGTTATCCGTGGGGTCGTTGATCCAGCCCTTGATGGGAATCGCATTATCTGGCAATGATTATTAGCTCGAGCGCACCAAGATAGATAAATGTAATTATTACCTTCATGGAAAATATAGCTCATTGGACTGTTGTCCAGAATCATCACCTTGCTCAGATCCGGTTCCACGGAACTCAGGTCCTTGATGTATGCACCGTTACGGAATGTGCAGTGCTGTCGGTATAAGCGGCCTTGGAAGTATTTTCGTTCCTGCTCGAGCCAGTCGATGACAGGGTCGGCATACTCTTGAACGCTAGCCGTGAAGATGACAAGCTTATACCACTTGCTGATCTTGCGCAGGAACTCGTCGCAGTGTGGCCGTTTATGGACATAGTACAGAATAGGATGCTGAGGGCCCAATGTCGTCTGCGGTCCACCCGGGGACAATGAAGTAGTCGTGGGTATCGAGAGCTTAACCTCGACCATGTGACCACTGGACATCCGGCCACCCTTGGCGAGCGAGTGGATTAGGGTCTCATCGAGATCCAACACCAAGGTCTTCTGCGGGGGTCTGGCATTGCGGGGAGGTGCAGTATATGAAGGTACTCGTGGCGGAAGGAGTGGCCGCGGTGGAGTTGGAGAGTGTGGGTACTTTGTTATGCGATGGATATTGGGAGAGGTTGGGGACTTTAAGCTGTCCAGGTGGACAGCCCCCTGAACTCGAGAGACACCCTCGGGCATTGGATGTCCTAAATCTGCACTCTGGGATCTTCGTTGTCTCTGTCGCTTGAGAGATTCCTCATTATGGAGCTTGATTCGTATAGACCGACGGGGCGTGTGCTCGTGCTCTTCCCCTTCTGGGATTGGATCTGGATCGTGGCCTTTTATCTTGGTAGGTCGGTTCCTCCCACTCGAGAGATTCTTGATATGCCGTCGATCTGTGTCAGACTCTGAGGTCGTTGATACAATGGATTCGCGAGAGCCTTGGGGTCGGAGCTTCCGGGTGGAGCCACTGCGACGCCGAGGTTCTACCCGGGTCGCCCCTTTCGCCGACCGGACCATTGGGTCGGCAGAGGAGCGCCGCAATTTCCGAACAGGCGCAAGAAGCGAGTAGTGGCCATCGTCGGCCTGAAAGCATTGCGCTAAATACACACCGGGTGCAGCAAATGTAGATAGAATGAACTTGATGGTTTCCGTGATCGCATCGAAAAACCGTTGGGTAATTAGTCGCCAAGTACTTCGAGCAGTGAGCGTGCCGTTCTTGTGAGCTTCATGCAGTAACGGCGTCTTCTCGTCTAAGTCATATGTGGCATCCTCCTCCCCAGTTTCGCCCACGGGCGGTCCATCGTTATAGCTCTTCCCGGTGGGGTCAAGGGACCGAAAGTTATCCTCGCTATAAGACCGGAGTTTCGGGAAGTCTGACGGTAGAGGTGCACGATTGCTATCGCCTTGAGACTGCGATCTGTGGCGTGAAGAGCTGGAAGATTGGCCAATGACTCGCGAGGACAGGATATTCAGCGAGTTCATCTTCCCTCAAGGCGTCACGGGAGACAAGGGCGCAGCGATCTATTGACAAACGGATCGTGAGTAAATCATCAAAGCCACCTAAAGCGGTCCATGAGATAAGTGTGCAGGGATGTGATGGTAGTCTGAGGGAAAGAGGGGGATCACAAGGAGGTGTAAGCTGTTGTTCTAACCTCAAATGCGCCAGTCACCCGTGCCTCGGAAGTACTTCCGCGACTCCAAATCTAATTTATACCACAAGTTTCAAAGCCGATAAAAAGCAATCCAAAAACAGAAATGAAATAATAGAAATGCGAAAACTGAACTGGAAGAACACCAATAAGAAAGCCGAAGCCGAGACAATAGAGCGTCAATGAGTGTGGGGAAGCGGACAACATCGAACGGCAGAAAATCATTCTTTGTCTCTCCACTCTCTGGCTCTTGTGAGAATCTGAGAATCTCTTGATCATAAACACTTTCTATTTAAAATACAGAGTGATATCTGGATCTGAAAATTGGTATGTTTACTTCTCGGCACTGCACACGTCTATAGCTCAACCCTCGCTGACACCGCGCAGATTTCCTCCCAACATCCCACTTCCTCATGCCGTCTTCCTCGTTGGCCCTGACGCCGGGCCTGGGCTCATTCCTCAAGTGCCTCAAGACAAACCCGATCGATACCTCTATTGAGACACTGATTTCGTACGTATCTTGGGACTTCGAGTCATGGCGGCTACTCCTACCGACGATCAAACTTGCTAACATAGTATATTTCAATCAGATTGCTCAAGCGACGTCAAATCCGCCATTCGCGATCATGTGCCACAGCAACCGCCTATTTGCTACGGAGCGTGATCTCCGCATGTCGCACAACAGATTCAGCAAAGCTTATTGAGCGGGTGCAGAGTGTGGGCAGGCGGCTGATGGCTGCGCAACCGCGCGAGATGGTGGTGGGCAATATTGTGCGCCGGGTCCTAGGTCTTATTCGTGACGAAGCCGAAGATGATCGCGATGCTGAGTTTGCTCTCAGCGACATCGGTTCAGAGAGCCAGCCACAAACACCACGGGCTTATGACGGTGAGTCCCAAGTTCTGGTCCAAAGATCTACGCAGTGACTCATAGATCCATAGACCCATCCTTGCCTTTGGATCGCGACTCGCCTTCCTTCCGCTCCGATGACAGATCCTCTCGCCCCCCTCTGACCTCTATGTTCAGCCTTCTTTCTCATCCCGAACCCGAGAACTCACTTCCCAGCACCCCGGGATCCTCCTCTCCAAGCGGACGCCTCGCTGGCCACGGCCCAAGCAAAGACGTCCGAGCTGAAGTACTGGAGGGTATTGGCGAGATCATTGATGAGCTCGGCCAGGTGGACGATCAGATCGCTGCCTACGCATTGGACCACATTCACTCCAACGAAATCATCCTCACCCACACATCCTCGACCACTGTCCAAAAGTTCCTGCTCAAAGCCGCTGCAAAACGAAAGTTTACCGTAATCCATGCTGAGTCGTACCCGAATAACCACGAGGCTACACATGCCACCGTCAGTGGTAGCGCTGTCAGCGACGATGACAATCTCGGCTTGGAGGCTTTCCAGAAGCCACTGATCGAGCACGGCATCACCGTCATCCTCATCCCAGACTCTGCCGTCTTTGCTCTCATGTCACGAGTCAACAAGGTTATCCTCGGTACACACTCCGTCCTTGCCAACGGAGGCCTTGTCGCCGCAGCTGGCACTCGTGTCATCGCCCGTGCCGCCAAGGTCCACCAGACCCCCGTCGTGGTCGTGAGCGGTGTTTACAAGCTCAGCCCTGTCTACCCGTTCGACTTCGACTCGCTCATTGAATACGGTGACCCGAGCAAGGTCCTCCCATACGAGGAAGGTGATCTCGTCGACCTGGTCGATGTCCAAAACCCCATCTATGACTACGTTCCCGCAGAGCTTGTCGATCTTTACATCACTAACCTGTAAGTTTCAAGCATCCATCTCACTCGCTGATGTCACTTCATAAAACTAACTCTGCTTTCCTTACTCCAGCGGTGGCCATGCCCCATCATACCTTTACCGCATTGTCTCAGACCACTACCGCAAAGAAGATATCAGCTTCTAAGCCAGTAGTTGGATTAGGCAATTGTGTCACCGGCTCATGGAAATCAACCAAAAAAGACTATTTGAGGGACATTTGCCCAAACGATACCCGGGGGATTACTTTGACGACTGATACGCAGAAGTAATGAATGAGACCACCAAATTTTATCACTTCCGATGTTTAGAAATAGCCGCTGCATTAGACTCTCGCACATATATCACTTTTTAATCGAGCTTCGCCTGGCATATAGACATGTTCGAGCTCTAGTAGCAGTATAAAATCTCCAATATGCCTATCCTATTATTGGACTGGGTGCAAAGTCCTTGTGCCGTGAAAGGTAACGTCGATATATATCCATGGATTTATACATAAAATCAATGTCATTCTTTTTGCCTACATATATATTTTTCTTTCTACACTTGTCTCAGCCCTCCAAGCTTCTCAGCCCCCATGCTTCGGAGGACCGAGAAGACAATAGACCTTCATATGTCGACCCCTTGATGTCTCTTTATCGATAGACTGAGTAGTTGGCGCAGGAACGGGGCTAATATTGTGGTTTATTCAAGGCTAGTACCAAGGAGATCTCAGTGGTTACTGCAAAAGGCGTTGGTTTAGATATATATTCATGGGCAGCCATACAAAGTCCGTACACATATACACTGGCCATTGCAATTACTAGATAATTCCACATGTCCACGTGTGGATGACGTTTGGCAACGGGGAAATGGAGTCGAAGGCCTAGAGCATAGGAGATTGAGTTATGTACCTGAACGGCTTGTGGATTTTGATCATTTATGTCCATGAAGCCTCCATACCCTACGCTTTACTTTGCGTCCTCACAGACAAGTCTAGCAAGGGTCAAGGAAACAAGTAACAGTATACGGCAAAGGTCAGAAACCCGGGAAAGAGATAAAAGTCATGGCGCCATAATCTTTTGGAGGTTGTATCAATCGTGTTTAATTCGCAAATAAGCGGATCCACCACATTCCGGACGCAAGCCCGCCGGGGGACTCCCCCAAAAGAAAATATCTCATGAAATCAAGGCGCTGATGAGGCGGGCTTTCCGTCCGGCACCGTTCCCACACTCCAAGGCTCCCGGTCGCTGCATTTTTGATTTCGAACAGAACGCGTCGAGTTGTTTAAGAGCGGGGCTTCTCCTTCTTCTCCCTCCAGAGAGCGGCGAGACCGACACCGGAGACCTTGACAACCTTGAAACGGACACCGGGAATATCACCCTTGGCCTTACCCTTGCGACCGAAACCGGCGAGCAGGACCTCGTCGTTCTCATCGATGAAGTTCAAGCAACCGTCATTGGGGACTGCAGTAACATGCTAGTTAGCACATGTCTGTGGTAGTTGAGTTGGCGGTTTCCATCTTGTCGTAATTTCAACTCGTGTAGACCTTTCTAACACATTGTAGCGATAATAGTAAGGAATGGGGTTACCCACCGAAAGCAGCGACCTTCTTGCCGTTCTTGATGAGCTGAACCTTGACACACTTGCGGATAGCGGAGTTGGGCTGCTTGGCCTCAACACCGACCTTCTCGAGGACGATACCCTTGGCGTGGGAAGCACCACCGAAGGGGGAGGACTTGTAGGCGGTTCCGAGAAGACGCTTCTTGAAGTGGTCATCAGCCCAGCGCTGGTCCTTGCGGTGCGACTGGAGCTTGCGGGCGGCGTTCAAACCACGGGGTTGTCCTTTACCCATGTTGGCGGATTATGTGTTCGACGGTCAACTGAACGAGAAAGAAAGAAGAATGTTAGCCTCGTGCCGAGCCCAACGGTGGTTTTGCTGGTTGTGGGTATTTTCGATGCGTGTTCGATGTTTGGAGGAGGCCGATATTTTGTGCGTGATGGATGCGATCGTTGACAAGGGATCTCGCAGTGCACGAATAAAATATTTCCGAAAACCACAAACGATGGAAGGGAAACAGCAGGATATCGAATACGTACCGACTGGGAGGGGTGTTGTCGGCCAAAGGGGCTGAGGGTCGATTGTCGAAAAGTCGAAGAGTTCCGGATTTCCCTTACCACACGCTTCGGATGTACCTCAGGTGACTTTGTGCGCTTTAGCCCTAAGCGAGTCACGGGACAGTCGTAGCCCCCACCTTGTATTATGTCAGCGAACCGATAACGATAAGATTAACTATCAACTGCATCATCCCGAGGTCAACCCCATTCGAATGCTCGCTGTCTGTTGTTCTCTTGAACATTAGTTGAAGATGGATTTGTCAAGAAGACCCACGAATCCAAATCCTCAGCGCCTGCCTCCCCCAGCCCTTTTTCAGGGCCCACCATCACACAATGCCTCTAATATTTCCTTACCTGTACCGCCTGCAGCATCAACGTTAGCAACTGCCTCCGGCGGCCAACCTCCACCCCTGCATCGGAACCGGTCACCTCGCGGAGCCGAGGGCGAAAATGCCGAAAAGTCGAGCTTGTTATCACCCTTTGTATCGCGCCGCCCCTCCAAAAATGATGTAGACGGATCCGATGCGATCTGGCAGGAGATGCAGAGCGCCCTGTCAGAAGTGGAACTTAGCGCTGTGACGAGCGAGAATGTCTTCGGTGCAAAGCATTCTGAAGCATTGGACGATCTACGCATGAAACAGTTGAAGCTTGCTCAAGCCTGGGCGCGCAGTGAGGCAGACGATGAAGTTGTGGATCCCGGCCACAGCGGTGCCGATGAAGCCAGTGGAACACCCAGCTCAGCACGGCGAGGTGCTGAAGAGTCGAAACCGCAGTACGATACAGCGACGGAAACTAGCGCGGGCCGCGGTTCGGTATCGCACCGCACATTGGACGACGAGACCGAGAAAGACATTCGTCATGCACGAAAGCGCCGCGAGGCTAATGACCGATACTTTGATCGGGTCAATCAGGGCGTTTTGGATGTCGTCGCTAAGCTGGAAGAGGTCGCTCAGGCTATGCGCACCGTCGAGCGTGAAAGCAAGGATATTTGGAGTGATACGGAGAGTGTCACGACAACTGCGCCGTCATCAACTCATACGAGTTGACCTCCTGAGTTTGCCAGTCGATTCAGCTTCACCCCGTCCGCATTTCCTTCATTTTGTTTATTTTGCAGCGGGATAGTGCGAAAGTCCTAGGATTGGTCGGGTCGTCACCGAGTCCTGCCCACCGCGTAGATATCACTATCCCGTCTGGGAGCGCGCTGGACGCATTTACAATATCCCTCGGGGGAAATAATGATACTAATGCATGTAAATTACGACATAAATAAATCAAGGGTATCCAAACTCCAGTGCTCAAAATCAAACCCAAACATGCAGACATGATAATGCATCCAAGTACCCCTTTGAGCCAAGCCTTCGCTATCGTCCCAGAGACGATCCTTCATTCCCGTTTCACTACTCGTGCAGCAGCCTTCCAGCCTTCTGCAGCAGCTTCTCTCACATCCTCCCATCTCGTTTCATAAGCCTTCCTTGTCAAGACCTCCACTTCCTTATTCCACCTATGCTTGAGTATCTCCTTCATAGTCGGCTCGGCTGGATTCTGCGCTTCCAATTCTTCGCGCCGCCACCTTGGCACGTCTTCTGGTAAGAAGCGCCGGTCATAGGCGCCAGCAGAGGAGGTCAACCAGTCTATTTGCTCGACTTGCGCGTGGATGGCTTTGCGTTGTGATATGCGTGTCGACCGGTGGACTTGGATGGTAATATAGAGAACGGATGAGGTGAAAGCAAAACCGCCGAGCTATTCGAGTCCGAATTGAAGTTAGTACTTGTCTCTGGTATAGATTCGATAGCAAATCGTACAAAACCCGCGAAGAAGCCCATATTTGTTGTGGTATTTAGATTTGCCGGATTGCCTCTTTGTTCGTGGGGGTGGATAGAAAATGCGACAAATGGCACGGGTATTTCACAATTATATGGATATTCTTTCCCCGACAATCAAAGGGCTCAGCTGAAATGTATTCGAAAAGCTGAATGTCCTCGAACAAGAAGAGTGGACGCCGAAAACTGAAGTCGGACAGGCGGTGGAAGCGCTCCGATTGGCCGGGACAATTCTTCTGGGTCGAACATCCTCTCCTTCACCTTCAATAATTGGAACACCTTTTGGCTGTTGAAGTTTTGATTTCCACTTAACTTCTGATAATTTACTACTTTTCTGCCTTTTCTCTCCTCATTCAACAACTCTCACCATGGCCGGCGGTGGAAGCAGATATCGCCACTTGAGCCGCGACTCCGCGCATCGACAGGCCATGCTCCGAAACCTGGTGACCTCCCTCTTCCAGCATGAGTCAATCACTACGACATGGCCCAAAGCCAAAGAGGCCCAGCGCCTGGCCGAGAAGTTGATCACCCTGGGCAAGAAGAACACCGAAGCGAGTCGGCGACGAGCATTGGAGATTTTCTACGTATGTTGATTTCCCAAAGAACAAGCCCACCCCAATTCGAATCAGGACGGGAATCAGCCTAGTCGCGAGAAACCATGGGTCTACCAGATCCGTGATGAATCGCTGCAATTCCCAATCCATCATCCTCCAGAGACAAAAATCAACAACCTAATTACAAGACTAACATTCCCTAGACACCACACGAAATGCTCCCCAAACTCTTCGGCCCCCTCCGTGAGCGTTACGCAGACCGACCAGGCGGCTACACACGAGTCCTACGCGTAGAACCGCGCGAAAAGAACGAGTACTTCTCCGCCAAGAAGGGCGACAAAAACGCCATCCGAGAGCCTAAACCCCAGGTCAAGGCTCCCACCGCCATCCTCGAGTTAGTCGATGGGCCGAAGGACATGCGTTTCGCCATGACGGCGCGCACGGTGGCGCGCGAGCGCGAACAGGGCCGGGACCTCGTGCACTCGCTCACGAGGTTGAATGTGAAGAAGGTTACGCAGTTCCGGAAGGACGGTGTTGAGGTCTTGGAGCAGGCGATTTCCAAGCTCAGTCTTGCCAAGAAGCAGAATGATAAGCTCGCTAAGAAGGAGGCTGAGGTTGATTCAAGGGATTAGATGTGGGGAGTGCTAGCTCTCTTTTGCGGGGGTTCTGTTTCGGAATCCCCAGCCTGGGGGTGATCTCTGGAATATGTCTGGGAGATGTTTTCTCCTGGGCTTTGATGGGTATGCTTGATATTGGCACCATCTCGCTTGGGGTTGATTCCATTGTTCTTTACTTGTGTTTCTTACCGGGAGTTCTGTCTTCTTCCTGTTTATTATGGCATCTCCGTCTTCGTTTGCACTTGCGCATGTGACATAGGCTCTGTATAAAAGATTTTGATACCTCTTTATTTGCACTTCTTCGTTGATTTCTTAGCTCTGGGTAAAGAGATGCATGGCCGAGTCATACTGGGGGAGGGATGCCGCACGAGGTACCTAGGTATTTCATCCCGGGCTTATGTACAGACCTGAAGTTCAATCACTACCCGGTAAACAAGATAACGTGGTCAAATACGTCGTCTAAAACTCATCCCTAGACCGACGTCCAGAACCCGGCATTTTGCCAATTCGAAGCCTGACGATCCAGGCCCCGATGCATGAATCTCAACAACCTTCACAAAACCGCCATATTCTGTAATGTAGATCGAATGGAAGACTCACCGCAAATTACAACTGGCTTCATTGCATCGATATTGATACCAAAGAGATTTTTTGTGATTTGATTATTTGCCCATGCTAATAAGAAATCGAAGAACTATATATCTATGACTCCACAGCCTCTTCAACCAGGATAAAACTTACTTCCAGCAACTAGCCTTGATATTGCCATCTGACAAAGCTATCCATGGCTAATTTTTCCAGAAAGTAATCAAATTTTCATGCAGCCTCTCGACGCCCATTTCCTGGGGCAGTCGACAAGATCTGATACATCAGCTGCAGCCGCGACATAACAGACTAGTGACGCCCGCACACGGCAATTGCACTCAAGGGACAATAAAATTCAATGCAGGACTATCGATAGTTGGATTCTCTGGCATATGATCCAAGCGTATGCTGCTGCAGGCCAAGCCGGTCTGCCCAAGGGGTCATTTATCCATCTATCTCGGTCCTGCGAGATACTCAAAGCCTCAATTCACTCTCTTCAATACCCCAGTACTCGGCAGGACTTGCGCTCTGATCAGATAATATAGAGCGCTCAATTCTCTGTTGTCTAGCATTAGATAGCCATTCTTGCTACACAGCAACTATCTTGTACGAAGTATGCAACACCTGGTGTCCCCAACTATACTTTCTGGGGTTCAACATTTGCTAACCTCCACCAGAAAAGAAAAGCAACAGCTAGAACGACTACTAAAAATGGAAAAAAGTTCGCTCGAAACACACAATCCGCTCCGGCAAAATGCCCCGAGCCCACCATACCCCGATACATACAAAGAAGTCGCAGCGTCATACCCACTACGTCAAACAATCGAACACAGCGTGGATGGAGACAGCACCCTGCAAGTTAGTGACCGGGACTGCACACTAGAGTTCAGCGACCGGGACTGCAACCTGGAACTGAATCAATATGCCGACGACAAACACACAGACAAGCAGGCTGAGGCCGGAGCCAGAGCTGCAGATGGACACCAGGCAGATGCGAGTGTTCGACAGTCTGCAGCAGCTGCAGATGGGAAACAGGATCTGGAGTCGCAGTCTGTGACAGGGACGGTCATGCGTCATAGGTCTCGTCGGCGGGAGTGGGTTATCTTTGGTTCGGCTATGGTGGCTGTTGTTCTTCTGGTCGTTATAATTGTTCCTTCTGCAATCTTTGGGACTCGTCAGTCTAGGCCGCAGTATAAGCCGCCTCCGAATCCGTATACTTCATGAGTTGGGGGTTAATATCTGAGGGCCTGGATGTATAGACCGAGGGCCGCAGAACTGGATGTGAAATATGGAGGGTCTAAGTGCTGTTCCTTCATCTGATAGCTTATAGTCTGATCGGGGATATATGCAAATTGAGAAGTCAACTTTTTCAAGCTATCGGTGATCAGCTTTCCGCGTGGGTAGAAGTGACTGATGCTGCCGACGCAATTCTCGAATTGCCTTCCAACTTGGATGACCCAAGCTTGTGGCAGGCTCGGGCTTGACACCTTGGATGATGCAACACTTCGGTTCAGTATGAGCATTATCCGGCATGCTGTTCCCCGACGAGCTTTCGACTCAGTTCTCGTATCATTCGCCGCGGTACTCTTCTGGAGTCCACAGCCCCGGCGATGGCTGACCTTGGCTCAATGCACGACATACCTCTCGCAATTGATTTACGATTGTCAGATGATGGTTCTCGCCCATTCTCTGGCGCAGGCTGCCGAGGACGATCTTGGGATGACCCTGGTCAAGATCCGAGATCAGTGGCTGCTGAATGACACCGCTGGGCCTGTGGCGGAGCTACTGGAAAATCGGCTCCTTGGTTTTCACATCGGCCGTACCGAAGTGCCTCCGGCTCAGGTAAGATGGTATCAGGATGGCCAGACCGTCATCTACCAGGATGTGATCCTTCATCTCACCGAGCTCCATACTATAATCTTGCGGGGCTTTCAAGAAGCTCAGACGATCTTCACGAGTGACCTTTGCCTTAGTGGACGCTCAGCCTCAGCGATGGAAGTCCCTATCCCACGGGGGGTGGTGGAGTCTGGCAGACTACAGGTTAGGGTTTTCCCTTCACTAAGGGAAAGTGGGTCGCACGCCAAACTCTAGGTTCTTTTCGTCGCCAGACTCCTGAGGCCTAACGAAGTTCGATCGATCTCAAACTTTGGCAAGTTATATATATCTGAAATATCCCCCATTTCCTTCGGAGTATGCACCACCCACTAGTTGTCGAGAAATTTGCAATTGAACATCGGAGATGTTTCGATGGGGTGCGGGCAACTGGGCCAGTTAATGCGTATTAGGTAAAGTAGGCTCACCCTCCTCTTCATGCTCTCCTTCTTCTGGCTCCGATAAAGCACTGTCGCCGGTTCGATCCGGCCTGTCAGCTAGGGGCTTGATAGCATTATGAACCACTGAAACATTATCCTCATTGACCTCATTATCACCCTCGTCATCATCACTAATAGGTCCAAGGAGATAAGTATCCGTATTCTTCTCCTGGTTTGCCTGTGTCTCTTCATGTGAGAGATATCCATTGATTAGCGCTCGTCGACTCTCTTCAATCTCAAACTTGATGTACACATAAACATCATTAGATCTTGAATTGTTGATGGGTTTAGAGAACCTCGCCGGTAGTGACAGACATCGCGGGCGGAGTTAAAGAGGCGCTCTACACCTGCTCCTATAGCAGGTATCGAAAGCACATCGCGTGCAAGGGTTGCAAGAGCGGGGAATTGATGCTGATAATCCTTCCAGAAAACACAGGCACGAGTTCGTACAATGCCTAGAATTGAAGTTAGTATAAGCTAGACAATAGAGAGATTCTACCCACTCGCCGCTATCGAGCTATTGTTTTAGCTCATCATATTCACTAGATACCAGGGGCTGGTGCTCCTCTGCCACGCATTCCATCTCAAGCTCTGAAATAGCCACTGCGGATGATTGGGCTCTTGGTGTTGATTTTGCATCCGAATGGCGTCGCTTATAAGATTGAAAGTAATCTTCAAGACTTGCTCGATAGATTGCACGCCAGTCATTATCTAGATCGTCCTAGTCCTTTCCTTTAAAGAACTGAAGCTTTTGTTGCGGCGAGAGGATATACCAATTGCGTAGAGATCGTTATCAATTGTGTTAGACATACTATAATAGTACGAAAGCTTCTTCTCTCCTACTTTAAGAGAGGTAAGTATAAGCTACTTCTAAGCAACCTTCTTCCGTCTTAACGCACTTTTCGACTTTTTAAGGTAGGTAAAGAGTTTATTATAGATAATAAAGATTAGATAAATACTAATATCCTTTATCTTTAAAAGAAGAGTTATAAATTTAAAGAAAGGCTAGGTAATCTAAAGAAGATATTCGATCTATCACTATTTTCCTTAACTTAACGCGAAGTAGTCTTAATTATACTAGAATAAGACCTATCGAAGGTTGATTAGAGCTATTTAGCACGTTAGAGTATTAAAAAGGTAGAATTCTAGCGAGTTCGGATATCCTAGATTAGAATAAGCCTTAACTCTTTAGTCTAAAGGTTATAGAATGACTCCCGCTATTATAGGCTTATATTGATATAGACAGCTAGGTTTCGGACCTAGATAAGAAGAGTTAGTATACTAGGCAAAGTATAATAGGGGCATACCTTATTAAGTGTATCAATAATTTCTCTTTTTGTTGCCTAGCACGAAGAGATCGGATAAGATCACCAGACCAATTCATCTCCATACTCTCGTTCTTTAGAATTGCCTTCATCTTGCCAAGAAGGCCATTCAGACTAAGCTGGATAACATGGCAATACAAGGAACCCGAACAATTGTAGAACCATTATTGAGTTCAAGGAGCTGCAATGACTCTTAGATGCTCGACATCATAGTGTTGTTATTTGATGCACTATCAGTAGTGACTGCAAGCACTCGATCTGTAATCTTATGCTGCTGAAGGAGCTTCAAAACCACATCACTTAGATTCACACCTGAGTGAGATCCAGATAAAGGTTCAAATCCAAGAAGGATCTCTCGATATTCCCAATCCTGGTCAATAAAATAGCCGGTGACGGCCATAAAGGCCTGTCGAAATGGAGATGTCCAGCAATATAATGCAAGTGAAACCTTTACATTAGGAGGAAGCTTCTGTAGGATAGACTGCTGCTATTCTTGAACATCTCCCCGTAGCCGAGACCGAATTGTTATCGCAGAAGGAATCTCCAGCTGTGTAGGGGCGGGAAAAGGCAAATAAGCTCCCGAAACTCTGCATGTTCGATAAACAGGAAGGGGAGACGTGATAGGGCAAGTAGTTGTAAAAGCTTCTGTTCCTATGCTTCTTGTGTAAAGACTGTTGATTTTTTTGTGCGTTCTGCGCCTATTTATTAGGTAATTTTTATTAGTGAATAGTATAAATGTAGGATGGTTAGTACATACAGCATTCGCAAGTAGCCCTTTTATATTAGCCTTCTGACTAGTGGATTTGCGACAAGTTGGACCAGCGACATGCCGATGAAGGGCGCCGTACGGGGGACCGGGTGATTGGTGCTGGTTAAATGCGCGATAATATTATCTCTTCGTGCGGTATGCGCACACTTGCAGCAAATGACTGTGTTAAACTCGGAACTGGTGCAAAGAAACTCATTGGCGTTGGGACTGCTGGGGGTGGCATGGGATATGCTGAAAATGGAAATATATATCGTTGTACGACTCTAACTTCGAGATGACTTGAAAAACTGGTAATTGAAACGTGGTAGGTTGGCCTCGAAAATGAAATAAAAAGCTGAATATGCTGACATGAATCGACCCTTGAATTTTCGGTTGGAAATATATATGTGTTAACCTATACCCTATTGGGTGTTTGGTGGTGGTGTTTGTATGGTGATGTATCACGGTCGCCTGGGGTCGGCACCCCATCACAAAAATCCCTGATTTTGGACCCCTGTAACCACCTTTCTGAATACTCGGAACGGTTTAAAACTCATCTTGACCATAAAATGGAGGGTGTAAAAAAAAACATATGGAAATCCGAGCTCCGTACGAGTCCAGAAACCGGATCCCACCCTAAATCCATCGGTGTCCGATCACGTGGTCAGACCAGCCTCCCCTTTTTCCATTCTCTCTGGCCATTTCTTCTCCACCTTCTCCATCCAACATCATCATCCTGTAAAGGAAGTATTGCTCTTTGCCGTTCTCGCCGCCAGTCCTGCCATTCCTGTGTTTTCATAGGACTCTCCGATTTCACTTGTTGACTTCGGATTGGGCACGTACTCGTGACCAGGCCGCAAGAGCTTTTACCACTTTACTCTCATCTTATTATCATTATTCATCCGACATTTTACGCGAGTCAGGGCTGCTCAAAGCTGTTCCAAAGCCCGGGTGGGAGGGCTACTCGATTCATCGAGGGTTCTCCTTTTTAATCCAGCGAATATTGCAACAACACAATGACCACCACATCGCCAAACCCGCCCTGGGTCTTGAAGAAGGCAGTTCTTGTTTATACACCCGATTTCGATGTTTCTTGTTTTGCTCGCCTTCGTATTGCCCATGATAAAACTGCCAACCAAGGATCCATCTCCCTTTGGATTACGGCAGATCTCGCTAACCTGAGCGGCAGATCACAGGTGCTGACGTTGAATGTCCCCCCAGAAATAGTCGAAAAATGTGCATTAGCCCCGATAAGCAACGACGGCCTCTGTTCATCTCGTTTGGTTTCCATGCTCCGGGCCTCCGTCACCAATGTTTCGGCCGTCTCAACACTGAGTCTGAGACTCGGCACGACCGGTATTGTTCTTTGTCCATCTGAGATGGAGCCTCTAAGCCCAGCCAATCAAGGGGACTTGAATTTTCACGCATTTGCAAAGATCTGTCAATCCAAATTTCTACGTCTACACTTTTCCAGACGACAATTTGTGAACAAAGAACTTGATCAGCTGGAAACTTTCTCGGGTGCCCTGCGAAAAGGAAGTCTTCAGGCAGAGTCTTTTGACCACGCTCGCCATGGTGTGGTCCAGAAAGATTGGCGTGCCTTTAGTCTGTCGCTCGATCCACCCCCATATTGTGAGGAGCCCGTGTCCGAGCAGGTGAAGCAGGTGGATCCACCCCTATATTGTGAGGAGTCCGTGTCCGAGCAGGTGGTTGGAAAACGGCGCAGAGGTATCTTCTCATCTTCTTATCGTCTTATGTATTTTGTCATTCAATATCTCATTAATAGTATCTAGACGCATGGTCAATGTCACCTGACAATGAAAGACGAAAAAGACTGCTCCTTCCATCCCCTCAACCGCTAGGCTCTCCCACCGAAGTTAATACGCCGAGTACTCTCTCCACGTCACCGTCCTCAATCCGCCCAACTTACTTTACGCATGCTTCCTCTCCTGGCCGCACAGAGCGTACTAGACTTACGCGTCTTGAACATGAGCTCCGTGGTGTTTCCGATGACCTGATCTGCGAACTATTAATTCGATCAGGACGCCAACATCTGCTGGCCATACCAGAAGATGTACACAGTGATTTGCCATCCGAGTCTGAGGAAGTCAGCTTTGCCAAGGTCGAGATGATTGAGCGCCGCCTCAAACGATATGTCGATGAGATGATTGAGCGCCGCCTCAAATCACATGTTGTCGACGAGATTGTCGATAGTGCCGTGAGCGAGTGTCGTGATCAGATCTTCGACGAATGCAAAACGAACGAAGCCGAATTTCGTGAACAGGTCGACGATGGTAACTCCGAGGTACGCAATACGGCCAATGAATGTATGAAGGAAATGAAAGAACAAGGGCAAAAGTACATGCGTGAAATAGAAGAACAAGCGCAACAGTACATGAATGATATCGAGGATCAGGGACTCGAGGTTGAGATGTCTGCGAAGGAAAAAGTCGCAAAGCTCAAGCGCTGGTTCAATGCTTCTGCCCAGTCCTTACTTGATAACAAGTCAAGCCCTAGCCATGAGCTGGGCACTAATGCCAGACGCAGTTCCATTTAGATTTGGTACTAGGCTTGTATCTCTTGGGATTGTCGTCGTGCACTAAGATTCTTTATTAGTCCGCTAGAAAGGTAGGTGACTTAACGTGTTCCTAAGCGAGCAGGCCGCCCCAAAACCTGACATCTATCCCATGGGGGTATGCCCATCCTACCACGATGGGCACATTAGGTTTCCTATGTCGGAGCGTCCAGACTATCAAGAACTATTAGCGCCAGGAACATCAGTAGGCGGCCACCGTCTGGGCCGCTAGGATGCCATTTAGGGTTCAATGCAGTCCGTCGTATGCCAGCGTCTATTTCATCGTGGTACCAACTCATATTATATCCACATTCGACGGCCCGGCCCGTCGTACGAGCCAATGGTCCCCCCGCCCCACCCTACCGTGGTCTAAGGGTTAGTGAGCCAGCTCGAGCGATATTTCACCGAATCCTAGGCCAGCGACGATACCGTCGTCTAGGCCGGCGAGCTTGATGAGGCAACCTATCCCATGGGGTAATTGCAGTCAATTTGAATGCAATTCAGTCAGCATCCGTTAGTATAGGCTTAGGGTTTCTAATAGAACGAAGTCATTACGAAGGCACTAGGACGGCCAGAAATGCTAAAGGGCTGGTATAAGGGCTGGCAAGCAGCCACAGATACGCTAGATAATTGTAGACTTAGTGAGCTTTTACTATTACTATTATTATTATTATTATTATTATTATTATTATTATACCATTCTTCTAGATCTCTTGCTGATTGATACTTTTCTATCTAGGTATCTCACACCCGAGACAAAACTGCTTCCTTGGAGCAATAAAATTCTTCGAGTCATTACGATTCTCCGCCTTCCCTTTCAAATCATTAAGCACCCGGAGCTATAGAAGCTTCTTCGTCTCGCCTAGTTAGCACTAGGATTACTCGACTTCCCATGTGCCAACACTATGAAGAAGAGGATTTATGATACTATTAAAGCATCGTATGAAACCCTTCTACAAAAGCTTCCTCTAGGTGCAAAGTTTCTAATCGCGTAGATTGCTGGACATTGCCATTTCAATAAGCATTTATGGCTATCACTGGCTACTTTATTGATGGGGACTGGCACTACTGTGAGATCTTACTTGGTTTCGAACTAATATATGGAACTCACTCAGGGGCTAATCTTTATACTACTCTACTTGGGACTTTTTAACGCTTTGAAATCACAGATCGAGTACTCTATGTTACAACTGATAATGCATCAAATAATGAGACATTGATGATGAGTGTTAATGATGCGGTCCAGAACCTTGAGCTAAATGGTCAATTCACGATCATCCGTGTTCCTTGCATCGCACATGTGATTCAGCTAAGTCTGAACAAATTGCTCGGCCAGATCGAACACCGTGTTAGGTATGCTTATCCCTAAATTGGTAGCTCCTCCTAATGCCCTTCTACCCAATCGAAAAAGTATGAACATAATCACGTGAGGGTACTCTGTCTGGACCAATTAAAATGCTACATGGTTTAAAATCACATGATGCTAGTAAACCCTACTACTACATAGTGTGTAGTACATATAGTACTCGTAGTGAATCTAGTCCTGTAAAAATCCCTTTTCGTCATCTAGGATATAGGATGTCCCTTCGACTGGATCGCTGAGAAAAGAGTTGAGCAGTCCACCTTCCTTTTCCCTTCATTGTAGCTGAGAAAATGGAAACGGTCGGTCACTGTAGTTTTCCATGTAATTCTTAACTTCGCCGACATGCAAGTCGCCTTGTATGGGGGATCTGGCTAGCTCAAGAGGCTCTTTGTGACTAGTGAAAGGCGATGATGAGACACCCCCGGTCTCTTAGCGTGTACTATGCAAAAAGGCGCCTAGCAGTGTGACCGTAAAAATGAGATCTACAAGGTGCATGCGAACGATTCCGGACGCCGACTGGAATGCGCTCGGCAATGGGGACCATCACGCTCGAATGTTGCCACTTAACTATGGTACGGTACTTTGTACGTTGTGGTAAAATTCAGATTCAGTTTATAGATTATCAGATGGCCTCAGACATATCCACATGTGACAGGGCCCGTCTGCATAAATGCTTGCTCTAGAGTTTTCATTCTCTGTCCTCTCCTTTCTCACCTTCCAAGGTTTCCTCCATTAGTGGACTCCATCTTTCTTTGAGCTGTACGTCGCAAACGATTGTTCACCATTTGACTACACACGCATTACATACCTACCCAGAATGGAAACCTTCAAACACATAGACCTTCGCATCAGGAAGGTGAAGGATGCTGACCTTGCACAAGCCTTGCGAGGTCAGAAGATCCCACGAGCCCTTGCCGAGGAGAGAGCAAGAAGATGCGTAATTCGTGGTATCCGATATCACCATGGCTTTGGGACCGAACTCCGTGGGCTCCTTCCCGAATTCAACCGCGCCCTCAACGCACGCAGTTTGGGCAATGAAATACCGGATATGAACCCAGAATGGCCCGAAGAATTCCCCTACTGTATTTGGCATCCCGAGACAGCGTCAGAGGCAGCCTATCGCAAGCTAGCCAAGTGCTATCCTCACATGAAGTACCTGGTTGGGCGTGCATGTGCCGTTGCGGGTTATACAGACCTTTTTCACGAGTTGGATCTGCTACCCGAGTGTCACATTGCGGAAGAAGCACGCGAGAGCGGTCACATGGCGATCTATGATGCTATCATGAAAGCTACTGTCAAGTACAATGCCATGAACCATCATACCAGAGAGATATTCACTCCCGTTCCTGGAAATTTGAACGGTGACATGGCCATCCGGTCATATTTCGATATTCGATTCTCGTTCAACAGGGGTTGGTCCTCGTACTCGCACTACTATGGCCTCCACTGGGCGATTGACGATGGGAATTGTGACATCAATGAAGACCGGCGTGTGGATGAGTACGACACAGACCCTCAGACAACGCCTTTTGCCATTAAAGACGAGATTTTGCCGATGCTCTACAGTCCACTCCCACCCGACCTCCCAACTCTCAATAAAGACCTGCTGATTATGGTTGCGGCGTTCTGCGGTGATATCGATCGATACTCTCGGCTTCGACGACCCAAGACGGCCCACTCGGAATTCCGCAGCTTGGTGCGAGGCATCTATAACAACACCATGTTTGCCAAGTGGTGCTCACTCCAAACGTGCTCCGTATTTCAATCAGGCGACATCAAGGCTGCTATCAATGCCCGGTTTATCATGAACGGTGATCTGTCGCGCATCACCGCTGACACTCCCGACGAAGAACTGTCATGTCATCTGGTACCCATCCATCCCACGAAAGTCGGTACTCAAAGAACTGTTCCGGCGTCAACCAACGATGAAATCTGCCATTGCAAAAGCTCGCATTCTAGCCAACTACGAGGATGTATATGACCTCCTTGACGTGGATCCAGATACCACCATCTTGCAGGACGCTCGTGATAACCCGAATCCTCACTATCTCAAGGACATGGAAGCTAAAGTTCTTCAGCAGGGCTGCAGAGACTCCCGTTACGGCGCAAAACAGCAGACAACACGGAGAGTGGAAATGTTCGAATATACAGCATTCAACCTGGCGCGAACCGTTACAGATGAGACTCCACTCTCCAAGAGGACGGTCTATTGTACAATGGTTGGATTGCAAATTTCAGCCGGCTCCAATTAGGAGTATCTGTTCCAGAATGGCTCAGGGAACAGGTTTCAGACTCTCGTGGAGAGCTACGGGTCGATGATTATTACGACTCCTTGAAACATGAGGTACAGGCCCACGAACGTCTGGGCAGAAACGAAGGAGTCGTCCCACCAACCTGCCCTTTTGAATATAAGATTGGGGTGGCCTTCGCGAAGGAAACAACCTTGGGTGTTATCTCAGTGCCCACCCGGAGCCAGAACAGTCATTTAAGATAGATTGGATTCTCTCTCTTACCAAGACGTTATCGTATGTGCACCATCACGGAGTGTTCATATGCGATTCTCCGCAACATCTTGGTTATTAAAGATGAACTAAAGTTCGTGGACTTTAGTGAGTCTATCTTATTACCACAAACGACTCAAATAGATACGGTATGCGAGAGCGACGTGACTGCTAGGGTCGAGATCCTTCATCTTGGTTGGATCATCTACTGGATAGCTACCTGGTGTGTTCATAATTATCTTTCTACATTCACAACAATTCACCTTGGCCGACTCCTGAGTCGTTTCCTTCTACAGAAGAGTACATAGCGTTGACTTCCTTGACTCCTTAAGATGGGAACTCATACCAAAGTACTTCCAACTAATCTCCAAAACCCTCAAATGTTCAGTATAAAATATCAACCCACCATTCACCTGGCAAACCTGACCATTTGACTAGCAAATCGAAGATAGCACGAGCCCAGCCCAACCAAAAGCGACGCAGCCCCTGAAATCAGGTTCCCACCAATATGACCACTCCAGAAAATACAAACCGAATGCCACCACCTACAACCGACACATACAAACAAGTCATAGCCGCGCAACCAAACACAGTCGAGCGCGACAGCGGCGACTGCACATTGCAGGTCGATGACCGTGATTGCACACTCGAAGTGGACAGACGGGCTGAGAATACCAATAAGCAAGCTGTCAATCACAACCAAGCACAAGCAGATGAGAGTGCGGTTCCTGAGCTTAGTACTCACGTGCAGCACAAGCGGAAATCTAATCGGAAATGGTATATTTGTGGCGGTGTTAGCATTGTGATTGTGGTCCTTTTGGTTGTTATTATTGTGCCCGCGGTGGTTAGTACTGCCTAGCACTGAGTTGATGCGTACGAGGGTGGGCTGTCTGAAATAGATATTGCAGACTTAATGTTTTGATTACAGGACCTGGGGTGATCGAGGGGAAGGATCATCTCTTCTCTAAGAGCCACCAGCATGGGTAACAAGTAGTGAAAAGACTTAAGATACTTCTAGGGTGACAGAAGTCTCTCATCGAAGAAGCAAATTCAAATCGAGGACTCAAAGAGTGAAGGAGTTGAGACAGTATGGTTTCAAAAATTCCTAAGCATGCGATTAGGCTTGCTTGAAGTGGTCAGGGTAGTTTTCAACCAGCAAAAACACGATCTCGGATTTCTCCTCACTGATACGTGTAAAGCCCATGCACTAGGATGGAGAGAAGAAAGAAGAGAAGGAAGTTGGGGGGTGGGCCAGGTTTTTATATTTGCCCACCGGCTGAAGGCAACGGCAAACAAAGGTCGTGGACGAACGCGCGGGCCATCATGCTGGGACGTTCCGTTTGTTTCGTAAGGGTCCGCTTATATTATTCATTACGGAGTCTACATATGTAAGACATACCCGTGTACGGATAGGCAAGAAAAAAGCATAAGTTGGACAGGTTCATGACTAGCTAAGAGCGACGAGGTACATGTACATGAACCCATATCGCCATGTATTGTACTGCTGTAGATTGCAAACCTTAGGACACAGCTGCCGCATGTGAACAGATGAATTTTATCCCATATGCTACGGGACAACGGTTCTATCTCCACAACTTCCAAAGGTCCAAGGATCACATCACAAACAGATACAACACAAATAGTAGTAGAAATGCGACCAAAACCATAAAGCTTTAGTTCGGTTTGGAGACAGTTGTGCCTCCCGAGACCACAAGTGGTCCATTGCTAACGGCGGGAATTCCATTGCTGCTGTAAGTTGGTGCTGGGACCGAGGCTGGAACGGGTCGACTTTTCAGGTCAAAATCGGAGGGGACTTCGGATGGCGGGGGCTTAGGGGGAAGATGAGCTGGTGTGCCCCATTTCGCAATCGAGTCTCGAGGACCGGTGGGCACTCGGTTCGAATTCATAGCCGGGTTGGAGTCCATGGTCCGGTTAGGGACAGGTTCCGGGTACCCGTTCCATTGTGGTTGGGCAGATTGCATGTTACCATACGGCTGCATTGTGTGTTGGCCCTTATTCGGGTGACGCCCCAGAGGAGCACCGCCGGGGATGAATGAGCGTGTCTGAGGGTTGAAGTGTGACCTGGCATATCCTGCTTGCATTGCCGCGTGGGATCCAGGAGAATTTTGGAGAGCAGGATTCATATGTTGCCCGGGGTATTGAGCATAAGGATATGCGCCCATATTGGACGGCATATTGGGGCTCATGTTAGGCGGCATGTTTGAACCCATGTTGGGCATGTTGGAAGCCATTGGCTGCTGAGGATAGTTGGGCCAGTGGACAGGCGGTCCATTTCGCTGGTGCGGGGACTGCTGGAAATTTGTGGGGAAAGGAGGTGAGTTCCAATTGGGGGTTTGTTGATACGGCGTCACATTGGGCACGGCATAGTTGTTCATTGCCGGCGAGGACGCGTTAGAGGACGGCTGGTTCATCATCCCCTGCTGGTTCATCGAAGCATACCCGGAATATGGGGATTGCTGGGGCATATTTCCTCCTTGCCATGAGCTGTTGGAGGCCACCTGGGACGACATTGCCGGGTACTGGGAGACACCATTTATGTTCATGGTCAGTTGCCCAGGGTAAATGGCACCGTTCTGACCAGATGGCATGTATCCGCCAGAGGGTGGCGGCACGCCAGGTCCGACCAAGTAAGGAACTTGGTTTGAGTATGAGCCGTCATTTACAGGAGCATTGTACTGGGAAGCACCATTCCCATATTGCATCCCTGGGTAGTAGGCATTGAACTGCGAGCGAACCTCAAAGCTGTCATCATGAGGAGTTCGCTGCCTCTGGTTCTTCTTGCGGCCGTTCGCCGAGCTGGAGCGCGACATGTTGGGATTCGAGTCACCGCTGGCCGGATCCGATTTGGCACCGTCGGGGAAATCACGGAAGATTCGTTCACGCACTTCATGGTATTTGGCCTCCCGTTCCTCCCTCGTTAACGCCATTCGATCTTTAGCCGGCGTAGCGCCGGACGAAGATCCGTGGCGTTCTCCATCTAGTCCACTATCGCCATCTTCAGAATTGGCCTTTGAAGGGTTTGATGAACCTCCAATACTTCCTTCGAATTGGCCTCCATCGTTTCGGCGCATGATTTTCATCGCCGGAACAGCTGGAGGCGGAGTGCTGTTGCAGGCAGCATGCAGAGCAGATAAAGGAGTGGGTAGCCGGCAGAATGGTGTGCGATGAAGCCTGACCGATGTCACATTATTGTCGACGAAATGTGTTAAGTGATAGTAATCCCCCAGCTTGTGTGCAAGAAGTCGACCAAACGCGTTCGAAGGGGGCAACTCCAGAGATTGTTCATTACAGTCCTTGATGAAGTGCCGAATCTTTTCTTCCAGCTGCAGGATCAGAAGACGGTCTTTCGGTGATTTCATTGCCTCTAGGAGTTTTTCATCCGGCTCCAAGGGGAACCCGTGTAAGATCTGGCCATCTTCAATGCCATTAGAGTTGGCTGGAATCACAAAGTTATTCGCGACCGAATCTGGAGGAATTGTGCCATTTACCGGCTGGGTGCCATCAAATAGAGGAGGCACGGGCAGAATCCCGCGAGGGCGTGTAGGAATACCATCTCGATAATGATCCCGGAACGCGCGACTGCCAGCTTCGGAGCCTGCCACTGAGTTTGGAGCCCCAGAAGCAAGTCCAGAAAGCGACTCCTCTTCATCAATGGCTTGGACACTAGCACTGTCATCGGGACGTACAGAGTCCTTTTCATCCATTGCAAAGGTCGTCACCGAGGCAAGACTCTTGGAATCGAAGTTGGTCATTTTTGTGGATGAGGTAGAAAGGTGAGTGCGATCATCTTCAAAGGAGTTCTCCCGTTTGAGCAAGCCATCGTCTTGGGCACCAACGAAAGAGCTTTGGTCATCACTGTGCTTCTTCGAGGTGAGGCCAATATCTTGCACACCTCTCCCTAGATCATCAACAGCTAGATCAATGGAACTAGCCTCTGGCGTTTTCTCGAGATTATGCTGGCTGGGCAGAGCCGCATTGGAGCCATTTGCTTCTGAGCAGTGTGATTGTTCTGCTGGCTGGCATATTTCGTTTTCATCAGATACAGAGGAATGGGGTTTGAGGGGCGCGGGCATAGCGGCAATCTTGTTACGAAATTAGCGATGAGCCGCGAGGCAGCGGAGCATACTCTTGGCTTACCTTTGCAAAGGAGAGAGGGCCGTCTCCACCTGGGGGACTTTTTGATGCCATGACAATACTCCGCAGGATGGTCGCTGAGATTGGTTGAGTTCCACAAAGAAAAAAGAAAATCCGAGATCAGGTAAAGCAGCAGCTGGACTCAGCACGCTTCGGATTTGCAAATGTGAAGAAGGTCGAAGCTTGTTTGGTTGGAAGTAATGTCGCTGCGTAATTTCGTTTCACACAAGCCCAAAACGAAAGACATATCTCTGGGGTAGGGCAATCGCCATGGAGAAAGCTGTGGAGAGCGGACATTAGCAACATGCATGGTAGAACGCGAAGAGATCCATAGGTTCAATGAGAAGAAATATCCACTTCAATGAAGCAATAAATCTAGGCGAATCAGGCAATGGGGCCTTACATGATATCAAAGCTGGCTCATAGTCAGGGAGATGAAGATCTCGTACTGAGTTTTGACGGGATCCTCCAGATCCGAGGGGTATTTCAAGAGCCGATCAACTCTAGATCATCCGTCAGAGATGGATGAGGTGAACGTTGACAATGAACTCCGGGATCGAGAAGGAGCGTTGGGATCCGAATTCTGATTTCTTGATTGCCTGAAGATTCGTGGATATTATGCCGCGCCCGACCGCCCTTGGCGCGCGCCTACAATTTCCCTTGGGCTTCAGAGGTTAACAGCCGCTAATTTGCGCCGATCAGCTTTACATCGGATTTTGCCTGTATTTCTTATCGTGGGCGTGTCAATACCCCTATTTCAGGCTTAGAGTATTCGCCAATCCAGGATTCTACACGAACCTACAACATCACGAGCTCCAATGAACCGATATCGAAATGCCCCGAAGCTCGGAGGCTCCAACTCAAACAGGGCCACCGCGACCACGCTGTGCCAAAAATGCCTCGGACGAGATATGTACCCTCTGACTTGATTTTCAGACGTTTGGCTAACTCCAATCCACGACACTATAGCTTTGATTGCAAGGCATCCGCGCAAGAGCGCCCATACGTCCCGCGACCTTCAAGAACTCAGCAGCTACTGAACCCAGAATTGATGCCCAAGCTCTCAAGCGAGAATCCAAATGAGCTGCTGCGGAAGTAAGTTCACATGGATATTTGTGATCTCCGCAAAAAGGGATACTCGCTAACTTGTATCAAGAGAGGGTGTAGCGGATGAACTACTTGCTACCCGGGAGGAAGAGCGTGGCCGGAAGAGAGACCTTGACGATATGACAGATCACGACGCTCAGTCTCCGGGGCGGGCTAGGTCCCTTTCAGTGGAAACGATATCCACGAATCGATCCTATTCCTCATCTCCCCGCCGTAGCAAGCACAGCGCAGCCGACAGAGGTTGCCGAGATGATTCATCAGCGCCGCCTACAAAGTCCCGAAAGAGGCGCTACAGTGATTCTACGGAGGGTTCTTCTGGGTCCGTCCACTCAGGACCAAAGAACCGCTTACCCTCCCGAGAGCGAACTGACGATCGAAACACGCGGCGACGGAGACGAGAATCTAGCCCCGAAGAACGAGGTCGTCACCGTGGAGCAGGAAGACATAGCGAGCGAAGAGACCGCCGAAGCAAGGGTGTGGATAAGGATCGAGTGGAAGAATCACGTGCTACAAATCAGGATGTCCGCAGGGACCGATCATACCGTGATCGAGCAAGCCCACCACGCCAGTCTCAACCAGAACGGTCTAGGCCTGATCCCATAATGCAGAAGGACCAGCCTCCTCGGGAACGAAGCTTGAGTCCTTTCAGTAAGCGCCTCGCTTTGACTCAAGCCATGAATAACGGACGGTAAAATTGAATTGAAAAATTGCTCTGCAACATTGGGGCTTACGGCGCAAAATCTTGATTGGGGACACGGCGCCAATTCGCGTTCCATCAGTATATGACCGAGTGTATCATTAGCATCTTCATTGCGGAGTTTGAAAATATCTGTCACTTGGCAGCGGAACCCAAAAAATCCAATAATGATTTCTGAACGACACTAAGATACATGCTCATTGAGAATCTTAAGTTGCAAACCTCCCAACGCCTCATTTTGTGCGCAATATGCCCATGGCATCAATTGGACGCCTCAACCAAGACAACAAAAAAGAATAAGTCAAATGGACAGAATATAGACAATTACAGGTGGAGACGGAAGACCTAGACAACGCTCGCATTCCTGCAACAAAGGGTATCACGTTCAGATCGTTTCTTCGTCGCTCTTCTCTTCTTCTCGTTCGCGCATACGGATGCTCTCAACAAGCGTCTCACCCTCCATGCCCACCTCCTCTCCCTCTTCATCTCCCTTGGGCCCCCGTGCCTTCGCAGCACGTTGCGCATCCTCTACCCGCTGGTGTACGAGCCGGGCAATTGCATTTTCCGTCCGCACATTGAGAGTCTTGAGCTTTTCGTCCAGGTCGCGCTTCAAGTCCGAGTTGGGTTTTTTAGGTCGTAGTTTGAAAATATCAATGGGTTCATCGGCACCCGCGTCTTCCTTGGCTTGTTCCGCTGTGGCCCTTGCAATTTCAGCCGCCTGTGCTTCCAGCGTCACGTGGCCCTCTTGCGGGCCTTGCTCGAAGCCCAGTTTAGGCCCGCGGGTCTCGGGGTCGTAGTTGCGACCGGACAGGTATTTTGTGGTCACATCTGGCGTGGCATCCGCATCGGGCAGCTCCTTGTCTTCCGCACCGGCCTCGTTTATGTCTTGTTCGGGTTGCTTGCGCTTCAGGGCTGCAAGCTTGGCGAGCCGGGCTTTGCGGTCGGTGGATGCCGCATCAAGATTGGCATGGCTTGACGACATGTTTTCGAGTGAGGATTGAACTGATGACGGAGAGTATATCTGGGCTTGAGGACTAGGAAGTAAAATGGCTGAAGTGACCGGAAGAAAATTCCAAGCTCCTCCGCTGCTTGAGTTGGAGGACGATGGAGCGATAAAAGTAGATGTGGTGCGCCACACACTAGCCACGGCAAAATCGGGCGGAATGGCGGAATTCAACTTTCTGTCTGGCAATGGACTTTGACTCCTCTCTTCACACGCCATACGTGACTCATTTTCTTCGTCTTGGTCTTCCCCCCAAATGTCTGCGGATACAAGCTCCTGAATGTCATCGTGTCCGCACCAACTCGTTCGGTCCCGTCTCAACGGGTTGCTCTCATCACAATGTCGGAGCGCAGGCCGATGGTATCGGGAGTCGGGGACGGCGAATGTCGGTCATAAAATGCGCCTCTCCACATACAATGCTCCAGCGATCTTGGAGCCGGGTGTAACACATGGTTCTCCTGACCCAATATCATATCAACGCAACCGTGATTCGACGGACAGTTCATATTCGCCGGCAAGTGAGCAATCAGATCAAGTCGCAACAAATCAGTATGGCATGGGCAAAGGACAATCAAAGCCTTCAGCCCGACCACGGAAGTCATCACAAACACCGATTATAACGAATGATAAATTGAAGAAAGTCGCCTATGTGCGCCAAGCTGATCCCAAGCTTGTGGCTATGGCGGCCGAGAGAGTCAACCGTGAAATCTTACACAAGGGTAGGCACTTGACCGATCGAGGGCTATACCTGGCGCTTGCAATGCGAATGAATTCGCTTTATACGCGTCAGCTAGGACTCCGCCAGTGGAAGGAGGCATATGGCGCAATTCACAAGGCCAGGACAGATGGCCGTGAGGTCTTGCACAAATCTGCATTACCAAAACTGAGACACGATGGCGAGCAACTGCTAGCATTGCTGCTTGACGACTGTCAAGGCAAGTTTCGAGAGGCATGGCTGGCAATGAGCCGTTCTACCAGAGCGTGGGCCTGGCAACGCCTGGCCATTTGGCTGCTGCAAAATAACCCAGCAATGGCCTTAGAGTTTTTACTCGTCACAACCGAGCCACGGGATAAACCGGATTTGACTATGGTTGTCGATTGTTTGGCCTACTTGGAGAAATTTCACTATGAAGAGCTCCGGGATTGGACGAAGGGTGACCACACATTCGAATCGGTTGTTGCAACTTCCCTGGATCCGAAGGACTGGCCAATTATCTCCCCGCCACAAAGGGGTATACGGTTCTATATTCGCCGAGCAGGCTTCTTAGGTGTCTACGAGAGTTTCCGTTTAATGAACGAGCGAGGCATCACGATGGAAGCACAAACAGCACTTTGCTACATGTACCGATTCACACAGCTCAATGACGTGGAATATGCCCTCAGAGCTCTCGAATTCATTCCCAAAATCAATGACCCTGAATTTTCCATGGACTCTGAAGGAGTCCTACGGCACTGTTGCAAGCTCCTGACCATGGACACTGTTGAGGATAAGGCCGGAGGACGCAATTTCCGGATCCTCCCACGTCTTCTCAAGATGGGTGTCCAGCCAGACCGAGACATGATGAATGTCGTGCTCGCCAACGCCTACAAAACCGGTGATCCTCAATTGGGGTCGGACATGCTTCAGTTCATGAAGAACCACCACCACGATTTCGATTCTTATACATACTTGACTCTCCTCACCGATGCGGTGTCTCGAGGCGACCGGGGTCGTGTGGACGAGTTGGTGCGGGAGGTCGAGATGCAAGAGGAAATACGAAGCAACCCATACATTTTCAGCAAAATCTTCCACGCCCATTTCACTTTTACCGCCAAGCATATTGACCCCGAGAGCGATCCCTCTGGAGTTTTCTACTCTATGCTCGACATGTACAACAAAATCCACGACATCACACCGCTCAAAGAACTCCTTCTACTCCCTCCCCACTATACAGCGCCGCCAACTCAAGGACTTGAAGTCAAAATCCCACCTTCTCCGGTATCCTTATTCCTCATGATAGCAACGTTCTTCCGTTGCAGGAATCGGATATCACAAGTGCATCATATGTATGACAGATTCCGCGAGCTCGTGCAGCAGGGCCACCCATCCATCGCTCCTCTGGTCGAAACTGACCACGTCTATAATGAATTCCTCATCGCCTTCCGCAAGAGCAGCCGTGGACTACGGTCAAGCATACGTCTCGTCGAAGACATGCTCGACGCATCTGCCATGCCCAAGGAGACTACTGCTGGCAAACCCCTCAAGCACGCCTCGCCCACGCCTCGCACTTGGACCATCCTCCTCAGTGCCTTCAATTACAGCCGCCAGCCCGATGCAGCTGAGAAGGTCAAGGAGATGATGGCCAAGCACGACGTGAAGTACAACCAGGTGACCTGGAACACCATCATCAACGGATACGCGAATGCGCAGGACATCCCCGAAACCGCTAATGCAATCAAGAAGATGGAAAAAGAAGGCTTCGTCATTGACCATTATACGATGAAAAGTTTGCGTTATCTCCGTGACCCCGAGCGCCTCTGGGTGGCGATCGAGGAGATGGATGAGGGCATTAATTCAGATGGAACCCATAAGCTTCTCACTCTCGAGCCTGCATCTGATGTGCACAATGACCGGAAGGAGCAGGACGAGCTCATTGACAATGGGTTACAGAAGTTGGAGTCAAAGTTGAAGCCTAAGATATGAAACTTACATAGGATACCCTTTTGTCTTTTATTGTTGGGCCAAGCAAACTGGAAGCATTTCGACGCATTGGTGTTGAAGAAGTGGCTTTGAACTTTTTGTAAATTTGAATATCGTGTACTATAAATTGTATCATCATGGACTTGTTCGTCTGAGTATGTCGTTGCATCTGGAGACCGTCACATGGAGTGGAAATAGTAATCTTATAATCCTCACACTAAGGTTATTTGAGGTTTGATTGTCGCGAAGTCGGGGACTACCACAACCCATTGATACCCCATGAAAACTCCCCCTTAAACACCCATTGAGACTTAAGAAAGGTTAACCACCGAAGAAGATCGAGACCTGCACGCAACATCAGTATCTCTCTTCATACATCTGGAGTAGTGGAAGACTCACTGCCATCACGACACAGCATATACTGACATACGGACTTAGTCGCTCCCCGACTCGAGCACACTTCCAGAAGATCCCAAATATTCTACACCAGACAACTGTCAGTCTCCTATCTTTCTGCATCGCCGGACCCATATCCTCAAGTGAGCACCTACCCATTCTGGTTCCGGTCCATGATCCCGGGCATTATCGAGTGCGCATAGCTGCTCGTGCAGATTATCAGGAGGATCACGAGAAGCAACGACTGAAAGTTGAAAAGAGCAGACTAGGTGAGTGTGAAAGTTAGCACATTGTGATCATATTGTCATTGTGGTTCCGACGCAAACGCCGAGTCACAGAGTCACATATGCTCCCCCACTATAGAGCAGTCCCATAAATCCTGACATGTGCATGAACTCACCATTAGATGTGAATATTCGCCCGTCACTTAGGCAAAGAGACAGAACTGCGACAGTAAGTTGCCAGGTAGCTTGCATGTGCCAAGGTTGCTAACCAACCCCATAGCATATTCTGCCTGCCATGTCCGCCAAGCGCACGGGCCAAACGCCCAAGCGGGTCTCGTTTTCCCTGCCGGGCCAGAGCCCACGGGCAGCTCCCCTACCTGCTACGCTTCCTTCCACGCCAACTCCGCAACGTGTCTTGTCAAACCCATACACTGGGCTGCATACTCCCAACACATCAACCCCATCCCCGAGCGCTCGTTTCCAGACTCCAAACACCGTCTCACCAACTCCAAACCGTCACCTGCAAACTCCGAACACATCAACTCCAACTCCAAACGCTCGCATCCAACCTCCAAACACCGGCTCTCCCACTCCAACCCCAGAGGCCTTCTCCCCTTCAAATCGTTACTTGCAAATCCCAAACAGCTCCTCGTCAGCTACAAAGACTGGCTTGCCCAATCCGACTCGCAATCCGTCGCGCCAGCCCAGCTCCAAAAATCTTGTCTCCAGGCTCTCGCCAAATTGGTATTTCAACGAGCAAGACACAGCGCTAATTTGCGCTGAATACGAACCTCAGTGGTCTCCCAGGCCACCTGACACAACATTTACCTCCACTGAAAAGGGCAAGAAAGCGCCCGCAACCGAGTCCGGCATGGCCGAACCACGTGCACGTATGGCCCGACACAAGGGCCAAATGAACTTCCAGAATGAGCGTAAGTTCCCGCGGCTCACGCACATCTATGAATAGAGCTATCGAGCCAAGCTCAACACTAACCTCTGCATAGTTCGCCTGCTGCTTCTTGCCTACGGCGACCCCAGCCCACACCCCAGCTTCCCAAATGAACCACTTCCCGAGACAGTCCGCGTGCTGGACGAAATCGTCACCGACTTCGTGCTGGAGGTTAGCCACGGCGCCGCGCAAGTCGCGCACCACGCCCGCCGTCAGAAGATCAAGGTCGAGGACTTCCGCTTCGCACTGCGTCGCGACCCGAACAAGCTCGGCCGTGTCCAGGAGCTGCTGCGCATGGAACGTGAATTGAAGGAAGCCCGCAAGGCGTTTGACCAGAATGATGACCAGGTTGCTAAGGAAGCTGGAAAGAAGGGTGCTGCCGCTGCGGCGGCGGCTGCTGCTGCTGGTGAGGATCCTGTGGCTGCTGAAGCTGCTGCTACTGCCACGGTTACCAAGAAGAGCAAGGGCAAGGGGAAGAGAGCTGCTGCAACCCGCCGTGGATCTGATGCTACTGAGGAGTCAGTTTCGAAGAAGCGCAAGACGATTGGTTGAATATGTACCCTTAATAACCCCACCTACTCCTGCCCAGGTGTTGTTGTGGGTGGCTCACGACGAACATGACTGAATGCCCAACGTTTTTTTTCCCTTTCTACCAATCAATGTACAATTATTTTGACCACCATGACCAGGAAATGCAATGAGAATGGATACCTGAATTGCAACGCTCGGTTTACTTACTATAAGGAAAGTAATAGCAACATCACCAGTCCCACTCGTTCGATTTTAGACCGCCAATTTTCTAGTATCAGAGGCTATACTTAGAAAAGTCTTAAAAAAAGACATAAAAAGACTATCGGAGACTACCTGAGAAGACCAAGAAGATTACGGCCGGCTATTTTTGTATCGTTTCGTCCCGGGTTTCCACGAATATGGCGTCGCGATCAACCACTAGTATGTAGTTTATCGCAGGATGTTCTAGAGTTCACGTTGTTTCTATAGTCAAGTTAAAGTAATTAAGGTTCGGATCCACCAGCCTTCCCACTTGGCACTTCCTTTTTCCTCCACTTCTTTCCTCGTTAGGATCCTCATTCACTACTTAAACTACCCAAGTAGCCCGCATACCGGAGGTACAGTTCCCGAGAGAGCATGCGTCGCACGCAGGAGCCAAAGCCGTGGCATGGTGCGCCAACTAGCACTCTCCGCTGTGACTTCCGCACTCTCGGAGACATTCGATGCGGATCCCTCGTTAAGCAGACCCTCAGCCAACTAACATGGCTTCGGGATCTTTACTTTTATCCCAGACGATGATGATAATTGCCCGCTCGAGGCCATCTTGTCAGCACCCACGCCATTCCGCCATCTGAGCTTTCGGGGAGAGTAAAAGAGAGATTCCTCAGTGGACGAGTTAGGGAACAAAAACATGAAGGCTAAGGATATCAGTAATGAAGCCCAAGCGTCTATTGGCGATAAAGGTGTTAGCCACTAAAGTACAGGCACCCAATCCAGTGTGGGGTTAGGCCCGAGCCAGATCCTTGAGGTATTTTCTTTCTTCCCTTTCTCTCTTTCTCTCTCCCTATCTCTCCGTCCACTTCGTGTCATAGGAATATGACATCTTTCTCCGAGATCTCCTTTGGCAGTGATTCGTAAAGGTTTCCCTCCTTCCCGTGCTGAGGAGGACTCCTCCTTGCCTGAATACTGTATAAAAAGCCTTTGATGCTCCTGGCTCTGCCAAAATCTGGCATTCAGACATCCCTTGCTTCAGTAAATGGCCACCGAAAATATCTGTTCAGCGTGCGGCTGGTCACCAACACGTCAAGATGCATGTCGTTACCAGGGTCATATGAACCTTTTCTATGGTGTCAGCGAACGGGTTGTGTGGTCTTTAGGCTCAAATCTGAATCCTGAAAGAACGGCCTACCGAGTCGCCCAACTTTGAAGTCCCCAATATCAGGTTTTTAGCTTCAAGAAGCTCAATTCCTATACCCCGAATCGTTGAAGAATGGCAGGAAGACGACGGCGCATGTTTTCTCCTTACCAAGCGGATTCGAGGGCAACCATTGAGTGAAATGTGGCCAAAGATGATATCGGCCGACAAAGAACGCGTGGCAAGACAGACCGCTGAATATTTAATGCAACTTCATAAGCTTCGCTCAGACCGAATGGAAAGTATCGGCGGGCAGCCAATCTACTCAGCCTTTCTTTTTCCGAATACCTATGGTATTGGGCATGGGCCGTTTTCATCTGGATGAACTATGGGCTGAGATGTCGTTGGCCTTAAATGATCCAGTGCCGGAGCAAGTTTGCTCAAAATTGCGTCAGCGGATGCCAACTGCGGCTCCCTATACTTTTACTAACGGCGATCTGACTAATGTTAATATTATCGTCGAGAATGGTAACCTGGCAGGGATTCTAGATTGGGAATCTTCGGCCTTTTTCCCTGTTTGGTGGGAATTTACTTGTGCGGGAATTGGTCTGGGGCAAGATGATAAGGAATGGAAAGACTTGCTTCGCAACCACCTGCCGGATCATACCGAGGCCCACAATTTTTGGTTGAATTTCTTTGCATTGCGAAAATATCCTAACTTGAATGAGAGAGAACTGGCACTCCTAAAGGAATGTGATTTGAGTCTGCCAGAGAAAGAATGTTAAGCATGCGTATTCCAGCTACTAGCAAAAAATATGAAAGAGGTGGAAGAAGAGGAGAAATTGATTCCAAGAAGCAGACTCAGGTGTAGTTATAGCCATGCACGGCCTGATTCCAAGCCATTAATGGGGTCAGACAGTTAGGGAAACAATACTAGAGGATAGCACTATAGGACTTGATATAAGTTATATATCAAGCAATGGTAGACAGCGAATGAGGCACGTAGATGGGATCTTGACTGACATGTTGGACGATGATATGTAGATTAACTTGGCCAATAGCCAATAGTCAAGAGCTATTCGGCTTACAGCCGACAGGAAATAGATGGTATTTTCCTGGATTGAAACTATAGGAAACATAATTGATCAAATAGAACTACAAGATGAGCCTCTATAGCCATAGTCGGAGTAGTAAATGATAGGAAATATACGATACGAAGAAGCTCTAGAACTTTTATGTCCATTTCATCATAACTGAAAACGCCGCGCCTAGAAAGATGCGACTTCGTAAACCGGAGAGATAGGTTCTCAGCAGATCCATCTCTCATCTTCAACAGTCTAGACTCATCACCCCCGAATATTCTCTATCGTCAAACGGTAACGACATCGTCACCCTCATCAGCTACCACCACACGTTATACCAATCGTATTGATAATGAATCGGTCTCAATACCATACCAGCACGCGCTGAAGACCGTGTTTGGACGTCAAGACAGACCGAGTCCGGGAGCCGTTGATGGGACGTGACCAGGCCGTAGTCCGTGAGCTCCGGAGAGAACATGTAAGCCTCGCGAGGGAAAAAAAAAGAGGAGCCGGAAAAAAGGAAAAAAGGAAAAAGGGAAGAAGGCGGTAGAGGGATAGTAAACAAAGAAGCGAAAGACCCAAAAGTAATAACGTCAGGGAGGAGTGAGATAGAAAGGGAAGAGAACGTGAGACGAGACATCGACGTTCACTTGAAGGGGAGTAGTCCTCTCGCAATTGGTCGCATTATGCATCAGCATTTTTTTGCTGGGGGAAACCTCTCATGCGCGGGCTTCCTCGGCGCGGTCCTGGCGTGGGCGGCCGCCTTGGCCCTTGCCGCCACGCTGGTTGCGCTGGTTCTCGGTAGCGGGGCCTTCGCCGCCACCGCCGAGGGTAAGCTGGGCGGTTGCTAGCCGGGTAGAAAGCTCCATCTGTGTGCGTACGGTGTTGGCGAGGTAAGAAACGACCAGGACATCCTGGATGTGGTTGTTGCTGGGGAAAGTTAGTGATAAGAAACACCAGGAAAGGTAATGCAGGTATAACATACAAGTCACGCTCAATGTCGGCAGGCTCGACCTTGGGAGCGAGAGCGAGAGCATTAAGCAGGAACTGGCCCATGGCAGTCGAGGCGGGGGTCTCCTCGTCGATCACGGACTCAACGTAGCGCGAGACGCGGTCAACCATAGACAGAACCTCCTCAATGGCCCGCTCCAGAGACTCAATGTCGGAAGTGACGGAAGTGGAACGGTCCTCGGCATCCTTAGCGTTGGCGATAGACTCAAGACCGCTCTTGTCGGCCTCGCCGTATCGGAGCTCGTAGGGAACGGGGATGAAAGCAGCGCTGTCGGCAGCACGCTCAGCGGTGACACCAACAGGGGCGGAAATGTAGGCGCGGGTCTCGAGATCCTTTCCAGCCTCGGTGGAGACAGTCAGATGGACAGCGGGGTGAGGCCAGGTACCGTCACCCTGGCCGCTGTAGAAGTTCTGGATCAAAGCGGAGAAAGTGTTGAGCTCAGAGGCAGTGGCGTACCAGCCAACCAAGACTTCGCGGGGGTTGGCCTTCAGGTGCAAAGCCAGCATCTGCTTGTGGTATTCCATATCGACTTCGACCTGGTCCTCAGCTTCGGAGTGACCGACAGCGAAGGCGGATCGGACCTCGACCTCACTTCCATCCTCAGATCGTGTTCCGAGGAGTGTACCGATGACTCGCTCCTGGTCGGCATTGCGGCGAAGAGAGTGGTCGAGGACTGAGAAGATAGCCTTGTGGAGGAATGAGCTTTACCCCTCAGATCATACACACACAGATCGCAACATACCTGGGGTTGGATGACCACGTTCAGAGGGGCAGTGGTAGGAGCGGTCCCGACGCTAACGGGGCCGAGGGGGCGAGCAAGATGAAGGAAAGAATCTTCGGCCATGATTAATTTGGAGATGGATGGAATATCTTGCAAGTTTCAAGATCCAAACTTCCTTCGTTTCTCGGAGGTTCAATTTTTCCTTGGAAGTGGAGTGAGCCGCTCTGATTGTTCCGATTCTGTTGTGTGTGGGAAATTTCGCGCTAAGATAAGATAAGACCCCGAAATTCTCATTTCGGCCAGAACAGCTTGGAACTGCCCAACCTGTCTAATTATTCACTCAAATATGCCTGCTCCTCGTGGTGGTTCTTTTAGGGGAGCTCGAGGTCGTGGTGGCCGTGGTCGTGGCCGAGGTCGCGGCGGTCGTGGTGGTCAAGGTGGTCGCAACTCCTTTGCTACTTCGCGATTGAACGAGTCCGAGTAAGTTCTCACAGTCTGAAACTCTTTAACGACTGTATCTAAGTAGCACCAGATCGGAAGATTCTTCCGGCGGAGAAGATGATGCTAGCGAGCAATCTCAAGAGGAATTAGGCGATGACACCCTTATGGACGAAGGCTCCAGCAGCGACGAAGAAGACGAGAATACTGAACGCCCCTACAACGAACTCCTTCAGTTACTTCAACCCAACGAGTCAAGCGGACCAGCTCGGAAGAAGCGCAAGATTGCGACCGACCCAAACGCTGAGATTCAAATGGCAGAAACCGCAGAGGAACCAGCCCAGGGCGATGATGATTTGGAAGCCCAAGCGCCGTCCGACGATGAAGAGGAGGAAGCAGACGAGGACGAGGACCCAACTGCTCCTTTTGAAAAAC